AAAAGTTAGTTAAACATTATAATATTTAAGATTAATTTAGTTATATTAATATATAGAAGGATGAAATAATAAAAATCTTTTTTATTAAAAATTGGTAAAATTATATTAGTTTAATTATAAAGGTTTATTTATTTGATATTGAGGATAGAAAAATGGTTGATAAAATTTTTAACGATATATATTAAGACGGAAAGGTTAATTGGATGAAGGATTTTATATTGTTTGGTTGTTTTATTTTTATTTTATGAAAGAATATTAACAAATAATGTAAAGGTTATGTGGTGGTGGATTTTAAAATTTTAAATAAAATTATAATATTAGATTCTTATTTATTACTTTTTTAAGACGAGATAATAAATAAGATATGTAATAAAAAATATATTATTATTATTAATAAATCAAAATTTTTTATTAACTTTAAATTTAACTCTTACATTAAAATTAAATAATAATTATATTATTAAGGGGGTTAAAGGTATTAAAAATTACCTTTATAAATTTCCATAATAATGTATTTTTTGCGTAAAGGTTTATAAATTGGAAATTATAAGCGTTTTAAGATTTTGTTTGTGTATATATAAACGATATTACGGTTGGTTTTATTTTTACGGATGCTTATTTGGAATATTTAAATAAGTTGTTTATTTATTTTTAAGATTTGAATCTATAATTAATTGTAGTAAAATTTTTTATTAAATATTTAATTATTTAGTTATTTAGGTTTATAGTTAATAATGTTAGTATAAATTTAACGTAAAATTAAATAAATGTTTTATGGAAAATTGCTTAATTTATAAACCTTTGTGATTTGGAAATGTATATTGGAATGATTGGGTTTTTAAGGCGTTATATTGTTTGGTATAATTAAAAGGTTAAATTGTTGTAAAAGTGGAAAATAAAATTAATTACTAATCACTAAAATAATATTAAAAACGTTTTAAAAATATTTATAATAAAAAAATAATAGGCAAAAAACGTTATATTCGAATTTATAATAATAAAAAAAAAAGTTTTTTATTTTTTTCAGGTTTAATTTATAGATTTAATTTATTTAATGTATTAGAATTATGGTGTGATTATATTTTTTAAGATAAATGTGTTTTTGGAATGAGGTTATAACGTTATGGTTTTTTATTGTAAGGATGGATAAAATGGTAATATATTTAATGTGGATAATATATGTTTAATTTAGTTTTTAAGTAAGATATTTATTAAGGTGGAGATTAATTATTAAGCTATAGAATTGGAAATATCTTATTTAATATAAATTTATTAATATTTTTAAGTGTAAGTTTAATTGTGCGAATATTTTGTAGTGGTTTTAATGGATTATAAGTTTATTTATAATGTGGTGAATTAAAATTTTTTACACTCCATTAATTTAATTAAATTAAATATGCAGCTTATATTAACTTTAATATATTTATTTTAATTTTTTTTAAATATTTAATATATCTTTAATTAATTAAATTTAATATTAAATACTTTATCCTATCTGCTAACACTACTTAACCTTAACGATAAAAAAAAGATTATTAAGGAAATAAAAAACGTTTTAAACGATATTATTAACAATTTTAGTTACATTTCCTAATATTATATATTCCTTATCTTTAATCTAAAATTTCTTATATTTTCTTACCTAATATTTAATAATATTAAATAATATAGTTATAATTTTAACATAAAAAATAATAATTATAATAAATATTTCTTACCTTTACCTTTAGATTTTAGTTATATAATAAAAATATATATTTAAATAAATAATATTAAAAAATAAGTTATAATAGTTAAATACATTAATAATCCTTATTTTATTAAGATTATTATTAAATTAAAAATTTAGAAGTAAGCGTAATATTTAGCCTGGAATTTTATATATATATTTAAAAACGATAGTTTTTTTTAAACGAAGGGGCGGGACAATTATTAAAAATTATACATTTTTAAAAATTAAATATAAATATTTTTTAAAACAATTTATAATAGAAAATATTATTTTAGATTATGTTATATAGTATATAATTTAAATAGCTTTAATGTTTAATATTTAGTAAAGAAATTACGTTAATATTTTATTTATTATTTATATTATTAACTTAATTAAATAGATTGTCGAAAGGTTTTAAAGGAATTAAAACTAATCGTAAAATTTAGTATTTTTTATTATATGATTTGTATAAATTTTATAGTTGGTTTATTTAAGGTTAACGTTAGGGGGATTATATGGTATATATTAGGTTACGATTATTACGATTTTTTTATAATGGTTATTAATAAGTTTAGTAAGAAGATTTTATTGATTTTTGGATATTTAATGTATATTGTTAAAAATTAAGTTAAGGTGTTTTATAAGATATTTATTGCGGTAAATTAGGGTTTTTTAGTAAAAATAATTATAAATAAGGATTAGAAGTTTATTAGTGAAGTATGGTAGATGTTTTAGCGTTATAATAGTATTAAATTTGTTATAATAATAGGTTATTATACTTAAATAGATGGTGTGAGTGAACGGCATAATTAAAACGTTAAAATTATAATGAAATTTTAATATGTTGTTTTTTTTAACATTTTTTAAGATAAAATATTAAACATTTTTTAGTATAATTTTGTAAAAGTGGGACCAGGTAAAGTTAATATGTTAATAGGAGTGTATTTAGTTTAAAGCTTAAGGAGTGAAAGAGAAGCTATTCTCGTTTGTTAACGCCTGGTAATCTCATATCTTATAAAGGGGGATCACGTGACATCTGAGACATTAGGGCTCGTGAGGCCCACGAGGCTCAAAGGGCCTTATAAGGTTTTAAGGCCTTATAAATTTTAATAATTTTTATTATTTAATATTTAAAAAATTATTAAATAAAATTATATTAGGTTTTAAACCTTATATTTTATTATTCATTTTAAAAATAAATATTAGCGTAATAAATTTTAAGGTTTAAAGGGATGTATATTAATAAAAAATTTAAATTATTATTAATTATGTTGTGATTAACGTTAAAATTTATTACAATATTAAATAAAATTTTTAATAATTTAACATTAAGAAAAAGGTTTTTTTTTAGGTTTTATAAAAGTTATTATTTGTTTAAGAAATTAAAGCGGAAATAGTTTAAATAATATGCAGGTTTTTTTATAATTGTGAAAAAGGTTAGAAATTTAATTTATAAGTTAAATTTTCTATGGTATTAGTGGATTTATTGCGTCGTTTTAATTGTTTATTTTATTTTCATATTTATTAATATAAATCTTTGGTTAAGGCGTTGGTTAAAATTAAACTAGGTTTTTATCGACGGGGATAATAATAATTTAATTTTATATAAGATTAAAAAATTTAAAAAATGTCGAGTTAATTGCGTTAAAGGGCATTTTATATTAAAATATTTAATATTTTAAAAAGGTTATGGTTTAAAATTTAATAAATAATATTTAAGATTACTTTTAATATAAAATATTATATAACTTATTAAAAAGTTTAATAAAAGTTATCGATTTATTTTTAATAAACTAAAATTAATTAAGGAATTAAATTTAATTAATAAATTAACCTTTATATATAATATTAATATTTTTATTATAGTTTTTTTTAAATAATTAATAAGTTAATTAAAAGGTGGTTTATATTGTTAAGAAAGGGTGGGGGAGGTTGAAAAAGGCTAAATAAATTAAATAAATATTTAAATTAATAATTTTGGTTAGATTGTAATAATTTTTGGTTGTAAATATATAAAAAAAAAAAAAAAAAACAAAAATTAAAAAAAAAAAAAAATGTAAGGGTAATAATAAAGCTATTTATTATATACCCTTAAACGCATTTTTTATTAGAAATAATTAAATATATAAATAGATAGTTAAGGTTTTTAAATCTTAATTAACTTTTTAATATAAGCTTCTTTAATTTAATTTTATAATACTTATATTAAAATTAATATATAATTATTTGAAAAATAAGATTTAATAAGTTATAATAATAACAGCTATAAAAATACCCATATAATAATAGCTATAAATAATTATAAAAGTGGTTAATTATTTATATTTTAGTTAAGAAATATATGATTAAAACATTTAATTTTTAATCTTTTTAACCGATAAAATCCTTTAATTTTCGGTTATTTTAATTGACGAAACCTTATAATATAACCATTTAATATAATTATTTTAAAAACATTATTTCCCTTATATTTTTATCCTTATATATTAATAAAGTTATAATAAAGCTTTAACGTATAAGTTATTTATAAAGCCTTAAAATAACTTAATTATAAAGCTTTAAAACCTTATAAAGCTTTTTAAGCTTTATAAGCTTTATAAGTTTTAATGTTTTAAATTTTATATAATCCTTTTTTATAAGATATAAAATTACTAAACATTAATAAATAAAAATAACTTTTTTTTTCATTTTTCAAGCTTTAAATTAAATATATTTTTATTAATATATTAATTTTACTTAATTTTACTTTATAAGGCCTTAAAACCTTATAAAGCTTTTTAAGCCTTGTGGGCCTCACAAGCCTTAATGTCTCAAATGTCACGTGATCCCCCTTTGTAGGATATAAGATTATTAAGCGTTAATAAACGAGAATAACTTTTTTTTCACTTTTTAAGCTTTAAATTAAATATATTTTTATTAATATATTAACTTTACCTAATCCCACTTTTATAATACTTTATTTTAATTAAAAAAAAATCTTCGATTTTTTTTATTTTATTTAATAATTTTAATTATATTTATAATTTTAACTTTTTATTTATAACTTATTATAATTATAAAACTATTTTATTTATTTTAATAAATTTATAAAATAATTATCGTTATTATTATTATATAAAAAAGTGGAGAAAATAATTAATTAATTATAATATATATATAATGTTTATATTAACGTATAAACCACTTATTAAGTTATATAATCACATATATTTTAACATTAATTAATTTAAAAAAAACGCTTAAAATATATAATAAATATTTTTATTATTATAATAATTTATTTTTTAAAAGTTTTAACATAAAAATATCCTTTAAATAAAAAATAATTTATTTAATTTATTAAACTTTTATTTCGTTATTTTTATATAATATATATAATAAGGTTTATTATTATACGATGAAGTTATTACTTATATTTCCACATCTTTCGATGTGTTAACGATGCATTTGCCAATGAGGGTATCCGACATTTGTATTTTTGATCTTCTTAATTCCGATGGTCGACCAACCTTTGTTATCGCGATTGTCGCACCGCCAGACACGTCACAGCCAATATATGTGAATCCTGCCCTCGTCGATAACGCCGCCCTACACGACAAAATCATCAAGGTATCCCAATCACATAGTGGGGATTTCTGGGATTGGATCATCGGTTTCAATCCGTCTCGTACTTTCACCTTCGAGAAGAAATGTTGGACGCGATCGGTAATAAGCAGCCAATGGGCGGTTATTGGAAGCAACGATGGTTTCTCGCCGGACCAAAATTCACGCAATCCTAAGTCTCATAGCCGGGTAAATAGCAACAACCTTCTACACGATGTTTCTCGGCCTGGTATGTCGATTGATCTTGATATTGGCTGGATACCTCCCGACTTCATGCCTGAACAGGAGCCCTTTGTTCATGTAATCAACACCATCAACTGGGCCTCGACACCTCTTGGTCCGCTGCCACATTGGCCTACCCTCCTCCAACAGACCTTCAACCAAGTCCTAGCCGATTCGAGACCTATCGTCATTTACTGGGGTGACAAACTGACGACCCTCTATAACGAAGCCTTTAGCAAGCTGTGTGGTTCCAAGCATCCCGCCTTGCTGGGCAAGTCGGTCGAAGACGCATGGCCCGATTTCTGCGAGAAGATTAAGGTGGCTATGGCCACAACGACCCCTAAACTTCGCGTGGGAGACGAGGACGAATGGTGTTTTTTCGTCGAGAAGACTGACGGGAGCCCCGAAGAGACATATCTCAAATGGTCCATTATCCCAATAACAGAAAAGAATAGATGCCTCGGCTTCATCCAGCCAATTCAAGACACCACCTCCATGCGACTTTGGGAGAGACGCACCAAAATGTTAATTGATTTGGGCGATATACTCATTACTGCGCGGGATGTCAAATCTTACTGGGGGAAGCTCATTCAAGAGCTTGAGGCTTGTCAACCGACCTACGATATTCCACTCGCAATTCTTTACTCGGTCGAAGGGGGGGATTCAGGAAAGTGTTGTCTACTGGAAGGTTGTTTAGGTGTTCCAGATGGTCATGTTATAGCCCCTTCCAAACTACAGCTCTCTGAGGGTAGTGACCATGGGTTATCCTCGTCCTTTAGAACAGCTCTTGAATCGCAGAACCCGTTATTTCTCCAAACCAAAGACGGCACACTACCCAAGAAACTACTTGAAGGTCTTGATTGGCGTGGCTTTAAGGACCCATGCCGCGAGGCTGTTATATGTCCCATACGGCCAACAAAAGATGAAAATGTCTTGGGCTTACTACTGCTTGGGTTAAATCCTCGCCGCCCTTACGATAACAATTACCAACAATACATTGCTCTACTTGGGCAAAAGCTGACCACGACTTTGGCGTCAACTGTCCTTCTCGAGGAAGAGGCAAGAAGGGGTCGCAGCATATCCATGCAGGCCGCCTTTGACCAGGCCATGTTGAAGGAGCAGCTTGCGATGCAAACGAGGGAAGCCACAGAGTCGGTCCAAAAGTTTCAGCAGATTGCTGAATTCATTCCGGTTGGCATGTGCCTTGGTAACCATGGCGGCAATATTACATTTGCAAATGACAGCTGGCATCGTATCACCGGCGCCCCCCAAGTCAACCCACTAACCCCCGAGGGCTTCCTGTCTTGTGTTATTGAGGAAGACAGGGCAAACGTGCAGCGCGCGTATGAGGAGCTTCAGAAATTGTTGACCGTCACCATTGAGTTCCGGGTGCGTAGGTCGGCCGAAGATAACCACCCCCTACAGCACCCGATTGGGAGCTCGCCCAGTTTCGAGAGAGCTGGCTTGGACCTTAATGCCGACAATGGGGGCGTGCGACATGTCCTGGGTTCTCTGAAAGCTGAACGAGGCCTGGATGGCAATATCAATCAAGTACTGGCATGCTTAACAGACGTGACTTTACACAAGAAGGCTGCCGAGGAAGCAATTCGAAAAGCCCAGCAAGCTGAGAATCTTAAACGGTGAGTTTACTTCTTTACAGTACTTCCCTCTCTTCCCATCCTGTTTCCCCTTTGCATTGCAGCCAAGTTGTCTCTTTGGAAGTTCTTTAGTTCATATGGAAATGTCGCGAAGTTGACCCTTAATGCTGAATATGATGTGCTAACGGCGGACGATGTCATGTAGCATGGCGGAGCTTGCAACTGTAGGCATGTATGATATGGCTCTTGATGGTCGTTTAATTGGGGCGAATAATGTGTTTTACGAGATGTGTGGACTGGATAGGGTCGACCTCTCCCAAATATCAGTCAAACCATTTGATGTTTGTGTTGTTGACGAGGACCTACCGGCCCTCAAGAAGACCCTAGTGAGGCTTGTCCAGGAAGGCAAGTCGCAAACCGCGGAAATTCGACTGAAAACGCAGTGGACGGAAACGGACACGACTGGCGACCAAATCATTGCACCTCGTTGGGTTCTGGCTACCTTTATGCCAGTGAAGAACTCAGAGGGCATCATCCAGACCTTCACAGGATGTCTGAGTGATGTGTCGTTGCAGAAGTGGCAACTCGAAAAGGAGCGACAGCGGAAAGACGAAGCTATTGAGTCCAAGCGCCAGCAAGAAAATTTCATAGATATGACTTCGCATGAGATGCGGAATCCACTGAGCGCTATCGTCCAATGTGCTGACGCGGTCATTGGTTGCCTCGCCAAGGCTCAAGAATTGGTTGAGTTGTTGTCTACAAAGGCCGACGATGGCGGCGTTTCGAGCTCTACTCCTACTAGTGGTCTACCTAGCGTCTACCAAGAGGGTGTGCAGTTGTTGAGGGACAGCATTGAAAACGCAGAAACCATCATTGCCTGCGCTCAACACCAGAAACGCATAGTAGATGACATCTTGACCATGTCCAAATTAGATTCCAACCTTCTGTCCATTACGCCAATCACAGTGAACCCCATTCACATTGCCCAGGAGGCTTTCAAAATGTTCGAGGTGGAAGCTCGTAGAGTCGACATTGACTTGACCATGGTTGTCGACCGTTCTTACACTGAAATGAACATCGAGTTCCTCGATCTAGACCCCTCACGGCTGAAGCAGGTGCTCATAAATCTGCTCACCAATGCCCTTAAGTTTACTAAAAATGGGCCGACAAGAAATGTCTCCATCACCATGAGTGCCTCCAAGTCTCGGCCTGAAGATCAAGTTACTTCGGTCCAGTTTATTCCGCGAGTTACAGAAGTAGCGTGGCAAGGCGATGGCTCATCTCTTGTCCCCGAGGAGAATAGGATTTACCTCATGTTCGAGGTCAAGGACACGGGACAGGGTCTCACCGAAGAAGAGAAGTCCTCTCTATTCCAGCGTTTTGTGCAAGCAAATTCAAAGACGCACGTCAAGTATGGGGGCTCGGGCCTCGGACTGTTCATTAGCCGCAGGTTGACCGAGATGCAAAACGGGGCGATCGGGGTCGCGTCCAGCCCAGGTCAGGGGTCGACTTTTGCATTTTACATCGAGGCACATGTACCCAGTCAGGAAGCATTCCAAGAGGCTCGAGCAGCTGCACAAGCCGTCGGTTATATACTGAAAACATCCACTATCATGCTTGGTAAAAACCAGAGCAGAGGGCCTTTTACCATGGCGAAGCCGACCAAGAAGCTGCTCGCTCCGCAGATCGAAGGAGTACTCCTGGTCGAGGACAATCTTATTAACCAGCAGATTACGCGACGTGACTTATTGACCAGTGGCTGCGTTGTTGAGGTAGCAAACCATGGATTAGAAGCATTAGATAAACTCGAGAACTCGAACCGCGCCAACGGACAGTTTCCCCTTAGTCTTGTATTGATGGATATCGAGATGCCCGTACAAGATGGCCTCACTTGCACACGCAAGATCAGAGAGCTAGAAAAAGCGGGCCATTTTAGGGGCCCGCGGATACCGATCATTGCTGTCAGTGCTAATGCGCGTATGGAGCAGATTCTGGAGGCCAAGGCAGCGGGATGTGATGATGTTCTGGTGAAGCCCTTTAGGATTCCGGAGCTGGTGGAGAAGATGGTGATTGTAACAAGACAGCTCGAGAAGAGCGAGTGAAGCCATACATTGTTGATTTCGAGGTGCTGGTTCGAGACTGACTAGGTAGCCACCGCCACTGGGCGTCGTCTTAACGCATCTTGGATGTATTTTGTTACGTGGGGCGTATCTAGGGACCTTCTCTCAGGTTCTCTCAGGGGTTAGTGCAAAGAAGGTCGTATTTCTCGCCTCCTTTTTTCTGGTGTGGTTGTTTGCATTTACCATTCATTGTCTAGGCAGCATTAGCATGATACCACGGGAGTAGTAGCATCTTTGAAGAGGGGGCGGGGCTTTGGTTTCTTGTCTTGGGAGCTTTGGAGTTTAGGGATCACGGATGATATATAGGTATATACATAGGTATAGCATACATACTGATACCTATACTAGATAGCTATTACGACCATTATACATATTACTTTTGTAAAATGGTTTATTCTTGGAATACCTCAACTATCTAACCTTAGTAGTTCGTATCCAAACTTTGGAGCTTGTCATCTAAACTTCTTACTGGCCTCAGTGAAGCTCATACCTTTCCTGATTTCGAATGCCATCTTGTCATCAGCTTCCACCTGCTTCTGCATCAGCGGCAGTGCTTGCTCTGCTAGCTCGAAAGGAAGCACAACGACACCGTTTAGGTCGGCAATCAAATAGTCGCCGGGTCGAATTTCCATATCCTGTTCGTGCGTTTGCAGCTTCACAGGCACATTGACCGCAGCAACTTTGAGCAGCTCGGCTGGAGGTGCTGTGCCCACGTCGCGGGCAAAAATCTGGTTGGTCCTTCTTGTTAGATATTAAGTCGGGACAAAGGGTGTCCCACTTGCTGGGCTGATACGGAATGCAATACCGGATACTCCAATGCGCGTTGCTCTTGCAAGTCACGGAAACGTCCGTCGATCACAGATCCTACTGCACCGCTGGCCAAAGCGCGTGTAGACATGAGACCGCCATACACTGCATTGGGGGTTTTAGCGGGACACGAGACAAATATGACGGAGCCGCTAGGCACGGCATCGATCTTTGTGTGAAGGGGGCACGATTAGTATCCTGGCAGCCTCACAAATGGAGAAGAGGCATGCCGACCTACATAATGAGTAGGATACTTCGGTGAAGGGTCGTCAAGTGGCACATATTTGACAGTATAAGCCGGACCGACAATCTTGGTCTGGCCGTCTTGACGCTGAGGTGACCACATAGTCAAACCAGACAAAAATCCGCCATTGCGGTATTTTAGTTTGCACAGGGCGTCGGAAACGTCGCACCTGATTTTGTCAAGATGAGCCGACACGTACAATGGGCAGAAACGCCAGTTGTCCTTCTTACGTTGTGTATTTCTGCAAAGCCGTGATGATGGCATCGTGAGGTTCTGACATGGTGCCAAGGGAGCGAGCTAGACCTCGGAGCTTATGAGCACCAAACGATGAGTTGCGGAGGAGGTGATAAGCTTGGTTTAAGATAAGCATTTACAATTGAGTAACGAATCAGTTAAATGGTAAAAGGGGGGGTTGAGGTTGATGTTGATGTTGAGGTTATGATTGAAATTATTAGTGTTAGTGCAAAGTTACCTACTAACTAATAGTTAATTAGTTTACAATAGTTAGTTTACATAGTACTTATGTAAGTAGGGTATGAAATTAGTAAAGCATATAACATTAACGAGGGTTCTACTCTTAGGTACAAGTACATAATGAAGTTCAATCCCTCGGCTGGCGTAGGGCTGTCATAATCTAGCTCTAACCTTATTACCTTGCAGCCAAGTTGCAGGTATTGTACATACCTACTAGCATACCTACTAGCATACCTACTAGCATACCTAGACCTAGTAACCTTCCCAATAACATTCCTAGGACCTACAGGCTACCCCCTACCCTACCTAGGATATCTTCCTACCTTATACCTACTAGGTAATAATAGTACCCAGTACCCAGTACCCAGTACCCAGTGCCTAGTACATAGTAGCATTGATATCTTAGATTTCTTAGCAGCTGTGGACTACTAATCCTAGTTCTGCCTCGCTCTGCTCGTCCATCCCTACGACCTCCTTGGTCTGTGAGCCTGTGAACATCGCCGGTGGGCGTTTTTCATATGTGAATATGCTGACAACAACCCCAGCGGCAGCGATTCCTATCATGATACTTATATCGCTCGCGAATGCATCAGCATACCTAACCCCGTCAATGGTTAGCCCCGTTCAGTAAGTAATGTTACAGTGTATAGTATGCGGTATGGGGTGTGCGGTATGCGGTGTGGAATATACGAAAACAGGCGACTCAATAGTAATACCCTAGGTTAGGTTAGGTTAACCTAGGGTCACAACTCACACCGATCGAACGAGAAACTTGACATCGTCCGGTAGCCAGGGACCGATGGTTGGGCTGTGATGTAGTGCTGCCATATCATCAGGGTCCATCTGGTTACCAAGATTTGTTGTCACCTTGGAGTTGAAAATGATGCTACAGACGGCTATACCAATAGAACCCCCAAGCACTCGAGCTTGTGCGATGGCGCCTTGAGCTACGGCCAAGTCTCGACTCTTCGATTGTAGCGAAGCCATCATGGTCCCTGCGCCTAGCGAGAGTCCGAATCCAAGACCAAGAACTACCTGAAATCCGTACTGCGCTTTGGTACCGGTCGTGGCGTCCTTGAGCTGCGACATGAGACTGATGCCTATGAGCTGGAGTACGTGGGCTACTATCATGCTACACGATGTCCTGTTCCGCTTGCGCGAAACTGCTCCCGCGAAGAAAGCGCCGAAAGACGTTGCCCCTAGCATTGGCAACAGGTGAATTCCTGAATAGAGTGCCGTTTCTCCGCTGACAATCTGGAAGCGCTCTGGTAGGATAATAAGAATAGACAAGTATATGTAGCCGGTGCAAAATGTACACCTGTCCTTAGGTAATTAGCTATCTTGTTTGATGTCAACCCTCCTACTTCCCTCGATTATCCTGTCTTCATCCCGTCTATGTGGGTGGGCTATTGGATGTACATTACGCAACTGGCATATACTCGCCGGAAAAAAAGCCGCATCGGCAAAATAGGCTCGATTGGTGAGAAGGGCCTAAAGTCAAGATATGCTTCCCACGTGAAGAATATCACCCAGCTGAGAGATGCAATCGACAGGCTTACGACAATGGCTGGACTGTCCCAGGCGTACGTATAGGCCCCGGCCTCTTGCAGGCAGAAGACTAGCAGTGAAGATGCTGATACGACTGCGATATTGCCGATGAAGTCGATCCTTCGAATCGTGTGCCACCCTGTCTGTCGTGCCCGTGCTTCGGGTGGCCATGCCAGATACAGAGCTACGACGGTCGTGACACCGACTGGGACGCTATTTGACATATTGGCACGCAATCTGCAAATACGGATTTGGTACATACTTGATCCAGAATATAATGGGCCACTGTGTCGTCGACGAAATGACGGCGCCCAGTATAGGGCCTAGAATGTATGACACAGCTAACGTAGCTCCTACTAGACCACCCATTAAACTAGGCTTGTCTGAGGGACCTACCTCAAACAATACGATCTGACTTAAGCTGTACAGGCCAGCACCACCCATGCCCTGGAAAGCTCGACAGACGACTCTGATTAGACGTGTCAGTCTTCAGGTCTTAGCAGTCTTTAGGCCATAGGGCATATAGGTCGCATGGCATAGAGCCAAGGTTTTGGAGTTTGTCTTACAGCTGAACCATGGTAGTGGCAAGAGCACAACCAATGGAGAACCCAACGAAGAGCAACCATGAGCAGTATATAATTTCTCGTCGACCGTAGATGTCGCTCAATTTTGCGAACCCGATGGCGCAACCGAGGTAGGTGAGGAGATAGGAGAGAATAACCCATGGGGCATCCAGAAAATTCTGAAGACTAATGGAAATAGTGACGAGAGAGGTTGAGACAATGGAGGCATCGAGAGCAGAGAAAAGAAGGCCGATCAGTTGACTGTAGACATAATTAGCATGTTGAATTATTATCAAGATTAGTCGATAGGGGGTACTTACGTCGTGACTAATGTTAGCTGGCACCAGCGCGGAATGGGAGTTTGATATGGCATCGTGGTAATGGATCAATTACGTATCTACCCATCTGAGTTGTAGATGAGTACGTAGGTATTGGATGGGGAGTTTCGTGTATGATCTCTGACAGTTAAACTTGGGACTTCCACTCTCACTCTCCCTTACTCACTCACTCTCTCCTTTATTGCTCGTTACTTTACATATGAAATGCCTAGTATTAGTAGGTACACATACAAATGTAAAAGGTGCACGTGTGGATTGATAGGTGAAGGGAAAGTCTTTCGATGTCCTGAGTAACTACCTAACCAAGGCTATTCACCTCTTCTCTTTCCCTAACCCCCCCCTTTCTCCTTCTATACATATATATCTAACATAGTAAGTTAGTTAGGTAAGTATTGAGTAGGCAGGTACTACGACATATTCTAAAATGCTATACAAGGCGGTTTGCAACATACTTGAGATACAATAATGTTAGGTTAATGTATATGTATAATAAAAATACAAATTGCATTACATATACAGATAGTTAGTAGGACATCCACATCCACATCCACATACACTGAAACAACAACAACACGGCCTCGGTACGACTATTAGAGAGAGAAGAGGCGAACAATAGAAATTAAACCGACATTAATGCCTCGGCAAACGAGAAGTTGTCAATCTACCAACCTAGGTAGGGTAGGTCCGTAGGTAAGTTAGCAGACGCCTAGTTTGTTTGATAATTCGTCTGATATACGTAGGTAGACCTCCCTTTTCATCAATAAGACATGTTAAGATTGGATCCATGTTATTATAATGAGGTCATTGTAATTAGGGGCATGTTACAGACGTCCTCGAGATAGATACAGATTATGTTGAGTCCCGTTTGTGCAACTACTACACGGGTTGCACGGTCTATGTGGCTAGCACGGTCCCGTGCATAAGCAGCAGAGAAGTAAATCCAACAATTACATGTACCAGGGCTGGCTTTAATATCTTTAATATATATATTTTCAGTGGACCTGGGTGCGGAGATGATATTCCATCTTATGGAGATGAACCATATATCCAGTAGGTACTGAAACCCCTATAATATCGGAGCACTGTCCCGGCATGCGGCACACCCGCATCTGCTCACCCAACCCTTCCGGGTTCTGCCCACTCCGGCCGCCTTTCGTGCTGTTGGTTGTGCCGCGTACTAGGCAAGCGGCCGTCCTCCCGTCCTCCGTATTACTAGACATGTATAGGTAGTGGACTCGGACAACTCAACCGGAGTCTTGAAGGATCTAGAATATCTGCTCATGCCGCTCTGGACTGCTCTCGGATGGAAGCTTTAACCACATCTTTGAGAACTGGTATATATATCGAAATGCCATAACCCTTTAAGTCGTCAGGTGCGCGAATCGACCTAATTCAAGTAGTATTTTGCGAGGGCTATGACCTTCCCCTTGCATGGCTAGCTCAAGGCCTTCTCAGTACTACGTAGCAGGTACAAGTAACTGACTGAATGATCTGCTGGTTCGATATTTGATGCTGGCGGAACATATATTTCGTTGTCATGGTAGGTGCCGACGGTCTCCATCATGATATCCATCATGACACAGACTGGAGTCAACTGGACTAACCTAGGGATAATCGAGATGGATACTGCTAGGGTGCCAGCTTTTTTTTATCGAAAGTGGGTATTGGGCTGCGACTTGGCTTGTTAGAAGATGGGTAAAATGGGGCTTCGATGATTTAAACACGATTCGAAGACTACCCTAAGACAAATTAGGCCGTCCGCTACAGATAGTTCGTCGAAATTAAGATGATCATACGTGAAATGACAAATAATTCATTTGACTATGTGAGTAGTAGATACTACCTACCAGCTTTTAGTCTTATGCCAAATTTCTAGTCTACGTTTCGTGACACGTAACTAGGTTAGGTAACTCTGCGCCGCTTCTCTCTCTAGTTGCTTACCTCCTTTTTCACCTTCTCTACTACTATGTAGGTTAGGGACCTTTAGCGAGGGGGTTCGTCCATAGCTTCCTTCCAAAGCTGGTTAAAGGTCCCTTTCCTCCTCCGAACATACGTACTACGTAGACAACAGAAGCTACAGTAAAACCCTTCCCCCACCCCCGTAAATCGTCATTAGTGTAGCGAGTAGTGCGAAAGTGATGCAGGGGAAAAAGAAACCTTCCTTCTTAAATCAAACTCTTACGATACGAAAATCAAGGATGATAACAAGTTAAAAGCTGCTCAGGGGTAATCTCCTCCTTACGCTGAATAGCTGTATCTTTTATGAATCTCTTATGACCAATCTAATCTTGTCTTGCGTTGTTTTGTCTTGTCGTGTCGATGTCACCTTTAGGTTGTGAGTTGTAGATTGAGCCCAAGAAGGCATTATCAATAATCGCCACCAAGGTACCCGGGCAAGGTAGCAATGTAGCAAGGTAGGCAGAGCCCAGACATTGAAACCTCCCGATCGTTCGTAGATACGTTGGGCTCCGCCAGAACCGGCAACTTCTTGCCGACCGGGGACCCAGGCCCAAAATTTCTACCTCGGATCAGGTGAGCCGCGGGTTTGGCGACTGGCACGAGGACTCAGGAGGAGCAGGAGCAGGAGCAGGAGCAGAAGTAGAAGCAGGCTGGCAGGATGCTGGGTAGTTAAACAGCGCGGTGGGGAGATAATTAACTTGCATGATCTCGTCATGTCCGGTTGACGAATTCACAATGCGCAGCGCCACCAGACGAACTACTAGACACGCTAACATGCTAAGTGTATTGGACGGTGTGTTCCGGCTTGCCCATCCCATGGTTATAGATCAGGCACAGACGATGAAAAGTCCAAAGGTCCATCTTCCTACATTAGTACATAGGTCCGCCCATGAGCTTACTTCACTACCTTTAACCCGAGCCAGACCTTAGAAAGACAGAAGAGATTGTTCGATTACGCTCAGACGGCACTTGGTGATCTGACAGGCATAGCGGCTCCAATTATTCGGCTCAGCTCGGTGGTATGCCTAGACTCCGATCGCCGGTCTCGATCTAATGGAATGGAAGATGCCGCCTATCACTTGCGAATTGGGTAAGTCCAGGGGTTTCCGGGGAACGCTTCTAGTATCTCTCCGTAGGCGAGAAAGCTAGCAGCTGCATGGTATGTTAGCGGCATACTATGTAGTAGCTGCATAGTAGCTGCAGGGTAGAATTAGATGGCCTTCTTCACATGACTTCAACATATTAATCGTGGCTCTCCTTCTATCTCCATAGACTGATAATATCTAAGGCTTCCTCTTCGAGCTATGTAGACCGTGTACTATTCCGACTATCCCGACTTTTCTGTTCAATAATCGAGATAAGCCATTCTCATCATGGCCGAGATCGAGAATCGTGGCCCAGTGCTGCTGGGAATCTGCATCGCCTTGCTGGCGCTTACCTTAACGGCCAGTCTTTTACGATGCTATTCACGAATAGGCGTTTCGAAAGCCTTCGGCGCCGACGACTGGACCATGATGGCAGCCACTGTGCGTTTCCTCTACTGTTTTTTTCCTGTTCTTCGTATTCTTCCTATTAGTTCTAATATCTAACTGCTTTCCTGCATAGGTCTCATTTATACTCTTCGTCATCTGTGCCATAACCGGCGTTCATTACGGCACTGGGCGTCATTTTAAAGATTTAAGTGTTCCGAATATCCAGAAGGCGATGATGGTATGTACAACTTGATCCTCTCGAACACTACATAACGATTATATACAGTATGGGTACTGACTTATACCAAAGTACTGGTGGTTTTGCTACATTTGGTACTGCCTCACTATGATCGCTTCTAAAATCTCCATCGGCATTTTCCTTCTACGACTTACTGTCAAGAAAATTCATCACTGGATTATCTATCTTTGTTTACTATTAACTGTCGTTACTGGACTTGTCTTCTTCTTCGTCACACTTTTACAGTGCAGTCCTATCTACTACTTTTGGATCCGGGTCGACGTGAACGCAAAGGGCACTTGCATCGATACTGGTATTATTGTGGCTCTCACATACCTCTATAGCGCTCTAAACGTTATATGCGATTTTACATTCGCTCTCCTTCCTGTATATTTGATTATGGGTCTGCAGATGGATAAAAAGACCAAGATTGCCCTCATCCCTATCTTGGGTATGGGTTGCATGTAAGTGAAACCCCCTTTACCACCATGAGAAGGGATCCGACTAATAGGGTTTGAATCATAGTGCAAGCTCCGCTGTTGTCGTCCGTTTTGCCTATATTGAAAGATTCAAGGACCCTGACTTTTTATGTAAGTTTTTTCTCTGGCTCTCTCGATCTCTCCCCTTTGTTGTGTCTATGAAGTTTGGCACAAAATGTTCCATAACTAACCCAATGGGTACAGGGGCAACATTAGATATCGCGATTTGGTCGACCACAGAGCAAGCCCTGGCAATCACAGCCGGCAGTCTAGCGACACTACGTCCATTATTCCGATCTGTTGCGCAAAGATTTGGATTTTCGACCCAAAAATCGAAAATACCACGCACAGATGAGATGCCAAAGACCATTGGCAGCTCAGCTAACGCCAGGAGCAACGTCAGGAACACCAAAGGAAGCCGTGGGCCATTCAGCCTCACAACGTTCATGGAAGAGGACAACGATCTCGAAGCAAATAGCAAGAGAGACATGGACGGCGACATCAAGTTGAATAACGTCATCTTACGAACTACGGATATCACCGTCAACCGAAGCAGCAAGTGGGGACTATCGAGAGAGGGCGCTCAATTAAACGAGAGCGAAGAAGAGTTGCATATCAAGTCTTCAAAGGAGGGATTCGGTGCCTCAAGGACGACACCCAAGAGTTTCTTGGACGACGGACGATCTAGACATAGCGATGGCTCAAGATAAGATCTTACCTGAAGGACCGACCTTTTTAACCACGTCAACATGTAGTATGCTAAGAGCTTATATGGCATGAAATTACATTTGTATAATACAACTAATGTAGTAAGAAGACTAGGTACTTCGTAATCTTGGACGTCTTTATATCTATATTACTTTAATCGCGCTTTCGCTGGCGAATATCCTAGTTAGTTACGGGACTTTCAGGTTAAGATGGGCGTCTTACTTGGCCTTGCGAAAATATTAATAGCTATTTCGAATGGGATTTAACCTTAGGTTATTGAGGATAACCTCCATATTCTAATTAGTGGCTATGTGAGCCCCTATCTACAATGTAGCATATAATAACTAGAGAGAGTGTAGTCAGTGGCAGCGTCTTATATATTGATTGACTTGCATTTAGTTATGTGGGAGGTGTACCATCTCACTTTGAACTACTCGCCGTAGTAGGCAAATATGGCTCCAAAGGAGAGAGATAAAAATATATAAAGACATGCAACAAAAAGGGGCTTGTGCTCAAAAAGACTTCTCACAAAACTGAACGCCACTCATATTTTCTTGCACGTCCAACTAATGCCTTCCCATGTTTTGTTCACTGGCTTGAAGGGTGTTGCGAATGTTACAGGATTTTATATGTAGTCTGATCAATGAGTGGCAGTGACCCTTTTTTTTTTGGTTAGAGTGCCCCCTTTTCAACCTGGAGATAGAAGTGGAATATATTGTTTGCAGAAGGGAACAAACACCTTGTAACACTCGGGATTGACATATACATCGCATGTATTATATACGGATGACATATTATGCGAGACAAGAAGAATAAGTTGCAGTATCCAAATTGCAAATGCGATAAAAGTTCATTGCCCAGAGCAGAAGTATTAATAATCTACAAAAAAAAACCAACCGTTGGGTACCGAGTACTGAGTTTCGAATGGTATCCGTGGTATCTGGACCAAGTGAATAAGTTATCTGTTACTTAGGGAATACTGTTTGTATCAGTGTTCTACTACAGCATTCCTACAATAGTGACCACTTAAGTCGTCGAGGCAGTGCAAAAAAATCACAGACCTTATTGGCATTAGAAGGGTGACCAACAGCTCGCATCTCGTCCACCATCTCGTTCACGGTCAAGCATGATATAGCAAGAGGAAGTCACGAGAAGAAAAAGCAAGGGATACTCATTGGACAGGTCCCAATAAGCTTTTATGAGCAAGTTTTGGATATTACATATAGATAGACTGATACACGCGCAGGCTACTTCCTGCGATGGGTGTAAAAAAGAGCTCATAAGAAAAACGGCACTGTTCATCCAAACCACCCCCCCCCCCCCCCCCCCCCCAAAAAAAAGCCAAAAAAAACCAAAAAAAACCTGCTCACTTACGTCTATTGGTACTGGGTGGATCTGAAAGCCTTCGATCCTAAGGTTTGACTTAATATTTTGCACCTGCTAGAGCAAGTATCGCAGTCCCTCCTTCCTCCTGCCACCTGCCACCTGTCACCTGCTTCTTGCCTCTTGCTTCCTGCCTCGTTCCATTCTACCATTGGCTACAACATCTCTTCAAGTTGTGACAAACAAGCCCTGACGAGGGACGATATACTTCTACGCACCCTCATGCTCTTACTCCCTCTACAACATAACCATACCTTTTTTATTTTATTTATTTATTTTTACTTTTCCTTCACTTACTTCACTCCTTTCTTTTATAACAACTATCAACTTTATTACCTCCATCTTGCAAGTACCTTAAGTACCTTCCTTATTCACATACTTTACACATAACGAATTACCTTCATTCAATTCGCACTTGCAAATACTTACTTCCTTCATCCACCTTGCACGTACTCGCCTGCATTTACTCAACCTACATATGGGCGCCAGGCTCTCTTTTGTCCCAGCCCATACATCCGCACTTATCTTTCTAAGATATACACATTGAGATACTTCTTGAAACAAACAAGTTGCTTGTGATGGATAACCCCAGCTCAGATGGGATGGAACCCATTGCAGTTGTAGGCCTTGCCTGCCGCTTCCCAGGCACAGCCACCTCTCCTTCGAGACTGTGGCAGATGCTCTACCGCGGAGAGAGCGCTTGGTCTGAGATCCCGAAGAACCGCTTGAATGTTTCAAGCTACTTCCACCCCAGTGGTAACCGACAGGGCAGCGTGAGTGATACTCCCTGACGACCAGACTGCTTATTAGAGACTGACTTTTCGAATTAGATTCCATTTAAGGCTGGCCACTTCCTGGAAGGAGATGTGGGAGCATTCGACAGCTCTGTAAGCTTTGATTCGCGCCGATCTAAGAAAGCTCTTGCTGATTTGCCCAACTAGTTTTTCTCTATTCCAGCCGATGAGGCCAAAGCGATTGATCCACAGCAACGGATGCTTCTTGAGGTCGCCGTGGAGGCTTTAGACAGCGGTAAGATAGTGAATCGTTATATTGACCGTGAATTCAAATTAACCTGAGATCGTAGCCGGAATTGATCGTGCTGCCATCAGAAAAAGTGACACGGGAGTTTGGGTTGGCTCCTTCGTGAAGGGTATGTACCGATATCTTACTCACTCCTTACTTCCTACTTACTTCTTACCCAATCCTTACTAACAACTGAAACATTAAAGACTATGAGCAGATTGTTTTGCGCGACCCAGACAATTCGCCAAAATATGGTGCGACGGGTAATGGAATCGCCATTATGTCAAACCGTATTTCGTTCTTCTTAGACATCAACGGCCCAAGCATGACCATCGACACGGGATGTAGTGCTAGCTTGGTTTGCGTCCACAACGCTTGCCAAGCACTCCGCGACCGCGAGATCGATATGGTAAGTTTGCAAACTTGGAACAAACCATCCGTTTTGCCGTTGTATTCCTGATCTGTCTGGTATCATAACCATTTACTAACTAGTTAGGGGCTTGCTGGTGGCGCGGGAATGATCCTGACGCCTAATACCATGATGCCGATGACTGCTCTGAATTTCCTGAGCCCGGATGGTAAGTGCTATACGTTTGATGCACGCGCCAATGGCTATGGTCGTGGCGAGGGCATCGGCATCATCGTTCTCAAGCGTCTTGACGATGCCATTCGAGACAACGACAGCATCCGTGCGGTGATTCGAGGATCGAGTGTTAATCAAGACGGACGAACACCTGGTAAGTTTACCATTCGGCTAGTCGTGAAATACATCTGACTTTGCTTCAAGGAATTACTTTGCCAAGCGCGGAAGCCCAGCTCCGCAATATCAAGACTGTCTACAAAAGGGCCGGCCTTTCAGTTTCTGATACAGCTTATGTCGAGTGCCACGGCACCGGCACACAGGCTGGAGATTGGAGAGAACTAAAAGCTATCTCGTCCGCCTTTTGCGAACAACGTTCTCCCGGCGACCCTGTCTATGTCGGCTCGGTCAAGACAAACATCGGCCATCTTGAGGGTTGCGCTGGAGTTGCCGGGCTGATCAAGGGAATTCTGACCATTAAGAATGGTCTGATCCCGAAGCACCTCAACTTCCAGGAGCCTGGAAATCCAGCCATTGACTTTGAGGCGTGGAAGGTTAAGGTAAGATTATGTACTTTACATATATCGCTATGTTATTTATACTCACTATATCGTACCGCAGGTTTCTCTTGGAAATACCCCCTGGCCAACCCAAGGGCTTCGACGAGCCAGCGTGAACTGTTTTGGCTTTGGTGGAACGTGAGTATCACTCTAATAGTTGGAAATTCGACTCAGCCAGGATATAATCTAACTTACCGTGTCCCAGAAATGCACATGTCATCCTTGATGATGCTGCTCATTACCTGGCCCAGAGACGAATATCTGCACACCACAACACCATTGTTCTGAATGAAGGCCCGGAAACACCGGCCTTGCGACCGAATGTCACCAATAAGAATCCACTCGAGGCTGAGGCGCACGAATTGGTTAAGTCGGTACATGAAATTCATGTTCCGGCCCGTGATTCTAAGACCCATCTTTTCGTATTCTCCGCCCACGAACAGAAAGTACTATCTCAGATGGTCAAAGACTATGCGGCCCACGTCGAAGAGTATGCTGATCACACTTCTGATAATTTGATGGAAGACCTCGCGTATACTCTTGGCTGTCGTCGGACAAATATGCATTGGAGGGCCTCTGTTGTAGCCCGATCCCCAGAGGAGCTTGTCTCAGAGCTGGGTAAGCTACAAAAGGGGGATTTCACCAGAGCATCCGAGGACAGACCAATTAAGATTGCCTTTGTCTTTGGTGGCCAAGGCAGTCAGTGGTTTGCCATGGGAAGAGGGCTATTGGGGTTTGAGATCTTCCTGAAGTCGATCATGGATGCTACACTATACCTGCAAACCCATGTAGATTGTCCTTTCAGTCTCCTGACTGAATTGCTTAAGGATGAAGCCTCGTCCAGGATCAACGAGCCAGAAATATCCCAACCTGCGACCACGGTGATACAGGTGGCCCTTGTCGACCTGTTGTCAACCTACTTCGGCATCTGCCCAAGCTCCGTGTGTGGGCATTCTTCCGGTGAGATTGCTGCAGCCTATGCACTAGGCGCGTTTTCGCGAGAAGAGGCCTGGGAGCTAGCCTTTCACCGAGGTCGCTGTGCGGGGGCCTTACAGCAATTGAAAGACGAAAGGGCCCCGGAAGGCAGTATGCTCGCTGTTGGCTTGTCAGTCCTCGAGGTACGGAAATATATCGACCGAGTTGGTAGTGATGAGGTGGCGGTGGCATGCATCAACAGCCCTTTGTCGGTAACCTTGTCTGGTGATCGTGGCGCGATTGTGAAGCTTCAAGCAGATTTCCAAAAAGCGGGTATCTTTAACCGACTGCTGGTGGTGAATGTCGCTTACCACTCACATCACATGCAGCGCTGCCGGGACTCATATCTCCAATCGATTAAACACATCATGCCCAAAAATCCAACTCGCAAAATGATTCAACATCCGCACAGCCAAGGAAAGCTTGTAACATCTAGCGATATATGTCTAGGAGCTGGAACTGCGGATCTGCAGCTTGACGGTGAGGTTCCTATCATGTACTCGTCCGTAACCGGGCACGCCATTGATTGGAGGATGCTCTGCCCGGAGTATTGGGCCAGGAACATGATATCTCCTGTTAGCTTTGCTTCTGCCATGCATCAGATGGTGAATTGCCAAGATGCCGAGGGACCTCGCATCATTCTTGAGATAAGTCCGCACGCTACTCTTCAGGGCCCGATCAGACAGATTCTTGACGCGGAGAAGCTCAAAAAGCGACCGATATATGCTTCTGTCCTACGTCGAGGCAAAGATGCAGTTGCAACTACACTTCAGGCCGTTGGAACACTCTGGGATCAGGGGTACAACGTTGTTATGCCTTGGGTAATCATGAGAAACACGCAGACAGAAAGACCCAAGCTGCTGGTTGATTTGCCAAAGTATCCTTGGAACCACGACAATGTGTACTGGCATGAGTCACATTTGTCACTCGCCAATCGATTTCAAGTTCATGGAAGATACGATCTCATTGGTCGTCCCACGGCTGATTCAATCCCTTTTCAACCTCGATGGCGCGGGTTCTTCCGTATCTCAGAGAACCCCTGGATTCAGGACCATCAGGTCCAGAGGACGGTGCTTTACCCTGCCTCCGGCATGATCACCATGGTCCTCGAAGCTGCCAAGCAAATTGCAGCTGAGAATGCTTTGGGCTACGAAATTGCGCGTTTTAATATTCAAAAGGCCATGATCATTCCACCCACGGAGCATGGATTAGAGTATGCTTTAAACATGAGTAAGAAGAGTGATCAACTGACTGTGGCATCTGCGGATAAATCAACCACATTTGAGTTTTCCATTTACTCCAAGCAACTTGGCGGGCCGTGGGAGGAGCACGGTAGCGGAAACCTCGTGATCCATTATCACCAGCCCTCCGAAGGATCCAGGGCTGAGCACCAGCTTGCCCGGGAGCGACTCCTCCAAGCGGAGCGGGACCACTACGCATACCTCGATGTGAAGGACGATTGCGACGAAGTGGTAATTCCACGACAACTATATGAGACCCTGGATGTGATCGGCATGAATTATGGTCCATTATTCCAGAACATTACATCACTTAATAAACGAGACAACGCTTGTGCCAGCGTTATTCGTATCCCGGATACGGCATCCGTCATGCCAGCTAACTTTGAGTATCCACATATCATTCATCCGGCAACCCTCGATTCTATCTTTCAGACGGCCTTCGCCCTTGGAAGCGAGCCGATGGTACCGTCCTTCCTTGGGAGCCTTTATGTGCCGACTGGATCTGATAAACTTTCGAAAATTGGTGGACAATTAACTGCCTATACCCGAGCCAAGCGTCGTGGGCGACGTGGTGCAGCTGCGTCCTTTGTTGTTTCTGATGACTCCTGGCTGGGCTCTTTCGATCCTACTAACATACCACTCATGACAATCAAGGATTTAGAATTTACTACCTTGACTGTAGGTAAGGATAGTGCCGACAACGGGTTTCTCCCTAACCATCGTGGCCTCTGCTCCGAGATTGTGTGGGAAGAGTCGGACATCTCGTTAGGTTCTGCCGAGGCAGATGGGGCACCAAAGGAGGGCGAGGTCCGTACTAAGCTGAAGGAAAATGTTCTTGTTCTAGTTCCCACAGACATCAGCTCTGGCACTGATGAAATATGCGCGGAGCTTGCGAAGAGCTTGAACTGTCAATTCCGAACACTCGACAGCATTAGCAATAACGACGTGCTACCAGAGCTATGCGTTTCCGTTTTGGAGGCTGATGGGAAAGCCTTTATTTGGAGCTGGTCAGAACAGGAGTTTCTCGCTTTCCGCAACATTGTGACAGCTGTCAAAGGGATGATCTGGATCACTCGCGCTTCGCAGTTGGAGGCCGAGAACCCCCAAGCTTGTCTGGCCCAGGCTTTAGGCAGGACTATACATTCGGAGTATCCGAAGAAGAAGGTGATCTCGTTCGACGTGGACCGGGACACCGACTTCTCTCGGACATCAGTGATACCATTTGCTCAGACTATCATCCACTTGCTTGAGCAGTCCTTCTCTGGATCGAAATCAATAAAAGTGACTGACACGGAATATGCCGAGCGGAAGGGACAGATCATGGTCCCGAGGCTTGCTCCTGTGAATCCGTTAAATTCCATGATTGAACGTGGCTCCGCGCCCGTTGAGCCACAGCTGCAGCTCATGCCCGCCCCTTACGAGAGGCCACTCAAGCTTGAGATGGTAGATCTTGGCGACACTGAAAATTTGTACTGGAACGATGACGTGGAGGCTACACTCCCAGTATGCCCGGACGACGTCAAAGTCAGAGTCTTAGCAAATACACTTAGCGACCTAGATTTCGAGATTCTGAAGGGAACTGTGCAGAGGGAATCTTTAGGAACTGACGTCTATGGGATAATCGAAGAGGTCGGCAAGAACGTCATGGACTTTGACGCGGGCGACCATGTTGTAGGAGTTGCCCGTGGCTCCCTGAGAGATTATGTCGTGTGTGATCATCGTCTCTTATACAAGGTCTCCAATGGGTCCCAAATTAGACGGCCCTACTTACCAACCGGATTTTCTATTGCCAAATATGCGCTCGGAAAACTGAAGACTGACGACACTATTTTGATCCACGCCGGAGCGAGTTTATTCGGACAAGCTGCGATTCAGCTCGCCAAACATGTGGGGGCCACGATCTTTGTCACGGCGAGCACCAATAGTCAACGCGGTATCCTTCATCACTTTTGGAAGATCCCGCAAGATCACGTACTAGACGAGGGTTCGGATGCCTTGACGAGCACGGTACTGCGCTTGACCGGCAATAAGGGTGTAGATGTAATCTACGACACGGCTGCGCGAAGCCGAGATTGGAATATCAAATGTGTCACAGAAGGTAAGTACCTGCAGTAACATGCATGTTGTTAAAATAGATGAGTCCGCACCCAGGTAGCTAACAGATCTTCAGGAGGCCAAATCATCGGATTTGCCAACAAGCCCGATGAAAGATACAGTGAAGCACGAAGGGCCGAAGCTGTATGCAAAACCTTCAGCTACACAATCATTGACATCCCGAGTGTTGTCAAACACCAGCCACAGCGACTTGGGGAAGCGCTGGCATTCGTATGTCCGAAACTGCTATCTGGCGAGTTCCAAGTCTGGGGCCCAGATCTATCTTGTGCATATGATTACTCAGACCTGGAAGCTGCCTTCGCGGCCTTGGAGGTAGACAAGGCCGGCACGTTTGTAAGCTGCGAGCGACCTACCTCGAGGCCTGTTGCAATTCTACCCAAACCTCGTCGCTCTACGAAAGATCACATACACGGAGATGCCACCTACGTCTTATCAGGTGGGCTTGGTGGTCTTGGCCTGGAGATAGCCAAATTGCTAGCAGCTAATGGGCTCAAGAACGTTGTTTTTCTTTCCCGATCCGGCGCGCCCAACGAGTTGGCCAAATCTTGTGTTAAACTTCTATGCAACAGAGGAGTCAACGTACAGGTCCAGAAAGTGGATATATGTGACAGTGATGCTCTCGCGAAGGCGGCACACGAGATCCAGTTATCTATGCCGCCGGTGAAAGGTGTGATCCAATGCGCAGCGGTTCTCCGCGACTCCGTCTTTGAAAATATGACGTATGAGGACTGGCAAGCGGCAACGAGGCCCAAGACCGTGGGTTCGTGGAACCTACACCAAACCTTTGGTAACGATCTAGACTTCTTCATCCTCTTATCCAGCTCAGCCGGAGTTATCGGAAATCGCGGGCAAGCCAATTACGCAGCAGGAAACGCGTTCCAGGATTCGCTCGCTAGACATATTAACACCAAGAGCAATGGTGCAACGCATGCAGTGTCGATCGACTTGGGGCCGGTCCTCGGAGCAGGCATGCTTGCAGAGGATCCCCGAACACTGGACATTCTTAAGGCTAGCGGGTTCTTCGGTATTCGACTTGAAGACTTTAAGCGGCTAATCGAGTGCGCCGTCACGGGCTACATGGAAGATGGGCAGCAGATGCCTGCCCAAGTAATCACGGGAGTTGGAACGGGCGGGCTCATGAAGCAAAACAAGCCAGCCGACCCATACTGGACACGCACGGCCTTGTTCACGAACCTCAATGAAGTGGACTTGCCGGCAAGCTCAGAAACGGACTCCGGCGAGGGTACTAATTCACAAGAGACGATGCGCGAGCTACTGGCGCGGGCTGTAGACGAGGAAGAGACTCGATCCATCGTCAGCCAGGGACTCAGGGTGATGCTCTCCAAGAGCATGAACATGCAGTCGACAGACGTTGACGAGTCAAAGCCGGCCAATGCCTATGGCGTAGACTCTTTAGTAGCAGTCGGAGTTCGCAGCTGGGTCTCTAGAGAGTGCGAAGTGGATGTGAGCATCTTCGAGGTGCTTAGTGAAACTAGCATTGGTGAGCTCAGCGCAATCATCGTGCAGAGACGGGCAATGATGTAGTCAGACTGGGTTACTGCTGGCTACTTCAACTGGCAGCTACCTAGTATGACTGGGACTTTAGATGGCGAGGTTTCGTTATTTTCAGTGTTTCGTAGGATAAGCAGAATGAGCTCTGATATACGAATCATGGTAAGATGTAAGATGCATACCGACCTACCTAATCTGCATATACCTCACCTCACCTCACTTCACTTCACCTCGCGATTTCGTTGAGCAATATGTGCTGTATGAATGATATGAAGTTGATTACAACTTGTCGTGTAAATTGATTTATGTTGTGAGTTATGGGTGTGTAGCTGAGGACGACAACAATGGCGGTGATGGCAAGAAGGTGTGTGGTTGATAAGGATTAAGGAATTATTATTGGAGGTTTGAATGGACCAAGACGCGTAATGCCTAATATATATTTGAATTTTGCCTACACGTGCATGTACCTCATCTGTAGATTCTGTACCTACCTTAAAGGCTTAGATAGCAAGGTAGTTACCCCTGATAGAAATCCTTGCTTCCAAGGTTGTTTCAACTTTCCGTACATGCCTCTGTAAGTAGTAAATTAGAGTCTGTACCTATTAGTCTAGGTTAGGCAGTAACTTATGCATTAAGGAGTAGTAATAACTTATAAGGACTGGGGGTAATATTAGTTTATTTAGTTCCTACATAGTAAAGTTAATGAATTATACGATATTAACATCAAATGTCGGCGCTTGCTTGGCGGCGGAACTTGTTTATTTCTCTCGTTTCGTGACAGTGTGACACTACCGTGATACTACCAGTAACTACCTATTAGGCACCCTAGGTACCTACCTACTACCTAACTAGGTATGGAGTACATGTACATATGGCTGGATATGGCTGGATATGGCTGGTGATGTTCAAGTCGCTTGCATCAACGTTGTCCAGGTTACATTATATACAATATCTACGACAGATAGACGCACACACATGTACGCACGCAACCCATCCGCTATGGCGCATCTATCTTGCAAGCAATACCAAATACCTACCCTACCCTACCCTACATAGTAGGTAGTTATATCATGGATCTTCTGTCTCTTTTTATTTTCTTATTTCCTCTTCAGGCTCTTCTACCTACCTACTCTTCCCCCCACTTCGTAGTGACAAATCGTAAAACTAGGACGGGCTAGTTTCTAGGTCGATGTCCATGACCGTATCATTTATAATACCAAGATTATACCAAGATTACCTATACATGCATGCAAGTTAAAAGGTTCCAAGATTTTCAAGCCTGCTACAGTGCTACAGTGCTACAGTGCTACTAGCTACGTAGGCCCGGCCGGGTAATTCTTGCCCGGTTCTACCGCGGTCTTCTTGAACGACATTATTCAGTCCGCTCCGGCCTTGTTTGCTTCCCTACCCTCCCTTTCTCCGTTCTTACAAACTTGGTCATCTCGTTTGCTTCGACTAACTTTCTCTCCTCCTCCTCCTCCTCCCCCTCCTGTGTTATGGGGTTTCTTTCTACTCTATTGACCGCGTCATTTGCGGCTGGCGCAACCGCTCAAAGAGTTATACCCGTCAACTTCAGCAGGCCAACAGCAAGACTGCCTACTCTTCACTCACGTGCCGGGACCTACTCACAAGAGCTCAACAATAATCTAACCGGTGGTGGATACTATGCCCAAGTTGCGGTGGGAACACCACCACAGACGGTGGATCTTATTGTCGATACTGGAAGCAGCGACGTCTGGCTATTAGATAGTGACGCGAATCTCTGCCGGTCTCGATCCATGCAGTCCTACTACGGATACTGCTTGTCTACCTACGATCCCTCTAAGAGCTCGACTTATTCTATCGTCTCGCAAGATGACTTCAGCATTCGCTATGTCGATGGTTCAGGGGCCGAGGGCAATTACATTCGGGACGATTTCAGTATCGGAGGAGCTGACATTGATGCCTTGCAGATGGGATTGGCCGAGAATTCCACCGTCAACTCTGGCCTCTTAGGTATTGGCTTCGCGGCCAATGTTGCCTCTGAAACTCCTTATCCCAACATCATGAGCCTATTTCAGGACCAGGATTTAATTGCTATACAAGCTTACAGCCTATATCTTGTACGCGCCCTCTCCCTTCTGACATTCTGGGTTTCCTCCTGAATCTGTGTGCTGGCCATTTTATGGGATACTTTCTGGGCCAATGGCTAACTTTGCTCTTGTTGCCATAGGATGACTTGTTTGCCGAGACGGGGACAATCCTATTTGGTGGTTTAGACACGCAGAAATTCATCGGCGAGCTTCAAACCGTCGCCATCCAACCGGATAGATACGGCAACTATTCGTCCTTCACTGTCGCGCTCTCCTCCTTCTCTACGACCGCCAACAACGGCACCTCTACTAACTACACCCGAACCGCTATCCCCGTCATCCTCGATTCGGGCACTACCCTGACCTATTTTCCCGCCAGCATAGCAAACCGCATCTTTGACGCCTTCGGCGCTGTAGACGACACATCTGGAACTGGCCTTGTTTTCGTTGATTGCAACTATCTGGATAGTAATAATTTTACTTTCAACTTTCAATTCGGCGGAAACGATGGCCCTGTCATCCGGGTTCCTATTGACGAAATGGTGTTGGACAACATAGGGGGATATGTTGAGCTTGGCCTGGATTTGCCTTCTTTGCCCTTCGATAATGCTTGCAGTTTCGGCATACAGCCAAGCTCAGACTATTACCTACTGGGTGATACGTTTCTGCGTTCCGCCTACATTGTTTACGACCTCACTAATAAGCAGATTGGGCTAGCCCAGGCCAATGTAAACAGCACCGAGAGCAACATCATCGAAATCACCGAGGAGTCCGGCATACCGAAAGCTAGTGGCGTCGCTTCGCAGGTCGTTGCAGACCAGACTTCGACGGGGCTACCTAGTACCAGCAATGCTGGCAGTGGGACCTCAACGGGATCCGTTACGTCTTCGGCTACACCGACCGGGCAAAATGGCGAGAATGGTGGATCGAGGGCTGTGCCCTCCCCCCTTTGGGGAGCTCTAATCACGTCTACTTTAGCAAGCCTTTGTGGTTTGATAATGGGTGGTGGGCTGGTATTATTATAGACAAGACCTTAATTCAGTACTAGTGTTTACTGTAACATAGACCTTTGAACAGGATGAAAACGTTCATTTTGCATTGTATTATAACAAGTTAAGACGAGCGCTTCAATGCTTTCCGTGTAAATAGATACCTAGGTAGGTTAGGGTAGTTTTGCTACTTCGGGTTGGATATTTGTTCCGATTGCAGTGTATATATATCACAAGATTTATTTGCAAAAACAAGCAGAGCTAATACGAGTGTTCACATTGCACCACATCCCCCTTTCCCCTTTCACAGTTACACTCCATTGAGTAGGTCTGATACATATGGAGTCCCTGTATATTCATACATTGATGTGATAGTACTTGGGCTCTTATCTTACCAACCTTCCAGAGTTAACTGCAGAGTGCCTAGTAAGTATCTATTGAATACGGTAAAGAGGCCTCTCCAGATATAGAAACAAATAACATGCTAATTCATCTTTCCATATCGTTCCCTTGCTTTGTCCTTCGCCTTGGAAACGAAATCTGCATAATCGTTCTTGGTAGCTCGAGCAGCCTCTTCAGCAGCATCCCCAATCCTACCGCCTTCCGCTCCGAGACCAACACCAGGGGCATAGGCCATAGTCTCCACTATCTTGGTCCGCCCACCTCCTTCAGCTCCAAGACCCTCGCCTTTGGCCCACCCCATTTTGGCCAATAAACCCGCGCCTTTTGACACTGTAGTCTTGACGGATGGCGATTCTGTTGCTGAGGCCGTCTCCTTGGCCGCCTGAGGATGTTTTCTGGGGAGAGGAGCTTTCGGTTTGCTAGGTTGATTATGTGCCATTCGACGCTCCTTGGCACGATCACGGTAGCTGGATATGGGTTCCATACCGAGAGCTTTCAAATCCTTGATTGCTTTGGCAATGAGTATATCATCATCGAGATTTGCCTTGTGTAGGTCGCTCATTTGCTCATGCCGACGGAGCGAAGGCTCACTTTTGAACTTTCGTCTACAGAGAAGGCAGCACATGCGATCAAGATCGGCGTAGGACACAGAGAGCTTTGACGCTGACGTTTTCGCTGACCCCGACAAGCTCGAACCGGCTGGGCCTATAGCGTTGTAACCGGTTGCGGGTACATTGTTGTCAGTAGGCTCTACGCTACCGTTCGTCTCCTTGGGCCCATGGAGCTCGGCATGTTTGTTTGCCCACATCTGTAATTGGGGAGCCATAGCAATGACTTTCTTGCCGTTGGGTGCGAGAAGATCTTTCTCTGCCTTCCTTTTCTTAGAATCTTTTCCCGTAGGCCGGTCGAGATCATTCTTGGGCTGTTCCATAGTCTGGGGCTTGTCCTCGTATAGAGACTCGTTAAATATTATGTACTCGCTGGCATAGACAGAAGGATTCCAGTAAGCAAGTCTTAGTGATTGATTATGTGTCGCTGAGAACGTGAACCGACGATCTTCATCTTGAACAGGGTGGAGGAAGGGTATGAAAACGCCGGAATGAATGAATGCTATGGTGACAGGTTTCGAAGCAACGGTGAATTGTGGAGAGGCGCTGTACTTGGCCATAGCTGCTCGAGCATCGTCCAAAGTCGAGAATTCGGAGAAGGCATAGTTGCAACTCAAGTCAGAATACTTGTCTCGAATCACGAATACGCGTACCAACGAGCCTGGTTTGGCGCCTAGTCCACTGGTATTGCCAATTGGAGCTGTGCTCTTGAGTTTGCTAGGCGTAATAGATGACTGCTTTGACTCGTCCTCCTTGGTCACGTAGAGCTTCTTCATCTCAGAAGCCAGAACAATCTCAGTCACAGATGAGGCCAAATCACGTATAACAATAAATTGGGATGGCGTTTGTTGTGGACATTCGTCGCTTTTACCGTCGAGTTTCATGTCAGTCGTGTTCTCCGCTGTTTCCAATAGTTAGTATGGAGAAGATGTTGTTTCTTGATTCGCCTATATCGATACTCACAAGATCTAGGCGCCTTGCATTGCTTACAAGTGACGCGACGGGAGAAGTTCTCAAAGTAACACTGAGGATGTGAGTCAGATAATCTGAAAGAGAATGGGATCACAGTAGAGCATATCCTTACCATGGTGCATTTCCAATCATCTGGGTTCGCTACGTGCCGACGTTCCCGGCTATATTCAATAGGTATGCGAATGGACGAGTTGTGGCCAACTGGAATGTCCAAAGAAGGATAATGTCTTTCGAGGAAGTCGACTGCATCATCTTCAGATCTGAACTCAGCAAAAGCATACCACCGACGAGCTCCTATCATTGAATTGAGATTAGTCGTATATCGAGATGGCAATTCAACGGTATTTCGATGTTGGCACTCACCATTTCGATCGTCTGATTTAATCCGAACCTCGACAAGACCACCAGCGCCAATTTCCCGTATGATGGTCTCGATCTGTCAAGAAAATGTTAACGCGCCGGATGTGGAAGGATAAAGGTGAAAATAAGGTACCGATTACCTCGCGCGGGGTCATCCTGTCGGGTATACCATCTAGCTTCAGGGTATGGTAGGGCCGGCCAGGCCTAGATCGATGGCTTGGACCATGGTCGTGGTAATAGCCATCATCGGCGGAATCGTTGGGTGATGATGCGCCAGAGTTGGGGCGTCGGGGACTTGGGTGGCGGCGCGCTCGAGTGCCGTCATGGTCTACGTAGTGTCGATCCCGACCGCGATCGAACGAAGGTGAGTAAGGCCTTTCAAGACCAGGTCCTCTGGGTGCCCTTGGAGGGGTCCTTCTAGGCGACCTAGAGGATTCTTTCCTCGCAGGGAAGTCAGCGCAAGCTCAGCACAAGTCTCGACAAGTCATCCTCCAGGCTGTATCATTTTTTACCATGCCGCGAACGATAGTGCTTGTCCCTGGGTGCGGGTGATCTGCGTCTATAATACTCGCGGTCCTCGCGAGGTCGATGATCATAGTCGTCATACATGTTGATTTCTCACTCCGGACTTGGAGGAGATGATAGTTGGTATGCGATGGACTTCTAGAAGTGTTGGCGTCATGCGCGTAGAAAGAAGCCGAACGATAATATATATAAGTATGAAAGGGAGATTGAAAAAAATAAGTTAAGTAGATAGTTTTATCTGGGCTTGGCTTGAAAAATGAGGTAATGTAACTGGGTTAAGGTAGGTAGGTAGGCAAAGTACCTAGGTGAAGTGAGGCATTGAATGTTTGGATGTTGGATGTTGGATGTTGGATGTTGAACATTGAATGCTGAATGCTGAATGCTGAATGCTGAATGCTAAATGTAGCATAGAGCATTGAAGGTGTAAGGTCACTAAGGTGAGGGTAGATAAGACCTCTTTAGCCACTAGTGTAGTTATCTAATGCTTAGAAATGTATTTAGAGGGTACATGAGCTGTACTAGAGCTCTGATATAGGCATAGATATGTATCTAAACCTTTGGAAGTGTTACCTAGTAAGGTTTCTTACGTACATACCTGATACTATCAAGACCTCTGGTTCTAGACTTGAGCTTTTACTTCTACAACAACAACAGCAACAACAATCTATCATGGACAACGAAACATCTGAAATTAATGAGGACCATTGCTATGTTGGCTTGACTCGTGATCACCTCAATTTGAACCTTGTCGCCGATAAAGTCCGCAGTCCTCAAGCAGGCGCCATTGTCATGTTTGCGGGCAAGTTACCTTCTCATACCTCGTTTCCATTATCCTGATTATCTCTAGGTACTACTCGGGATAATTTTGCTGGGAAACCTGTAAAGGAGTTGCAGTACTCAGCTTATAGTCCGCGAGCTCTGAAGACAATGCTGGCCATCTGCAAAGACCTCCGTACGACGCACGGCCTCATTTCCATAGCCATGATTCATCGCCTCGGCACCGTCCCGATCGGTGAAGAGAGCATCTTGATAGCTGTGTCTGCGCCCCATAGGCAAGCTGCTTGGAAGGCTGCCGAGCAGGCTCTTGAAGATTGTAAACAACGTGTGGAGGTATGGAAGAGGGAAGAATTTGAAGGCGAAGACGGCGTCTGGAGGGCCAATAGAGACGGCGCGCCGGGCCATAAAACCTCCTAATTGCATTCATGACATTTATTAAGTATCTACCTAGATTGGGTGTCTAGACTGATCACTGATCAGTTACGTGTGGCCATGATCGCCATGATCGCCCTGATCTCATATTCACACCTGTAAGCATGCATATGTATAATCTGGGGTGTCCTCTACGACTAATCAGCCCTCGAGCGAGACTATACTACTATAACATATTTACGGACCTGAAGCGACGTAGCGTGACTTTCAGCACATATGATTGATTGATCATCCCTCCCGAAAGTGAATGAGTTTTTTTTATAAAAGGGGTGGTAGGACCTGAAAAAGGAAAGGAGGATAATCAAAATGCTCCCGTTCATTTACCGGCTGAATGGCTATTGTCGAGCCAAGGGGCAGCACGCCGGTCTCGATCTTTAGATCGCACGGTTGGGGGTGGGCCGCGGCCGAGGATTCTAAGCGTGGCCGATGCTGCTATGCTCGTCTCGTTCTTGGCACGGCCTCTAGCTCCCGTTTCACGATTGGACTTCTCAGTTCAATCTCCACCTGCCACCGTCCCCGTACCTTTCGATCTTTCGAGTACATACCTAACCAGGTATGTACGCTTGCCCTTAACAACATTCTACAAAGCTGGGTGTACAAGGTGTCACAAACTGAGACTCGTATCATATTCGTACCCTCGTTGAGCTGGGTACACACATAATACATGCTTATCTACGTGCTATTTCCATGGACATCTGGAATTGAGCATCCTGTCGGTCCGAATTTGCCAAGCCACAGTACCCTTTCCTACATACATAATAGTACACAGGCTTTTAATTGGTAGGTAGGTATGTATGTATGCATGATTTGATACTTATCGCTTTTAATAACTTACTTTGGCCTCTACATACTACATGTGTACCTCACATGAGCCAGGTATTCCCGGTCCCGCCGCGCTGGGCTAGACAAAGTAACCGCATCGTGGTTATCCGTCTAGTCGGGGATGGGGATGAGTATGGGGATGAGTATGGGGTTGGGGTTGGGGTTGGTTCAATTTAGGCAGGTCGTCTACTGGCTGACTCCCGTTGGCTTGCGTTCCCGTTCCTAGCTTCGACCCTGGCCGAGACAATTATTCTTCCTTATCGGATCCACTCGAGTTCCATTGCGCGTAATGTCACAAAAGTGACAGATGCGTTCCGAGAGCTGTTTAACTTGGTTCATATATGTATCATAGTATAAAGTTCTATCTACCCCCTCGACCGGTCACCCCGGCGGGTTGTAAGTCTAGGCTCTGTCCTTGACCCCTTTCCACCTATTCTGACACATAATAGGTACCTATGAATATCTTTTCTTGATATCATCATATAATTACCCCCTGACATCACTATGGTGTTCAGCTTCCGCAAGCGCGCTGCCGCCACCGAAGAGGCCTCCGCGGCGAGTGCCTCTTCTCGTGAGGTGGTAGACGCAACTGGTGCCGAGGCTTTGAATACACTCAAACGCTTTGAAGCACAACACACTCTCGACCCTAACTTGCCGATCGAAGAGCTTAACGATGTCGATGCTGTTCTTGCCAGCAACAATGTTGAGAAGGGTATTGAGATTGAGACTACTCTGCTGGAAGATAATAGCCCTTACCCAGAGGTAGGTCTCCCACTCGCCATGCCTTGCCTCTTTTGCTCAGACACCTAAAGCTGGTGAAAGGTCTGCGCTGCAGTAAGAAACTACGATGTCGACTTGCCGGCCAATACCATTCGCGCATGGGTGATCGGTCTACTGTTATGCACTATAGGATCGGCCGTTAATTTGCTCTTTTCTTTGAGAAACCCTAGCATACAGATCACCACTTATGTCGTCCAGTTAGTCGCATATCCGATCGGGCTGGGATGGGACTTGGTCTTTCCTGACCGAGTGTTTACTGTTTGGGGAGTCAAGTTCAACTTGAAGCCTGGCAAGTTCAATTTTAAGGAACATGTCATCATTGTCGTGATGTCGAACGTGAGTCCAACTGTATCTAGGTTTGGCATGCATGTCCCATACTAAATAATATGACCACCTACAAAGGCAGCTTACGGTGGTGGCTTCCTCTATGCTACTGATGTTTTAATCGCCCAGCAGGTGTTCTGTAAGTTCAGTCCCATGTCATGGGTACTTGTGGTCAAGCTGATAGTGGAGAAAGATAAGCAGCATTTCGGCTGGGCCTTTCAACTCCTGTTTGGCATTACCACACTTTGCACCGGCTACGGTTTGGCTGGACTTGCTAGGCGGTTTCTCGTATGGCCGGCTGCCATGATATGGCCTTCGGACCTCGTCAATGCTACGCTATTCTATGCATTGCATGATCACTCCCCTTCCGACCCTGCGAAGACGAATGGGTGGAGCGTCAGCCGATATAGATGGTTTCTGTACGTGATGGGAGGTGGATTTGTCTGGTACTGGTTCCCTGGCTGGATCTTCCAGGGCCTATCGTACTTCACCTTCATCTGCTGGGCTGCCCCGAAGCACGTGGTGGTCAATAAGTTGTTCGGGGGGTTGCATGGATACGGTCTCTTGCCAACCACTTTAGACTGGACAGTGGTTTCTGGCTTCGCACTCTCGCCGCTTATACCGCCATTTCACGCCGTAGCCAACACCGTGGCTGGTGTAATTATATTCTTCCTGTTTGTTTCGATGGGCCTACACTTCACGGGGAAATGGTATGCCGACTACTTTGTAGTCCAATCTTCCAATGCCTTCGATAACACGGGTGCTGTCTACGATGTCTCTAAGATCCTCAATGAAGATTTACTATTCGACGAGGAGAAGTATCATGCCTATTCCCCCCTCTTCCTCTCCACCCAGTTCGCTCTTGCGTATGGACTATCTTTTGCTGCCATGGCTGCCGTCATTGTGCACGTCGTTCTATACCACGGAAAACAAATTGTCACGCAATTCAAACTTGCCCGTAAGCAAGAGGATGATGTCCATATGAAGCTAATGAGAAAGTACCGGGATGCCGAGGACTGGTGGTATCTTGCACTCTTTGCTATCATGATTGGCTTGTCGTTTGTTGTTTGCTGTGCTTGGCCGACTGGGTTTCCCGCCTGGGCTTATGTGGTCTGCATGTTGATTGCATTGGTGTGGACTATACCGGTTGGTATTGTCCAGGCGATCACGAATATCCAGCTTGGGTTGAACGTGTATGTAAACCTTAGGCCTATCTCCCCGGCCCTTTCTTTCACTCTTCTTACCCCCCATTAAGCCACTGTTATGTGATAACTACAAGGGGCTGTTGCTAACTTGTCGTTGTAGGCTTACAGAATTTGTTATTGGTTATATGCTACCTGGCCACCCCCTAGCCATGATGATGTTCAAGAACTACGGCTATATCTGCATGGCACAAGCGCTTGTAAGTATCTTCTGGTCGGATCTCTCGCAGGTCTCGATTACTAACCTCGATCCACCAGTACTTCTCCCAGGATCTCAAACTAGGGCACTACATGAAGGTACCTCCCCGCGCAATGTTTTGGTCACAGCTAGTTGCTTCCATATGGTCTGCCATTGTCCAGATTTCTGTCATGAATTGGGCACTAGGCACGATCCCCAACGTATGCAGCGATGACCAGCCTGACAACTATACATGTCCCAACGGCAGGGTTTTCTATACCGCATCAGTCATATGGGGCGCTATCGGCCCTGCACGGAGTAAGTTAGTTTCAGAGGTTGCAAGCTGTCTCGTATATGCGTTATCGGTCTGTCTTACAAAGGAGTCTGCTAATAATTCATTCCTATTGCAGTGTTCAGTGGTGACGCTATATACGCCTCACTGCAGTGGTTTTGGCTCGTCGGCGCGATCAGTCCTGTCATTACCTGGTTCCTGGCTCGTCGAGTGCCCAAATCGATGTTTGGGTTTGTTCGTTCCATCAACATGCCCCTTATCTTCGGTGGCTCAAGCATGTTACCTCCTGCTACTTCGTATACGTATCTTTGCTGGGGCGCGGTTGGCATGTTTTTCAACTACTACATCAAGCGAAGGTGGAACGGCTGGTGGCTGCAATATAACTACATCACCTCGGCGGCTCTCGACTGCGGCTTAGTGGTTGGAACGATCATCATTTTCTTTACTCTCTACCTTACTTCGACCCAGCTGCCAAAATGGTACGGGAATTATGATGTCTTCGATACACTGGACCAGACGGGGATGGCTATTAAAACATTTGTTGCAGAGGGGGAAACCTTTGGACCGACATCCTGGCCGTAACTTGAGAAATGCGCCTGGGTGTAATGTCCTCAATATTGGAATCGCAGAAAATATGAGAGCCGAGTTTCTCAGCATCCTGAGTAGATCACGAAGGGTTCCCGGGAAAGGGGGGTTGAATGCTGTTCCAGGACTGGGATGTAGTAAACAACTAGGCCTTCATAAAGGTGCCAAAAAATCTGGCCGGCACTCTCGAGGAGGGTAAATAATCTCATCGTGTCGAGTGAAGAGGACATGGAATACTATTGAGTGTTATATTATAAGCCGCAGTTTGGCTTGACACTAACACACACGTGAATCTGCTATCCGCCTAGACGTTCATAGCAGCTATATTTACACCTAGATTAGAAGGTATTGTTAAATACCTAGGGAGAGTTTCCAGTTCGCCGAGGATATAAAGCCAGTTGAAATCCAAATCAAGTTTTCAGCATCCCGTCGATTTCAACAACACTCCCATTCATATATCTGGCTTCATCACCCATTAAGAACGCCACAACCTGCAATTTTTACATTAGCCCATGTTCGTTTAAGGACGCGGAAAGTAACTTTGGACTTACACCCGCAATATCGTCCGGTGTGCCCATTCGACCGAGTGCATTACCCTGCTCCATTCTTCCCCTCGCCTCGGCCGTCCCTTTCGCGATCCCGGCGTTGGTTGGGGTATCAATATAGCCTGGGGCGACAACATTTACGCGAAGGCCCTTAGGTCCCAATTCCAGAGCCATGCACTTGCTGAATCCAATGACGCCGAACTTGGTTGCACAGTAGATGGCTGTCCCCGCAGAAGGATTCCACCCAGATATGGAACTGACATTCACATAGCTGCCACCAGGGGTTGTCATGTGCGGTATGGTGGCCTTGGTTACGTTGTATGTGCCCTTCAAGTTTACGCCAACGAGCTTGTCGAAGTAATCCTCGCTCGTCTCTGTCAGGGGCATGGAGGTCGGGTTGATACCAGCACAGTTGAATACGTGGTCAATGTGTCCATATCTAGATACAACATCCATAACGCACTTCTCCACATCGGCCGCCTTGGACACATCGAGGGCAAGACTGGTATGGTGACTGGTGCTGTTGGTGTTGCTACTACCACATAGCTCAAGTGTCTCAGCAATACCGGCTTCGTTGATGTCTGTGATGGCTAAGATAGCGCCAAGACCGTGGAGTTTGATTGCCGTCCCCCGACTATTATATATGAATAAGACTAATATAAGCGAATGAGGGAGCAAATGATTCAAAGTGATAAGGTAGAGCTTGAAGGGGGGGGGGGGGGGGGGTGATTGGCAGGTATTAGGTAGGTAAGCCAGAAGCGACGCATACTTACCCGATACCACTTCCAGCGCCAGTGAGCAATATCACTCTACCAGAGAGGCTTGATGGCATTTTGAATATGTGATTTGAGCTGTAGAACTTAAGTTTTATGACTTACTACCTAGTCACTAGTTTACTACCTTAGGTAGGTAATTATATTATTATATTATTAGTTATATTGCTTTCGAAAGAGCTTCCAAGTCTATTACACGGTGATAACCCCCACTTACGAGCTCCCCGCTTTCCCAAGCTCGGAGGAACACTGTTGATACACTTACGTTGATACACTGCATCAATATACGGGAGCTTATCTGCAAATCATAATTCACTTACATACGAAGTATCTAACCTGCTAAGGTACTAGGTGAGGTAGATACCTACATGTACCTAGGCAGATAAATACATACCATACATACCATACATAATAATGTCAAGTTATGAAATTGGAACCCTAAAAGGGACTAAAAGGGACTAAAAGGGGGAACATTGAAGTTGAGAAGTACTATACACTAATTATAGCTGTGAACATTTTGCATACATCATCTGTGGCAGTCTTTCACCACACGCCCCCTTATAAAAAGAACCCGCCAACCCGCCAACCCGCGAGCTCGATCCGATTTGGAGATTGCCATTTCCCTAACCCTGGCCTCGCTCAAGCTCCATAAGCTGGTTTGAACCCAATAAAGAAGAGATAGGATGAGGACCTAGGCTCGCCGTGAGCCTCCTGACACCCATACCAGCTCTGCATGCAGGTAGCCATGATGAAAACTGATGCCAGGGTATACATAATATCATATGCACCGTAAGTTGCGCCGATTTTAAACGCCAAAGCACCTGAATGAAAACACCGCACATAATCCAGATTATTCGTAAAACTTGTCGTCCCATTCGTGCTCGAGCATTTCTACTGGAGCGGGCCACCACGACATCAAAGGTCCGCCAATGTCGGATACATGTTCGTTCGTCGGCAGCACGCGAGCGTTTTTGTTGGCCACAGACTTTTCTTCGACCCATTCGTGCTCCATGAACTCGATGGGCTCGGGCCACCAGGACATCAACGGGCCCGAAATCTCGGGGACGTGGTGCTCCTCCGGAGCAGCGATCCGGACATGCTTGCTTTGGTTGTCCAGACCGGAGATGAACTCCGATGAGGTGTCCATCGTACGCGGCGATGATTCCTCCATCTGTCTACCGAGGAAGACGGGAAAGTCGAAGCCATCTTCGAATCTTAGCGGATTCCTCCGAGAATAGGTGTTGGGTGGGGATGGCAGGTACGCACCTTCGTCGACATCGGACTCGCAGTCGCTGAGTATTGGGGTCTCGTTGGTCTCTGACAGCGGTGTTTGCGTACCCGTCATGGGAGACTCGAGCGGCGTACAGTAGCCATCACGGTAGACGTGGTTCACGATGACCCTATCCTTGTGGCCATCGTGGTGCATGTGGTTGGCATAGAGGAGGTGGGATAGGTCATCCTCGTTATAGATGGCAACTTCTGAAGTTATTGTGCTGTTGTCTTGGACGGGCCTGGGTTTAGATTGGGTGGCTTTGGCTTTGGCAGCCATTTGCTCTAGCTGATAGATATCTCCTTGCATTGTGGTGATGGTGGTTATGGTTTGTGATTTGTTGATACTTTAGATCTGATGTAGTAATGTAGTAATGTAGTGATGTAGTGATGTAGTGATGTAGTGATGCAGTGATGTGATGATACAGTAGTATATCAATCAGTGTTAGATCTAGATAGATATGCTATGGTTTTATATACAAGAGGCCAAGGCGGATCTCACCTGCTATGATGCCTTGAAGTGAATTTATTATACATACAAACATACAGTACATACATACGGTATCAACCCAACCATCGTACTAGAGCCATCCTCGAACTATGAGATCCGATCTATTCTCGTCTCATCCGACCAAGCTGATAATTTCAAGGGCATCGCCTTGCCTAGGCGGATGACTCCTAGACGCGAGGAAAAATCAGTGAAAAATTTAAAGCGGACTTTTAGTGGCGTGTTGTTATGTCAGTACCCTATTGACCGTCGTATGATTGAGACAGTTGGTTGTCCACTGGAAATTTTACGGGGCTTTACGAAAGCTGAACTTCCGGCTTCACCCGAACCCATCTCCTTTACAGCCTTGGCAAGAAAAAGAAAAGGTCAACGCGATCATGATTTTTCAAGATAATTTTATTTCTAGCGGCAAAAGTCCGAGCAGGCATTTAAACGAGTTAGCTATAGTCAGGAGGCTCCATCAGAGGTCTATTAGAGGTCTATCAAAGGCCCAGCTGACCTAACTCCTTTAAACTATACATGTATGTATTCTACAACGTAGTAGTTATCTGTTCCTGTCCAAGGTTCTCTATGATTTGTGAGTCTTCTCTTCCCAACTTTTCATTGCCCCCTATAGACCTCGCATGTTAGTATGATATAACTACCACCCCCTTTTAATACAAGGCGTCGGCACCCAATGAAGTCTTACCTTGACGTGGTTGAAGATATCGGTCTTGACAAGTTCCAAGTCCCTGTTTGCATCCACCCTGACCACTTGTGTTCCACACCCTTCGAGGGCGTCCAGCATTGACTGGCTCTCGGCAACATTGCGGTTCACTCTATTTTCTACCTTTTGCATATCCGCATCGTCTGGTCGTTTTGAGTTCTGAGCTCGTCCTAGTACGCGTTCGATGGAAACAGCTGGCGGACAGAACATGTGAAGCGTAAGATCCGCACTCGGCATGTGTGCCATCCATTCAGCAACGTGTTGCGCTGTGCGTGGAAAGCCGTCAATGAGCCAAGTCATCTGACCATATCGACTCACTCCTGTCTCGATTGTTTCCTGAATTAGTTTGGCTGAGACTCGGGCCGGGAGCAGCGGGCTGCTTGCCCCCTCGCGTCTTGGGAAGCTGCTTATCCAAGATCCGGGTATGTCATCCTGGTAACGGACCAGGTCCCCATACGAGAGATGGGTTAATCCTGGGAACGCATCCTTTAGGAACTTCGAGACCGTACCCTTACCCACGCCAGGTGCCCCTAATAGAAATATTATAAGGGGTCGGATAGCGGGGCGAGCAGCTTCGATCGGTCGTGAACTATTAAACCAAAGAAAACGGCCTAGCGATATTTTCTGTATCGTACTCACACCCTTCTCAGAGTTACCCACTTGAAGCGAGCAAAACTTCCAAGACTTTACTGGGGGAATATATCGCAGAAACACCACGACGAAGCTTTTAAGCATATCCATTGTCTAGTGAGACTAACAGGCAACGAACTCGATTACTGATTATTGTCAAGATTGGATTTGTGAATATGTGTTGGTGATCCTAGGTAAAGCTCATAATCTTCTTGGACTGATGATAACAGAGGAGAGGAGAGAAGGCCGTGGTTTAAATACCTGCACATTACAACTCAGACTCAGATCAGAATTACCTCTATATCGAATCGAATCGAATCGAAATAACTGATCAGTTATCACGTATGTTGAGGTTGTGCAAATCCTAGTTACTAGATCCAGATATTTCAAGAACGGTTTGACGTCGCTGCAAACGCCCAAATATCCCCTCTATACGCTTGAATACATGCCGTAATGTAATATAACTGCATCCGTCCTGTTTATCGTAAGATGCGATTTGACTGATCAGCGGGATAGCTGGTTATACAACATCTCGGGCCGTCGGTATCGTTATTGCGTATAATTTCATATGATTTTTGAATTTTTGGACCTTCTAACAGGATCATTCCTCTGTCATATATGTTAGCTAACTCGGGTGCCCAAATCAGAATCACATCCTGATTGAAATGGACTTGCATATGCAAGGCTGAAGGCTCGACGCGAGAAATTCTTGAATACTCCCTTTGTCTTTGGCGCCTAGTTATCCAGGCTTGCAAAGAACCAGTTACCTTCTCGAAAGCGGCTCTACCTACCTTCGTAACGAGGGCGGCAAGCTAGGCCAGACTCTTTGGGGGGCTCATAATTCACAGGTGTTCATATGCTTGAAACAGAAGGTTAGATAGGGCTATCAAAGATTAGCAGGTAAAGCCTTTGCTATCTCAATTCTCAGAAGCGTTGGCTATAGTGCGATATCTAGTTTGCTCTCCTGTCTTCCCGTAAAGGAGTGTGGTCGGCCGGCTGGTGGCAGATACCGATGTTCCACTACATGGAGTGTTTCACGGTAAATAACCAGGTACGTGCTACCGCTGCTTCAGTTAGAAGGCATTCTTATGTAGACATACATAACATACATTGTAGTATAGGTACTAGGTACTGGACGACCGGAAATGTTTCCCTCCGAGTCCTTGGAAGTCCAACACCCTCGAACATGTCGTTTTGGTGTTAGTTGACAAGCCATTCCCCCCAAAGCCCCCATCTCCCTTTTCCTTCCCTTTGCCAAAGCCATGACACTACACCTACTCCAAACCAAGAGTCATGGCCCAAGAGATAATCACGTATAATTTTGAAGGATCGAAGTCCCGTTTGCAACGTTTATATTCCACATTCATTCGTTTGGATCAAGGTTTCTGTTTATCCTTCAGCTGAGTAAACATGTGTTGATAGTCTGATAATTTTCGAAAAGTATGATATTTTTCTGTGAGGGATATGTTAAATCGAATAGGAGAGGCACCTTCGCAAGGTAAATAGGATAGAGGGCTCGTATAGTAGTAATAGAATGCAGATTAAACCATTCTAAACTATCAGCTAGACCTGAGCCCTTCTACCATTAACCCAAGCCGCGGTAGCAAATTGGGCCAGCCTCATCCGCAACAAATTGAATTACCTAATGCTCTCAAACTTGGGAGAGCTCAGGCAATCTGTCAACCTAAATTAAAAAAGACCATTCACGATCTTTCCACCAAGCGTTGCACCAGCGCCGAAGATGGTAGCGTTTCCTAGTTTCTTGCCGAACTTCTTGCCCCCCTCTTCGAACTTGCTAGGCTTGGCGGGTTCAGCACTTCCTTGGCCACCACCCCCTTGTGCAACGGCCATGGGGGGAACGTGTGCATTGTATGGGTTCTGAGCCTGTGGCGGGGGCGGATAGGCCCCGTTACCTGCCGGGGCGGGAACAGGGGTAGCATATGATGGCTGCGTGGGAGCATAGAAACCAGACTTCTCATTGTTGTCTATCTGAACGTAGTTCTTGGGGAATATGCCCTCGGCGTTGGTTCGCTTATTACGTCCCATCCACCAGTCATCATTCATATACTCGTACACGGCGATTCCGTCGTCACGCTCGAAGGACAGGTCACGATCATCAGCCGCCTGATACTTATAGAGAGCCTTGGCGTGAGCAATGACGGGCTTCGTCGGAGGCGGAGGAGGTGGGCCTGTTCGGGCAGGGAGCGACGGTGGGCCGGTCGAGGCATAAGCGGGTGGTGCGGGATGGGGAGTTGGGTTCTGGCTAATTGCTAGGTTACCCATCGAGTGGGATAGTTGGGCTGATGGTGGCGGCGAGGCAACGGCCGATGTGCGAGTTGTGGGTGTAGCTGCATTGGAGAGGGAGGTCTCTTGGGGAAGCATTCGGTGAACTGAATCGAAGACATCGTCGGTTAAGACGCCCTTCTGGAGGAGATTCTCGAGCTCCTACATATAGTTTACGACAAACGATGGTTAGCGATAAGATACCCACTACTAGACTAGGCATCTGTAGTTATTGAATGCACATACATTCTTGATAAGCCGGAGCGACTTGTTGGTCGCGATGATTTCCTGGCGATCGAGAGTCACCATTTTGCGATAAATGCAAAGTATCAAATATCAAATATCAAATATCAGATATCAATATATGTATATTACGAAGTTTAAATGGCTTAAATATTCAAATGCTCAGTTGTTCAAATGTTGTTGGAGGAAGGAATGTTGGTTGGGGATTGGTTCTCTCTAGCCAGGGCTGTCTTCTTTTTAATAGTTCGAGGGGCTGTTCCTGCTACAATTAAAACCGTGGCAGTGCATTAGTTACACCCGGGCACATGCATTCCTTCATTCAATGGATGGTTCAATCTTCCCTACTTACATATGTACCTATGTAATCATTATTATAGTGCAACCTAAAGTTAGATATGTACCTAGGTCCTAACCTAGATAGTTATACCGACATTACGTACATATGTACATCAATACTATACAATACATCAATGTACATGCTACATAAGTTCAATGCTCATAATACTAGGTAATGACAATATACAAATGCATACCTACCTACATCAATGATGTATACAAAGTAGGTAGGTAAGGTTAGATAAAATATAAGACTTTTGTTTTTTGCATTGAATATTCCAATTGTAAGTCTTCATTTGATATCAACAAGTAACTAGATCTATGTAGTGAACGTAGTAGTACTTCTATCTATTCATGGATATAAATATTGATATAGGGATAGAGATGCCGCATCTCTCACCTACTTAAACAACGACGCCCCCATCTAAACGAAAGGGCTATTCTTTACAACGTACTTGTCAACGTACTCGTCTACGGCCGTGGCCTCGAGCTTCTTGCCGTCCATCCCTAGCTCAATCAGCTCCTTGACTTGCGACTCAGCCAAGTGTGGCTCTAGGTGTCGCTTATACTTGGCCAAGATGTGTGGTTTGGCCTCCTCTCTCCTTAGACGATGTCCCAACGGTGCTTCTACAACCACCTCTTTCAGCACTGTACCATCGTTGAGTTCCACGGTCAACGCGTTAGAAATAGTACGCAACTCTGGGTTGTGATAATCCTTGGTATATTGTGGGTCTTCGACACATTTGATCTTCTGGCGTAGTGACTCGACTAACGGTGACGTCGCCGCTTCGCTGCCATCTGTGTAATCTGTCGCTTCGAGCCGCCCGAATACGAGCATTACCGAGCACATGTACTGAATGCAGTGGTCGCGGTCCGCAAAGTTGTCCATCGGTTTGAACTGCTTGTCGATAATACGGACGCATGCCTCGTGCGTCCTGCACGTGATACCCTTGATATCAGCTGCCGACTTGCCCATTTCCTTGAGCTGATTGTGGATCTTTTGGGAGGCCTCTACCGCCGTCTGGGAGTGGAATTCGGCTTGGAGGATCAAATTAGCATAAAGGAAAGATCATGGGAGTTTTACGAGTGCCACAAACCTGGGTATGAAACCTTGAACAAGACATTTTCCATTACGTAGCTACCATAGGGGCGTTGGAATTCGAATTTATTGCCTTTAAACAAGACATCGTAGAAGCCCCAAACGGGTGCCGACAAGACGGTGGGGATGCCGGGTTCACCTTTCATAACCTTTAACACAAGGTTGACAGCTCTCTGGCAAGCATCACCGGCCGCCCATGATTTTCTGGACATGGTGTTTGGGGTGTGTCGATAAGTTCGTAAGCTCTGGCCGTCAACCCAGGCCTGCGTGACAGCATCGGCGATCTGCTTCTCGTTCAAACCGAGCATATGAGATACAACTGCTGCGCTAGCAACCTTTACCAAAACGACATGGTCTAGCCCGACCTTGTTGTAGGAGTTCAACAGGGCTAGGCAGCCTTGAATCTCATGTGCCTTTATCATACCCTCAAGAACATCCTTAACGGTAAAGATCTTGCCCCCGGCAAGGTTACCACCCGCCTTATTGGTGCGATTTACCCAGTCAGCAACAGCCAGAATAGCTCCCAGGTTATCTGATGGATGGCCCCACTCAGCAGCAAGCCAGCAGTCGTTGTAGTCGAGCCACCGGATCATGGCACCAATGTTGAAGGCACCATTGACGGGATCAAGTATAAAGTCGGTACCAGGGACTCTGGTGCCATTAGGGACAACGGTGCCGGGAACAACGGGGCCTAACAGCTTGGTACATTCCTTAAACCGCAGACCTTCAAGTCCGCAGCCTAGAGTATCGAGGAAGACCCATCGTGCAGTATCGAACTGTGGTGTTGGGAAATGAATTAGCCAGAATATTTCGGTCTACGTTTCTTTTTGCCCCTCTTCACTTTCCTAGCTCAAATACTAGGTAGGATATATATATATATATATACAAAGCTGAAATAGGGGGAGGTGCATACAGCTAATTCAGAGTTAATGGGCTTAGTCACGTAACTAGCAATGTCCCGAATCTCGGGATCGTATTCTCTTGCTTCCTGAGGCATTGCGTGAGCAGATTGTTGTGCGGCGGTGGTGGAGAAGGAAGAAGAGCGTAGGGCGTAGGGGGCTGGATGGGTAAGCGGTGTTGTAGCTCCGAGTTTCGCTGCTACTGCTCGTGAGGAAAGGGTTAGAGGAGCTATTCTTTGGAAAGTTATTGGGTGTAAGCGTAGTGATCGAGAAGCTGTTCGCATGCCACGATTGACAGAAGACATTGTGTCCCGGGCAGTTACTGCGTCAGCGTGACGAATATAATACTTTAGATGCAGAGCATGAGGTGAAGTGGTAGGTACTTATAGGTAGAGTTATTATAGAAATCAACTTTGAGAATTGAGGGTCAACTAGTTCCAAGGGGGGGAAGTTTAGTATTACATAGTATCTGCCACTAGTAGTAGGTACCTTATGTAGGTAGATTCAAGCTAGATAATTGCATATGTTAGTATCTACTACTACCTACTTACTCATCTACGTGCATATTCCCTCGGTATACATAGGTATTCCCTCGGCCCATGAGACAAGGGGAGCAAGTCCGGTTAGTTACGGCCAATGGCGGGGTAGGGGAATATCTTATTGAGATGGTGAACTATGATTGGTTAATTGCCATTAGATCCTACTATGTATCCAGGTATATCCCATCAAACTCACACAAAACTGCAAAATGCTTAGACATTTATGTATATATTCTAAGACTACTTCAAAAATAGTAACTTCAGGCAAGATGGCCGAGTTGGTTATGGCGTGAGGTTAAGGTCACCTTAACAACCAACTTCCTCATGGAGCAATCCGCGTGGGTTCGAGTCCCACTCTTGTCATGAATCTTTTATTTTTGTGCATTTCCCCTCTTTGCAATTCCATCTATTTTTATGCCATTTTACATCTCCGATGATATTACTACATGCGTGCACACTGCATAGTCCTTAAGTCCTTACATCCTTACTAATAGTTATCATTTGTAACGCTCCACTAGGTTATATACCTCAAGGCTACGCACAACACACAACACACAACACACACACAACACACAACACACAACACACAACACACAACACACAACACACACACAGCACACTAACGATAATCCAGTCACCGATCAAATAAAAAAAAAGTTCTATAAAAAATTACAGATGACAAGAGTGGGACTTGAACCCACGCGGATTGCTCCATGAGGAATTTGGTTGTTAAGGTGACCTTAACCTCACGCCATAACCAACTCGGCCATCTTGCCCTAGTTCGATGGATTTACGCCATCTGGCCCAGATCTGACAGTGTTTGGACCGTCTTGCTTTGTACTGGTGCCATATTCGTACTGTGCTTATATTACTTTATATTTATACCTCTAGCCTAGGTAAGTGAGTAGTTGATCTGCCTACCTAGGTAGGTAACTAGTAATGTAGCCTGAGAATTAGAAAGGGGCAGAGACATCTTGACATTATTTCATATATCTTTCCGCCAAGGAGCCTCACTTAGAAGAATTCAACGAGAAAATGAAAATCGACGTCTTTAAAATAGCATCAAAATCCATTGAACGAGTAGTATATACATACCTAGGTAGGTACCCCCTAATCATGAAGAACGTAAGTCTCTTTATTACTTTGCATATATATCCCAACCCTTTGTATACCTACATATGCCGACCTCTTAGTCTTGATACTGACAACCTTCTCGCATACGTCTCGAATCGGAACGATGCCGTCACGTAGTCATGCTCGGTGGCTATAGCTAGTATCGTCTATCCCTCAGCCTTAAAAACCGAGAACAAGGATATCACAGCACCTACGAAGGTGGCTTTCTCTAGGGAGGTACCGAGACCATGTTGCTTGTTTTTGGCTACTGTCCTAGGCAACAATAATGTCATGGCAGCCAACGCAGTCCTTGTGGGGTTATGAGAATCTCTTGCGCTGATTTACCTAGGTCTAGCAAGTGAACTACCGAACAATGGCGCCCCTGACATATCCACGATTGACAAGCTCTTCAATATTCTTCTCCAAACATTTTCGCTTGTACTCGCCTAGCTCTCTGCCGTTTCCGAGGGCCTCCACGATCCATGTGAATTCGAATTCTTCGGATGCGCGTGAGCATTTGTCCAAGATCTTTCTTAGGATCGCAGCTCTGCACCTCGGATCTCTGGCCGCCACATCCAAGCTGAGTGCAAACAAAGACTGCTTCGTCAGTTTCACATCTGCTGTGTTCCTGTCTGCGTCTATCCCCTGTTGCTCCTTCAACTCCATAAGTATTTTTGCGTACTCGTCTCTTAGTTCCCTCAACACCCAGGGCGCATCCTCGACGCGGTTCGCTTGGGGCTCCTCGTAGGAGCTCCTCCAGAATTCCGGTGCTGGCAGCCAGCGCCAGATGAAAGGGTTGAAATCTCTGACCAGCCAACGTGGATACGACTCATTTCCCATGGATTTGGGCGATATGCGCGCAGCATCCCAGCCTAAGATCGCCTTGATTTGTCCTTGCTTTGAGACGAGGATGTGTCGCATGCTGAGATCGGAGTGCGTAAGCACGAACTTCTTTTTCTCCCTTTTCTCCTGGATCAACCCAACGAGTAGATGAAGTAGCCGGTCTACACCGGCGTTTGCTTCGGTATTACCCTGATACCGATCTATCATCGCCGTGTACATCTCCGCAGGATCACCGAAGGTGCCAATCTCGGCATATAGGGGCACCCCCTCGCAGTTTTCGTTGTCAAACCAGCGCTCGACCATAGCCTGCACGTCGAGCTCCCTTAGAGGTCCCGCCCCCACAATGGCACCGTCATCGTCAAAGACCGGCGCCCCTCCGCGATCAAACTCGTACTTCCCTAACTGCAGCATCGCACGTGCTAGATTCCGCAAGATCTTGATCTTCCTCTCCCGGACCCTGTTCTCGTCCTCTCCGCCCTCCCCAAACCAGACGCGATCCAGGGGTTGGCCTTCCACGTATTCCATGATTAGATAGGGGACGTGCAGTTCGTTGTGGGGGGAGCTATCTGCATCGATGATCTCGGGGACAGGCACGCTAGTTTCCGTGCGCAGCATATACAACACCAGGGCCTCGGTACGCAGCATTTTGGAAGATAGTTTGTCCCACGTATCGGGTGTGCCATTGGCAGGTATCTTGATGATCCACTTGGTGCTCTCATGGGTCTGCGCGTCGTAGAACGCGATCGAGTAGAATACGTGCGCCGAGCCCAATGATGGACCCCTGATACGAGGGAGTCGTAGTGGGGATTGATCTTGGTCAGGGTCACTGGTGAGGTTGCGGCGGGTCTGCATGATGCCGAGTGCGAAGGAGGCGAGGGCCTCTGTATCGATCTGCGAGATTATACCAGCGAAGCCTCGAAGCCTCCTTTGATATATCCTCTCCTGCCTGTCGACAGTCTCGTGATGCACGTCTACTGGTGCAGAGTCGAGAAGCGCATCTTTGAGCGAGGGCAAGTCTCTTTTCTCATCTCGAGGAAACCCTGCGTCGTCTGCCCTGTCCTCCCATAACGCAAACTTCGCTAGCCTAGCCAATCTAGATCGTATCTTGTTCGTATCTAACCCGCCAGCATAGTCGAGATGGGCTAGTTTCCCTTTCGCACGCCATGATAACCCCAGTATGAAACCTATATCTGCATGCCGATCTCGAGCCACCCGAACTAGTTCAGCTCGACGATCGAACCGAGATTTCTCCACGAAGCTTTTTCCTTGACGACTAGTCATATTTTGGATACTATGTCAAGTTAACAACGGCAATACAATGCTATTCAGCTTTCTCTAATTTTCTATCTACTTTCTTTCCCTAATGAGTGGGTGAATATAAAGACCTCCAAACGATCTCTAAACAAGGGATAATTATATTATAACAAAGAAACCACATCCTCGCAATTCCTAACCTAGTAATGTCTCACGTCAACTTCCGTATCCGGAAAGCATGAATACCAATGTTCCGAATTCGTATTCTACCTAAGCTCGTTGCCGACTCTCCTCCACCTTTCTACTTTCTTGGTAGGATGTGGATATACGCCTACCTACTAGGTAAGTATACAGAGGGATGTCGTAATGCTTCTAGTCTTTAATGCAAGGGTATAACTATCACCCACTCCCCGCGAATTCCAACCGATTTAATCAATACCCGAGCTCCCTCTCCCAAAAGTTTATCAGATAACTATGTTGTGCTGTATGGTTATCATAAGGGGGGAGATACCTAAACAGAATCCCAACGCCTCCAATACTGCCAAGGACCCAATAAATCGCCACCAAAGAATCATGGCGATCAATCCTGACATACCCCAAGGCTAACTTATGAATGCAGGTGGCAGATTTAGTGACTCTAAGGTGAATCGATGCAAGACCAGAATGCAAAATAGCTCAACCACTTCGAGCCCGTGCCCAACTCATCCGTGACATGCCAGCCAGCCAGCTAGTTGTCCATCCGGCAACTCGCATCAAGGCCGAGTCCTACCGCGACCGATACCACCATGTACCGAGGCTAACCAGGAGCACGGTAACAAATAACATGATGCCCTGTTTTGACTGCGAGATCAGCATGGACCACCCGATGGTAGACTCCCACTTCTTGACTTGGGCTCTGTGCTCCCAGGACTGGAAATCGATGGGGAATGGCAATTTGATGCGTGGGTCGACAGGCCGCTGTTGATTGCCGCCCAACTCATTTTCGTTATCCGGTCCCGTCGGTATTCGCATGAGGCCATCAGGCTCAAGCATAGGCACCTTTACGCGTAGGAACACTGGTCTATGATCACTCGACCTGACAGCAGGAATTGCATCGTAGGCCGTCACACTCATCTTCTCGCCCGTAGTTTCTTGAACCCACCACGGCGTGTCAAGGAACAATACACGGTCGCACCAGCCCGGCCAACGATGCAAAGCCCACGACCACTCAACCTCGTCTATATCGTCCTGCTCGTCCCCGATGCGGGCAAGCTCCGTCTCCGGTTCAGCTTTGGGGGATAGTGTAAGTTTGTATGTCGGCGGAAATTTGATGTCTGCCTCGCTTAACCCGTGCAGTGTACGACTGGCAGCCTTCTCTGCGATTAGCTGGTCACGGCTTAGGAAATGATCAAAATAATTTGGACTCTCAGCGTCGACGTCGGGGAACACTGAGCCCGAGGTTGGTGAAGTCGTTGACAAGCGATAGTTTAGATCACCGGCGATAAAAAGGTGGGCACTAGGCTTGTATATGGATATATCCTGCAGTGCCTTGTAGTATGAGTCGTCCCGTCCAAGGAGAGCCTGTTGGGCTTCTTCAGATTCATCGGAACCCTGAAGTGTAGGTTGTAACGATGGGCGGCCTGCAAATCCCTTGGGGTCCTCAAAAACGAGGCCTGACACGATATTTTCCCAATTCTTGTTTCTCCTGGCTAGGTTCCACTCCATGGCGGCAAGGTGAGCAGCAACAAAAGTGAGCTCACTCCTTCGAGGCGTGGAATCACTACCGGCTTCCTTTTTCTCGCACACCACTCGAAGGCCTACAGCACCTTTATTCGCCATATCTCCTGCGCCAAATCCCACTTCGGCAGCCTGGAGGCTTTGCACGACTACCGGGTCACGGGTGAAGAACATAATGCCTGTCATACCAACATTGCGCATGGCCACCAATGTATAGGGACGGTCTTTTGGGTGATGCTCACGCTCTTGTTCGGCAGTAAACTTAGCAGCGGCAACATTGACAGCCGATTCATAGCGCTGGAAGTACGGATTGAGCATGTAGGATCCAATGAATGCCTGGGCCATTGGAGCCATCTCCTGGAGGGAGCTAAGCAGCATGAAATGCATAGGTTAGTAGATAGTCTTGACGTGTGTACGTATTTGAATTGGCACGACGCTTACATGACGACCAATTCAGGCAATACCGAAGCATGTTGTCCAAAAGCATTATATAGGTGTCGAGAAAAGACTGGAATATTAATCTGACACTTTGCAGCATTGAAAGTGAGTATAAAGACGTCCAACGTCGGAATGGAGCCCATCTCTGCAGGATCGCAAACTTGAATCTGTTGAATATGAGAGTGATGTTGTATTGTATTAGCAAGTTTGATAGCGGCGTGCGAATGTTACCCTTTCAAGTTTATTATGTAGACATTCATGTGTATGCTATTGTATGTGTATTGTATGTATACCTAGGTAGGTTGTAAGTATACCTAGGTAGGTAGGTATAAAGCAAGCGAAAAAAAAAAAGGATTGAAGCTTCCAAGGTTGTTAATATTTAGAAATCGAGCTGTTCTTACCTACCCGTCTTTGTATCACTTGTATCACCTTCCCCCAGTCTGTCGGGTCCATTCGGTGGGGTGCTTTCCTTACCTAGTAGGCTAGGGTTAACTATCAAGGACTCAAGGGGGAATAAATGCAAGGATGTTGAAACTAAATCTTCAATTCTCGCCTGTATTAACAAAGATATCAACATGTATTATGTCATTGATATGCTACATACTACCATCTTTCCGAAACTTGAATCAACCACATCAACCGGTTAGGTAAGTAAGTAGGTTACACATGTAATATTCCCCTTTTTGGATCTCTCTTTTTTTGCTTTTTTGCTTTTTTGATTAGACACACCGACACACACACACAGACATTCCAAACATATTAATCGTATTTATCATTCATACAGTACTTACCTGTTGTAGGTGGCCAATTAGGTAGGCCTATTCAATATCGTCATCGTTCATGTGACCAATGCTATGCACAGCCTCTTTGCTCACCTACATGGGAACCAATTATTTCCCTGTTTTACTTCGACTTTACTTTCGTCACTGATAGTCCCAATAAAGCAAGACACAAATGTAAAACGCCAATGCAAATAAATTCATTCTGTGTAACTACCTAACGTGTATTGGGTGCCTAATGTCCTTGTTCCGAGAAACCTCCTCTTCTTGCACATTTCGCGAGTCTGCCCAGTCGGCACCACCTACCCATCACGACATCGTGAACTCCGTCCGATAAGTACCGGGCCGTCGTCCAAAATGTGTTGTGAACTACTCGTAGGCGAATGCTCTCTGCTTCTTGTAGATCCTGCTCCGGTTGCTGGTTTGGAAGTCTTGACGAGCACTTTCATTAACCCGTTATGAGGTGGCTACTAGAGGATGGGTTGTATCATCGGATGCGTATGAGTTTGATCCCCTAACGGGCGGCCGAGAGTATCGTTGCATTATCTGACCCCAGCAGGTTGGTCGTCAGGTATACCCATATAGGCGATGCAGTCTCGAACGAAACCCGAGTTCATGCTGTCATTGAACAATAACAAAGCATTGGCCCATTGTTGGGCTGGTGTCTGCCAGAGCCGGTCTCCAGAGGTAAACCGCATCTCTTCATTATAGCATCCCATGGAGAGGAGGTCGGCGTGATAAGTCCAATATCCGAGTAGGAAAACGAAAAGAGAAACGATCGAAGAAGTGAAAAGAAACCCAAAGGATAAGATCATATCAGAAGGCTCATGTATCGCATCGAAGGGCTGTCGACCATCCACAGAATCTAGATCGGATTCTGGGATTGTCGATGCTCAATCTCTGGTCAGGCTTTGCGTACTAGTCACGTACAAGGTTGAAATGCGTGTACTAGTAGACAAGTCTTGATAGACTAAATCCCGTGAACGACACCCCGAGTTATTCAGAGTGCCGGAAGTGCCGTTCAAACAAACCAAGGCTACTCAACAAGAGCGTCGAATGTGTCCGAAAACACAAATCTACGTCTTCTGAGTAGCCAGGTTGTCCGAGCCAGGGAATTGAGTCGTAAACCGAGAGTCATCGAAGAACGGAAACAATAGCAATCCATAAGATATGAAAGGGATTATACGTGGTCCTCAATCCATTTGTAATTGGCTAGATCCACCGTGGGATGTTTTTAAACCAATGCAAAGGGGGGAGAGAAAGGGCTGCCACGATTCCGATATTTTCGTTGTGCGGGCCGACATTCGTTTACGCCCGCCACAACGTAACGGAGGGTACTAACGTTAAACGCCAATAGATCATTTCGGTCGATAGGAGCCAGATGCGTAACCGGAGCCAGCACCTTGACCTTTAGAAGCTGATCGCAGCCTGTTACCGCAAACTGAAGTGTCAGCAAATCATGTCAGCAATTCCTCCGGCTAGCGCTGTAAATCACACCAAACGCGAAGGAAATATGATTCCTTACTAGGAATATTTGGGCTGGGCTGGGCTGGGCTGGCGAGACACTCACATCCTGTCGCTTCCCCCGACGGCACGGCTGGTCTCTGGAGTGTCAATGTTGGGAAGGCCGCGCTCGATTACCTTACGACGAGTGCTGGGAATCGCGTTAGGCTTGACACCAGATTGGGGGGTCTGGCCAGCAGTTGCCGCAGTCGTTCGACGGGCTTTGTCGTCATCCTCTTGGCCAGCAGCTTGGGCAATAGCCTGAGCATTCTTCTGGTACTTGTAGACAGTCCAGTCAAAGACGTAATCATATTGGAATCCCTCACGAACAAACAGATCGCGGAAGATCTTTCGAAGATAGCTGTAGTCAGGCTTATCATCGAATCGAAGCGAGCGAGTGTAGTTGAGGTAGATGGCGAACTCGTTGGGAAAGCCACGGCAGAGGACCTCGGTTGGGGTGGTCATCTTCTTCTCCATGATGCGGTCATATTTCTGCTTCTTGGTAGCAGCCTTTAGGCCCTGCCAAGGAAGCGAACCCCGACAGAAGTATAGCATCACGTATCCCAAAGACTCCATATCGTCACGTCGGGATTGTTCTATATATGTCAGTACTCTAAACCGACTGTATGATGGACCGTGTCTACTTACCGACACCAAGATGGGTATTGATCGAGGCATATCGAGCAGTGCCAGTCAGGTTCTTGTTCTCACGGTAAGGAATATGGAAGTGAGTCTTGGGGTCACGGTATTTCTTGGCCAAGCCGAAATCAATGACGTTCACCTGGTTGCCTCGCTTTCCAATGCCCATCAAGAAGTTGTCAGGCTTGATATCACGGTGGATGAAGGACTTGGCATGGATGTACTCGATACGTGAGATGAGTTGATCGGCTAGGAGGAGTACCGTCTTCAAGGAGAATTTCCGGTTGCAGAAGTTGAAAAGATCCTCCAAACTGGGACCGAGAAGGTCCAGCACCATGGCATTGTAGTCACATTCGGTTCCAAACCACCGGACGAAAGGGATACCGACACCGCCGGCTAGTGACTTGTAGACTCGGGCCTCATACTCAAGTTGAGGGTGTTTCGCCTTAACCGACTCGAGCTTAATGGCAATCTCTTCGCCGGAGATGATGTTGGTACCCAGATAAATATCACCGAATGAGCCCGAGCCAATTTTTCGACCGATGCGGTACTTATTACCGACGCGAAGATCCTGCAGAAGTTAGCACAATTTAATCTATCTTTTGTACTTTTCATGTTTAAAGCCAGACGGAGACGAGAGTCGACGTGATTCTAGATTATTTCATTGCCTCCTAGTGGAAAGAGTGAATATGGCCCGTTGATGCACACCGACTTTCTGTCTCCACTCTCCAGAGGCAATAGAGAGGCCAGTCCAAAATACACTTCTGCAAGGAGTAGTCGTGACTGTACAGAAAATAGATGATGAAAAATGTTACATACCATTGTAGTCATGATGGCGGTTGGAGTGGCAGCTACTGCACTCTAAGGCAAGTAGCTGATAATAGTTCTCGTATGTTGTGATGTTCGGAAGGAGACCGGTCAGGTCAGTTGAAAAAGAGTCTCTAGTATTACTAGAGGCACTGTTCAAAAGTGGTTAGCGAAGGAATATAACCGTTTGTGCTTGCAATCAGCTAGCTAGGCTGATGGACCGAAACCGCCTCAGAGTCAAGCTTCTATTTCAACGAACAAATATGAGCGGTGTATGGATGGTGTGTAAGAAAAGGAAGTAAAGTAAATGTGCTTGATGGGCCAAAGGAAGATAGACTTTTCTTCGAAGGAGAAGAAAAAAATACGGAAATGGAAATGGAGAAGGCGGAAATTATGAGGCTATTGTTGAAGGTGAATGAAAGGTTGGAATTGGAGGGCTCCGACCGAGAACAGAAGCACCGAGAAGAGAGAGGGGATAAGTTCTTACCAAAATATTAGACTCTGGCCGTATCCAGCGATTCTTATTGCTGTCAATCAAAGAATTGGCTGGATGAGGGAAATAAAGAAAAAGAATAAACAATGTTGAAGACCTGGCCGTCGAAAATTAAATTGTTTGCCAGTGAATCAAGACGACTTAGTCTCGGTTGACGGGTTGGATGGAATGGGTTGTTAGAAAAAGGACTACGTTCGGGGGTGAGTGAAGGGTGGGAAAGTTAGTAGTAGTAGGTAGGTAGGGGGGAGAATGAAAAGAAGAAGAGACGGTGGTGGGCGAACGAATTTGGATGGGATGGGCTGGAATGGGGTTGGGCGCGCCTCAGCAAGCTGGGCAGGAGTGGCCCTGAGGGTTAAAATTGATTGGGCTTTTTTGATGTGCTGTGGGTTATGTGGGTGCGTGCGCTCTAGCCATTTGCTCTAGTGTACAGCGTTTATGCTGAGGCAACTGTGGCTGACAGAGACAGTGCTATGATGGTACTTACTAGGTACTAGGTATGTAAGTGTGTAGGTGCTACATAGCCCTAGCTACATAGGTAGGTCTTGTACTTTAGCTTTCAGTACTGTACTAACTGCGTATTCATTAATTATGACTAACTAAGTTATGTCGAAGTACAAGGTTTGCATGCATGTGTGTACATAAACCACCAACCTACTAGGTTAACATACATATGTAGTCAATCAGGCGCCCCAGGCCCCCAGCTGGCCTGGCCGCCTGGCCCTGTGTTAGGTAGGTTATGTATTAGGAAACATCCAACCTTGAACCATCAATATTATGGGACATCGGGTGTAAGCGGTTCCATTTTGATGTTCCTTTCCTACATAAGGTACAATTATGTTCCTACGTACATGTAAGGAGTGACGGGAAATTGCTACTGTCATTGATGTAGTTATGTATTGTACAATACAAATACATACATAACTAAGTACCTACCCTCTCTCACTTTCTCTTTGCAGCGAAGTGCTGTGGGTGACTTGCCAACAATTCCCAGCGGTGAGCGGTTAACCAGTAGCTGGTTTCAAACCTTCAGAATCGGCAGTTGTTTTCGTACCACCATCGCATTTCTTACTTGCTACATACTACATAGTAGGCAGCTACATATGTAGATAGGTACACTTCATCAGCATTGTAACAATGACCACGCTAAAGAAGATTGCTAAAGACGAACCAAGAAGGACAGACGCATATTGTAAGACATACTACAATAGGTGTTACCAGGTCTTTCTATTTTTGAGGCTCTCTTTCTCTCTAACTCAGTGATGAATCAGTGCTTTATCTTGCTCGAACAGCCCGTGACAACAGTTAAAAAGAAAAGAAAGGCCAAGGCACATACCTACATGTACCTGCCTACATAGTACTTCGCATATGTGTACATATACACATGGCAGTTGCGTGGGTACATACATAACTAGATCAAGAGGACAACATTGAACATCAAAGTTGAACATTAAAGACGATCAAGATGATCAACTGGAAGGCGCACCAGCGATACGCCCATACGGAAGCAGCGTTACCGTACCTAGGTAGTATTAATAGGTAGTAGGTACTTGTCCAGTATGTACATCCCCTGCAATTAAATCGAATTAGAATTTAGTTGGTCCCTGCTCATTCTATAAATATGTACTACATACAATAGGTGCATACCAGGTACTTACATACCAGTTATGTAACTAGCATATATACGCGTATATGTCATTAAGTAAATAGTTCTAACATAGTTACCTACATAAGTACAGTACAAGAATAGCATTGAAGGTGGTGGTCATCAACAATAATTTATTTTCTTATTTTTATTAATACTTTCTTCAAACCCGAGCATGAGCCTCCCCCCTATCTATTTTTCATACATCGCGAACTCATTCCTCATGCGGAGAAAGAAAAAACCATTAGCCCCTACTAGTATGACACGCCATAAATGATCGGCAGAGATCTCCCCCTGGGGACTTATGCTGGCGGGCAGTGATTCGTGAACCATAAAGCGATTGCAAATTTCAACCTAGTTGTACTGAGATTAGGGAGGCGAGATAAACCCAAATTTGATGCTTTACTTTTCATCTTGAATGCATAACAATGGGATGTCAAGTCCTCGGGATTTTCATACTTAGCAATTCTTCGCCTACTGTAGGTAGATTGCTTTAATCGACTTCGGTCGGTGGTCGGTTGCGATGCAACTTGACATCACAAGCATCAGTTTCATCCCATAAAACCCGTATTCATCAATGTGACATGAGATATGGAATGGCAGGATCTTTGTCGGCCGAAGCACAAATCATCAGTCCCGACCATGTCTTACTCCCCCATTCACAGTATTACTTGCAGCAGCACGTCAGCCAGTGGTCATCAGGACAGTACTACACAATTACCTAGGTTAGGTCAGTGCTCTGTAAGGGAACTTGATAGGTACAGTATCGTACAATGTATGTATGTATTATACAGTGCCTATGAAAAGGGGATATGGAGCTCACTCGACAATTTTTCGGGCTCATTCTCCGATGAACATTGTTATCCATCTACTTTGATTTGATCTCTTGTTCCGTTCATGATTTCCAGGTTGCAAAGAGCTGCATACATACATACATACATACGTATAGTTAGTCCGTAAACTGTTAGAACTGTATGAACCATGAAGACCCTGAGTATGTGGTGCCCAAGCTGCCACGGCTGCCATGCTGGATCACGGATGAACTCATTGACGATGATCTAGAAACGTATCGTATCTTAACAGGTAAAAATAGAAAAGCGGTCCCCAATCCCTTCATACATGCATATATGTACATAAATAGGTGATACTATGTAGGTACCTAGATACCACTGGGCAGTTACATACATAGTACATTGGGCCTTCCCTGTTTGGAACGGCTGAGCTCAAATGTTAAAGTGCATGTAGAAACGTGTACTATTCATGTACTGAGCTTGTATCTACATACCTACATATGTAGTAGTTCCTCCATAGTTACTGGTCTATATCTAGTATTATATACCTAGAATATACGCATCAAGTACAGATGCTACATAGGTAGCTTAGAGATCGCCAAGTGATCGGCAACCCGGTTTCATTATCTAAGCAAATCTTGCCCGGATATAGTACAATACGTACAAATACTACCGTACTTCGTACATGCCTCCTTTCTTTTTTATATAACTACATTCGTAGTAGTTAGTATTATTACCTTGGGGTTCAATGTTATTGTACTCTAGGTAAACATTTTCACGCGAGGTCGGCCTTCGCTCATGTTCTTATCAGTTGGTTACCTATACAGTTGCGCCCTTCCTTCAACACGATCCAGTTGGTCATCTTGGCTCGCAGCCCGTTGTGTATCGTGACCTCTAGAGCTGTGACCAATTATATACCAATCCAGTTCGGTCAGCATCCACGGATATGGATACTTCTCTCCTGATTGCCAATGTTAAGCTCCACAACTCCGTAAAGGACGTGCCGGATCTGTTCCAGCTCAGTCGAGGCTCTGTCGATCACGACGTCTAGACTATCCAGAATCATACTATATGCAGATCCGGAGGTCGTGACCCAGAAAAATGATATCGATCAGCCCAATAGGTGTTTTTACACCAGATTTACCGTTATGCCGGTAGCCGCTTCACTAATAAGCCCGCGAAACTACTACATAATAGTAGATATTCTGTATACTGTGGTAGTATCGGAGAATATATCTATATACCAAAGTATACCGAAAACCTCTTGCTTTACGCTACTACATAAGTAGGTACTATTGCCTTTCTGTTTTACCTTTGCGAGAAAACAGGCCTACACAACAACAAAATTGGCTGTGTATTTTTGAGTCTCGTTTAGTCAAGAAGAGCCTGAATACGGTAGGTAATCCTCAATGTGCACAGGATAGGATACAGCTCAATCATACGATGCCACGCCCTTTGATCTTAACACAAAATCTCAACACTTCATAGGAATGCGTGTCTATCCAGGGATGGGCTCGAATGCCAGTTACAAATAGAAGCATGACACCAAGCACAGCACTGATGATCAGTTGCGCCAGCTTGGTATCCCAAGAAAGTGGAAAGAGTATAGCACCATACTCACTTGGGTAGATCTGCCTATTGTAAAAACGACTCGGTATTGGATTTTACCTTAGTATACAAAAGCTAGCCCAGCTCGATATGCAGCCTATATCCTGCCCATCACGTTGATAGGGACCGCAGCCACCCTGTCGGGGTTTTAGGGTCGTGGTGAACTGTGAGTGTTGGGTGGCTATGTTGACAGCTTGACCAACAGCTGCGACAATTCCCTGTGACCTCGATTACTCTGCTTCTCATGGATCACATAGCTGCGTCCCTTTGTTTTAACATCGATCAATTCAAACCCAATCCCATTCACGGAACAATAAGCATTACAACTCTCCCCTTGTTCTACATTTTCTATGTGTAGAAGCGTCATCTTTATTTGATTCCTACCCAGACTAAAATCCTTCTGGTGTACATATGAATTTCATACTCAAGGACATCCTCAGTGCCAACAATAAGCTTGATTTCTCAAGGCCAACAGCCACGGTAATATATTGTACCCTTACTGAATCTTAAGGGATGAATTCAAGTAGTCGGGATCAAAATAAGATCAGAGAATAATCATAGAGAAGCTCTTGTCGCTTCCTTTAAGCATTCCATCAAAATGGAAGATCATGCCATGGTCGAGTTGCCTAGGTTGGTAGTTTTACGCAAGCAGTATGCTCATTTGGGTCAAGCAACGTGAGCGATGTACATACAGACAGTCAAATACAGCGTTGGTCTTAAGGTTATGCAACACCACGTTTCCCAGTATTGGGATTGGCCGATATGCTAGCAAGGCAGATGGCAAACAGAAACTCATAACCTCCCCTTATACCTAAGCAATAGGTCAAATGGCCAATATTTAAGGAGAAAACAACCTACCTAGGTACCTACAATGCTCAGGGGTAGCCGCTCAGGGCCGGTCAAGGCTGAACAGTAAAGGATCACAACAAGGCTGCACAAAGGGCAGTTAAGATGTTTTCAGTCGAATACAGCTTCGCGATAGGTATATTCATAGCTGCCAGGAGGTGTATGTATGCTTCCAAGTCAAAGTTACTTACAGATAAGCCTTGTAGCGGGGATAAAACGAGTGACTGAGGATGTACCCAAAGCATAGTCTCAACTCGCGGGTATGTAAGTTCAACTTATCCTTATTACCCCTTGGCAACTACTCTACCACAAATTGATTCAACTGAGATATACTACGCCGTTTTAGATCCAGGCTACCTTTTGGGGGGGGGGGGGGGACCAATCCCCTGCCGTGTAAAGACGGACTCTAAGAAAGACTCCTAACCTATGGACTTAGCTGGAGCCTGATCCTATCCCATAAGACTCTAACCTAATCATACTTGCAGAAATGTGGAAGAAACAGCACAGTAGATAGGGTATCCTCAATGAGGAGGTCATCTTGCTAACGAGTGAACCTTGGTTAAGAACTTCATTAAAGTACAGATATCCCCAGAAAGGTTAACGATTTCTATGTTCTATCCGGCAGCCTGCTACAAGACAAAGAGCGCAGCATATACTTCAGTAAGCTTAGTGGCACAGCTCGTCACCGCGATTAGTTGGTCCCCGACACAGGCCCGACTCAATAATCATCACAATTCAAAGGGGCCTATGCAATAACTAAGGGGCCCTATTTGATCGACCTAAAGATAGATGTCCCTTTGTCGTATCAAATCCGACAAGAGAAGGGGTAACAACTTCTTGTTCATGAAACCCTTCATTTTTAAAGATCAAAGGAGAAAGGAGAAAGAGAAGAAAACGCAGTCTTTTTGGGCTTCTACTATTAATGTATTATAGCAGTCATGATCAGTAGAGGCTTGACAACACATATTCTCGTAACTCTACTACTATTCTCATTAAATTTAAGCTATTTACTATATACATATTTGAAGCAGACTGAATGTCTACGTACCTCAGTAACCATCTGTGGAAACCAAGAATTGACACACATCTATAGAAGCCTACGCGTCCTGCATAATCATAAGCACTGTTTTGCGAGAAAGACAGGTTTGTTTATTTCCTTTTACCTTGTACGAACAAATTCGAGTACTCTAAACAGATAAAATATACGCCCCCTGACCGTCTAACATACGATGTCGATAAATTGGGCTGAAGAGTGCCAGTTGGCACTACGGAGGATCCTACGACGGGGATTCCTCATCGAATCCATGGGACCAAATCATAACATTGAGCTGGGCAAAGAACAGAGATTGGGCGTGGTTCTCGTTATATCCAGTGGGTACCAACCAGTCTACGACGTGTCAGATCTCAAACCGGGCATCAGGGAGGGTCTTTATGATATGGCCCAAGATGGGTTGAATGGGAAGATGATTCTGTATGGGTTGGGATTTCAATTTCGGAGACAGTACTACCTAAGCAATTCTCGGCATCACTGAGTCTCGAGTTGTATACATACCTCTTTCCTTCTGTCTTTCCTTCTGTCTATCTATATATATGTATATATATCTCGGGTACTGATGCATAGCTAGTGGTGGGAAAAGGGAAAAGGGGAACTGACTTTACTGTATTTTTAAAACATGTATAATAAAATAACTATGCTATGATGAGATCAAAATTCTCACATAGGATAGTTAATATAATATTCTGGACTTGGAAGTCCGATCATTATAAATACGGAAAGGAACACCTGGCAGAAAAGAAGCCCCAGGTTAGTGATGAAGTATCGCGTTGACCGTAACTCAAACAGGTGCTTGGTGAATGTAGAAACTAAAAAGCCAACCTACCTAGGTAACCTAGATAGATATAGTAGACAGAGGCCTCTAATTAGAGCAATACAATATAATATCCATGGACTCGAGCGTTTGCTCAGATAGACCAGGCGCTTTATCGACCGATAGATAGCGTTCCCTCCTATAATACAATAAGATGCAGCTTTATACCCTAACCATATCATGTAGATGATAAATTCGGCTCGACTGCACCTAATGTCCCTAGCGAGCAGTGATGAGACTCATGTAGACCCCCCAGCCCACACCAGCAAGACTCCCCACAAGGTTACGCCCCTCGATGCTCTTGATAAATACAAAGTTGATCAGGCTGACAACTGGCCATAACCTCCAACCAGCGACCAGAATTGGGTAGAACTCAGCACGGCTTAGGGCTACTACTCTCGTCCAGTCCACCTGGGCATAGTTGATAGCACCCCGCGAGAATAGGTACTGGACGCTCTGGTCGGGGCTGCCGAGTGGACGCAGCATGGCAGCCTGAATTGAATGCATAAATATGCTGAAGAGGAAAGTGTTGACAGCGGCGCCGATAGTCTGGTCGAGAATCATCTTGATGATCGTGTTGCCGATATTCAGCTTGGGCTCCACTAGTTTTCCCTCCTTGGCCTCTTGCTCAAGGGCTTTTTCATCATTTGCAGCTGCGGACTTTACGGCAGCCGGCGTCGGCGAAATATGATACGCCGGGAATGTAGACTCTAAGAAGTCTTGCCTGATAGAGGACCCTAGTTAGTATCATGTCGTTTACAGAATATACCTAGGTTAACTAGGTAGTTACTCAGGCAGTCTTGCACGTACCATAAGAAGTTGGGCGGTATGTTGATGAAGGCATATATGACAAACTGGAAAACTGGAACCCAATCGATGACGAAAGAACTCTCAGCCTGATATGCTATTATGGCTTGCGCCAACAAGTTGGACGTGGCTGCGAGAACTGCGGATTGCAAGGTCGCGGTCACGATCGGAGATAAGGCCATCTTGATGTTCAACCCTGAGTCGCTTGGTTACTTGTTATTACCTAAGGTTAGGTTAGTAGAGATTGGTGGTTGTTGACTTGACTTGTGCATAAAATATTACTTACATATGTGGGACGTGAGAGATGGATATTGAGATGTTGAGATATTTGGATATTTGGATATTTGGATATTTGGATATTTGGATATTTGGATATTTGGATAGTTGAAGTTGTGATAAGTTGGGTACCTACTGGTTAGCTGGTTAGTACCTAGTTGGGCATGGTGATGAGATTAATAATGACAATAGAAACAGATACACGTATCATCAGTATGTGGCTTATGACATTTGATTGGCTGCTAGAGACTTCAAAGTAGATTTTACCGAATAGGTTAAACCCCCTTTGATCTTGATAGCTACAGCTGACTGGGCATAATTCATACATGAATAAAACCACATCGCCTTGGTATCGAGGTTATTATTTTTGAATTATTTATTCCTTCCCCCCCTTTTTTATAAAAAAGGGGAAAGACATATGGAAAAGTGACATGGTTTACCACCTTTATCTCATCTTACTACCGAGAAACCCCTCGGCGACGCTGCTATGTTGAGAAAATTCATTATTTCTCTACAATCATAGCTAAGTAAGAAGCTTCAACCCAGAGGTTGGCCAAATCAAAAGCTATAATTGCCTCCGTCCCTTTTTCTTTTTTCTTCTTACTCTTTTCTTTTTTTTTATTTGAAAATATCTTCCTTGGAAGGAATATGGCTCTCGTACATTTAAACCCTAGAAGTTGTAAGAGTTCGTGGAGTTCACCTAGCCTCTACTCAGAATCCACATGAACAGAAGCTGTATGAGGTACGAGTAAGTGAATAAGAATTGCGTTCGCTGATTCCGTTTCGTCCTCGTATCTGTCTGCATCGGGCCCCGTGCATCTGCTCCGGAACTTTCCGGTAGCAGGACATATCTTAATGATCGCATCTGATGAACCATAATTAGTATTGCCCAATGATTTTAATTTTATAGGAAGAATTCATCGCTCTTACCAAAAATAGGGAGTTGGCCAGGAAGGTATATAAGAAGACAGTCCATCCAATCCAACCGCCAGTCCCCTTTCCACCATTCATGAGCTCGGCGATGGCCACTGTAACAATGATACCAACAAATTTATATCCCGAGTAGGCTACTAGATCGAGAAGTTGTGACTCGTTTGATATGCTCAAGAAATAGCAACCTAATTTCAAGAGCAATATTTCGAGTATGACGACGACACCAGCAGTGGAAGCTGTGTATCCTAGCAGCTCCGGCTGGAACTGTCCCCGCAAACCTGCCAAGAGCGTCGATAGGAGAATATACGTAACGAGGGCCATGACTGGAATATACATGTCGGGGCTGTTAATATCATCGCGGGGCGGCAAGTACCATCCCTCCTGTCCGTTAGGGCCCACACTCTGCCTTCGCGACCAAGGCTTGTGTCGCCAAGGGAAGAGAACTAAGAAGAGCTTGTTGATGACGTATTTGTTGGAAACGTTGAAGTAGTGTTTGAGTGCCGAGAAGTTAACCCATCGGTTCATCTGTTTTTTTCCTATAAGCTTGCACCCCTTATGATACTTTGTCTACGGCACAACATACGTTCTGTTCAACATGTTTAAAAGCATTCTGACCAACTTGTCCTACGAACTGGGCAGCCATAGGATCATTCATGAAGTTCCCATAAGCGCCGAAAACGTTGGAACCACCCGCGGGCGTCCCTTGCTGGTATGGATTTCCATACGCGCCTTGTTGTTGAGGTTGGGACGAGGTAAGCGGTGGAGGGGATCGTAGTTGTGGGACGGTAGAGACATGTTGAGGTACGGGGTGATGAAGCGGCGGGGAGTGGCCGTAGTTCGGGACTTGCTGCATTTTTTGTGTTATAGTTTTGGTGAGGTTCTTTTTTGAATTCGTCGCTAAGTGTTTGGGTTATATGGTGAGCACTATAAAAGCGAGAATTGTATATTCATAGGAGAAAAAGTAAGTAGAGGGGGGTTGAGACCGTGAGCTATGAAGCTTTGTTGGCAGCGATATTGGATTGGATCTGGAAAGGTGTTTTTATTTAATTTAATCGCGTTTAAGGCTTTAAGCGTTTAAAAGGGTTACAATGTAACTACTATGTAAAGCGGCTAACACCCTTGCTCAATGCTCACTAAATTCATTCCACCTGAAACTGCGACCATGTGACCCACTATTATATGTACGACGTACTATCCCCTTAAGTGGCATAAAGCAGCAGCAGACACACCGTTACTAAAATTAGTAGCAGATACATCCAAGCCAATTTACCCACCGCCCCATAATTTTATTATCCAATAAAATCAACAAATTCTATAGGTACTTGATTTACCACTTATTTTTGCGTACGCCACTTGTACCAACAATACTTAGAATTATATAAAGCCACATTACAAGTGCCACATCGAGATCGTGGCTTAATGTTTACCATACTTTCTGGCATCAGCTTTGTTTACCATACTTTCTGGTTAGCTTTAATCATCGACGAGAACGTCCCCAAATATGGTTTTTTTGACAAGCTTGACAATTAGATGCGTTTTTTAGATCTTATTTGTTCGTGATCCGTAAATTGCCCCCCTACAGGTCGTTTAAGAACCGCGTTTGCGTGCAGGTACAGTATAGACCAGCCGTAAAAGGGAATAGCCTCATCTAAAACACAGCTTATCCAATCCCCTAAAGCCCAGACAAAGCTATACCGGCGTATCGGGCCTTTCTTAAAGAGTAGTTATCGAGATTATAATTATTCAATTACAGTTATACTAAAAGCCGGAATAACCTAACGCCGGCCAGCTTTGTACCGCGTTGTATTTGAATGAAAAATGGATCAATATATGGGGTTGTGGGTAAATGTGGGAATAGTGGATTGAAAACGATGTACTAGGTCTTATTTTTAGTAACGGTGTGTCTGCTGCTGCTTTATGCCACTTAAGGGGATACTATGCGCAGTAAAAATTATTGGAAGTTCCTAATGACGTGCCGGAGCCGCAATAAAGTTTGATCCCGGATTCTTGAAATTGGGTAAGTGGGCCTTCTTAAATGCCCTAATGATTGGTTCATTTCTTACAGATGTCCTTGTCGCATCGATTGAATGGTAACGTACATGTGTACATTACATACATTACATACATTACATATGTGTACAGTACATTCAATATTCCTGTTAGGCTGCTAACTTCAAATGTTATAACTTCAACCTATAGATACTGAAATGTTCATGAATTTATCCATAACATAACCTTTTCTCTTCACTACAACTCCACCAAATTGCTTCGCCGGTCCTCTCAAATCAAGTCAAGATGTTGGATACTTTCGAGATCCTCACCACTTCTGGTGTCGTTCTCTGGTCACGAACATATGCCCCAGTTAATCCATCCGTCATAAATAACTTCATCTCCGATGTCTTCATCGAGGAAAAGGGCGCTGTCGCTGGCGCAAAGGACACCCAACCTACCTCCAGTAATCCACCCTACAAGGCAGATCAACACACCTTGAAGTGGACCTTCGTGAAAGAGCTCGGCGTTATCTTTGTTGTATGCAAATCACTCTTTGCATCTTGCCTTATCTGTGAATTCACATTATCTGATTAATTAATTAACCAACCATTTCCCAGGCTGTCTATCGATCTCTACTACACCTTTCCTGGATTGATAAACTAGTCGACAATATGAAGACAATATTTATCGATTTATACGGCGACCAGCTCAAAAAGCCCAATACCACAATCGTAGAGTGTCGCAAATTCGACGAGTACTTTGACCAACAATACCGAGAACTCGAAGCGAGCGGTACGAACAATGCGTCACGACCCACTAACCCATCCTCCCTCCTGGAAGAGGATAGCGTCACAGGACATACTAGACATGAACCGCCACCTGCGCCGGGTTTGGTGCATAAGGGTAGAACGCAGAATGGCTCGCGGGATCCTCTATCAGCCACCGAATCAACCCATGTCGGAACCCCAAATACCTCTCGGCCCTCAACTCCTGCAGAGAATCACCTGCTTGTAGGAAAAGGGGGCCCAATAGCCAAGATGTCGAGGAGAGCTAGAAAAATCAAGCACAACAACTCTGCCCCCGTCTCATCGGGAGATGAGGGCTCGGTCAGGAAAGGCAAGAAAGCGCCCAAGAAAGGCCGCAAATGGGATGCTGATGGCTTTGCCGACGAAGAGGATGATAGTTTACAACTGGATTACTCAGCAGCTCATAATCCTTTAACAAGCGATAGTGAGGTGGAAGCAACTGCTAGATCAACAGCGGTTGAAGGGGTAGACTCGTCTACATGGGGAACCACAACTTCCAAGGGACAATTTGTATTGAAGGACTTGGATGACGAGGTTCACTCTATTTTGAAATCCGCTGAGACGAAGAATACAACCTCAAAGACGACGAAAGGTGGCCTTGTTGGAACTGGGTTGAACACGCTCGGTAACCTCTTCCGTAACGTAGTGGGTGGTAAGACTTTGACGAAGGAAGATCTTGACAAAGCTATGAAGGGTATGGAGGACCATTTACTGCGAAAGAATGTGGCCCGCGAAGCAGCTCTACGACTTTGTGAGGGTGTTGAGAACGAACTTCTCGGGGTGAAAACAGGCAGCTTTGAGAGCATTGATGCGCGCATTGCTAAGGCTATGGAGGCATCCCTCACTAAGATGCTAACACCTACTTCGTCACTGGATCTTTTGCGCGAGATCGACGCTGTCACAAAACCATCTATGACCTCAATGCGCAAGCCAAGGCCCTACGTCATCTCCATCGTTGGAGTCAATGGCGTTGGCAAGTCAACGAATTTGTCCAAGATTTGCTACTTTCTCCTTCAGAACAAATATAAAGTGCTTATTGCGGCAGGGGATACGTTCCGATCGGGAGCTGTGGAGCAGTTAAAAGTCCACGTGCGAAATCTGAAGGAGCTGACCGAGCGTGAGGGTGGCAAAGTAGAGATTTTCGAAAAGGGGTACGGAGGTGACGCAGCAACAGTCGCAAAAGATGCCGTACGAGAGGCCGCAAACGAAGGTTTCGATGTCGTACTCATCGATACCGCAGGACGACGACACAATGACCAGCGATTGATGTCTTCCCTGGAGAAATTTGCCAAATTTGCCCAGCCTGATAAAATTTTAATGGTTGGCGAGGTAAGATGCTTGGAATCCATCTAGTAGATGAACATGTTTAAACTAACTATGCAAATAGGCGCTCGTGGGAACGGATTCAGTGGCTCAGGCCAGAAACTTCAACTCATCCTTCGGCCCAGGCCGAACCTTGGACGGATTCATCATCTCTAAATGCGATACAGTTGGTGATATGGTGGGAACTCTGGTTAGCATTGTACATGCTACAAACGTACCAGTCATATTTGTTGGTGTTGGACAACACTACTCCGATATCAGAAACTTCTCCGTTAAATGGGCGGTGGAGAAGTTATTGAGCAACAGTTGATTTATCCATAGAATAATATCCAAGGACCTTGTTACCGTTCACCTGCACAATCCTATTGGCTACACGGTTTCTTATTTTCTTGTCTAATATTGCATCACCATCTTCCGACTCAGGGGTAAGGGATGAGTTCTACCTAGGCGCCTAGTTACTAACGAACCGCAGACCCTTTTGTTTCTAGTTCGTCAAAACACAGGGGTAGTAGGTAGTAATGAATACTCCTTCAGTATCTATCTTTGATCGGATCCCACTTGATTCCTTCCGGGGAATAAAGAACGAAAGTATTCTCGTTCATCTCCACCGGCACAGCAACCTGTCTATCTGCGTCGGTCATGTTCCAGTAATCCTGAGTTCCCATGTTGAAATCGAAACTTTTGCCACGACGATCCTGAGCCATCACGTTAGAGAAGGTGACGTTGTTAAATATCGGCAAGTCCGCTCTATCATCCATGATAGCCCATTCTTGGAAGAATTGGGCAGTGCCATCGCCGAGGCAAATGGAGAACCGCGGGTCTCTAGGCGAGTCTGCAGTCACGTCTTCGTCATACGCCTGGCCAGTGCGCATATTTTTCATATATCTGGTCAAGAAAAGTCAAACTCGAACCGGAACAAGCACTATATGATAGCACCTGGCGGAGGAAGTAATTCACTTACACATGCCCTGTGATACGGGTGTATACGTCGACTACCACACGAATCCGGTCACCAGGGTTGACGATGAACTTCTCCGTTGGAATTGAGTGAGATGCGGCTGGAAACCATTCAACCCAAGCATAGGCAGTTGTCGTACCCTTCTCATCCATCTGTTTTTGATTACATTTCAAATTAGCCCAGCTTCTCAAGTCTCGGAGGTTCCTTGTCTCGGCAGCCCAGATACATACCTTAATCGCCGTCCCAGCTTGAAGAAACGGGTACCAGTCTCTTTTGTCGCAAGCATTGCCCAAAATGCCCACCCATTGTGCCAGCAAGTGTCGATTTTCGGGGCGCTGGAGGTCCACTCCAGGTCGTGCTTTCATCCATGGCACGTTCCAGCCTGCAGAAACTGTGCGAATGGCGGGTTCCTTCGTCGTCCCTTGCGCGTTATCGGTTTGTTTGATATTCATCACTGTACCCCCAAGGAACGAGCAGACATTTTTCTCCGCGCCGGAATCAATAGGTATTTTCCCTCCGGGAGCAGCGTGGGCGATGGCGGCGAGCAACCAGAGGTATAGGCAGGCGAGAGTTGACAGATACATGGTAACAGTATTTTCTGTATCTAAGCCAATGGCTATGAAAGAAAGGGGCTGAAGAAAATACCTATATTCAGGCGTGAACTGTGATCAGAGTAAGGAATAGAGTTAGTTTAGGAAGGGATAGAGAAGGATATAATGAAAGATGAAAGGACTGCATGCTCCGTATATGTATTGAAATATTAGATTCTTCATTTGCCTTTAATTATCTGGTTGCTGGGTAGAATATAATGGCTTTCATACTATTCGCACGGAAACCGAAGACTTAGCCTCGTAGCCTCGTGATATCTAGGTAGGCAAATCATACAGTGGAGAGATCAGTCGGCATTCAAGGTCCATCTACTTGGGCTGAGTCCCAGGCTTAATAAAGAGTGAGGACCTGAAAGAAATGGAAATGGGGGGGGGGGGGCGCGACAGTGTTTCGTACGCTTAGCGATTGCTTCGAAAACCTCCTAAGTACCAACATAGCATATATTCTACATATTGGAGCCTTGCAATTACTGTTCAGCATCATCGCCTAACATTTGATTTCTTATATTGCACTGATTACACTGTATGCTAGGCAGGGATATATCGACGGACTACTTGGACTGTCTTGACACTGACCTATACAGTGATAACTGCATCACCACCTATGTTACCTAACTTAGAATTCACAATTAAGACTAAGTAGTTGAACTCTTGAGCACTTCATAGAATTGAAACAATCGCCAGGGAATCATTAAAGCGGGATATTATGCTATTTTATAGGTTTTCTTGCGCCCTGAAGCACACTAGGTGATCAGGGTGTCAGTGACAATTTCGTTAGAATCAAGTCTACCATAACTATCACCAAGGGTTTCGAAGGCCGTAAAGTCGAGATCCTAGGCTGTCTACCGGGCTTCACTTGAAGGTTTATGTAAGATAAGCTACCTAGGTAGGTATACTAAGGAGTCCGGACCCTCCAACATTGAAACTTAATGCCGTCTATGCATGAGATATCCACATTAGACTATTCGTATTTGCTACCGAGTTAATCTCGATGCCGTCACATTCCAGTTCGAGTTCAACCAAGCATTCACTACCTAATCTATAAATCAATATCGACCCAATGCCATCAGGTTTAAATCCATTGATGCAGCTCATGAGGCTGTCATATCCATCTCGTAGAATTCGGCGAATGTGCGTCTCGTATTAAGTAAAAGACGCCAGAATGAAGTTGATCATACTTGAGAACTCTAAGATGAGTGGTATGATTGGTATATACCCACTAGGTAGGTAGGCCCTTTTGTATGACGTGGGAACTACGATTATAAAAAAGCTGCACCAGTACCAGTGACGGTTTATGCGATTGGTACGAAAGCATTCAACAAGCCTAAGGTTGACTCGTCTAGAAGTAGAACCGTACATGTACATGTAGGGGTGATTTCGGGTGATGTATCTCTTTTTGTTGCTTTAACGTTGTTAACGGATCTGCCCCTGACCTCCCCCCTTTTTTGGGTAGATCAATATCACTAACCTATATACATTAGATATTAGATAGGTACATACATCCATACCTACGTAAGCCGGTGGCCAAAATTCCACCATATTACCGAAACTACGGCTTGTCGGTAGGCGGTATGCAATAAGCATATGAAAGCAAAGCAAAGTAAAGACCTTGAAGATCGGACTGGCTAGCTCGAGCTTCCGAAGCTAGGTTCCGAGCAGTTGGGATTCACTAACCTAGCTGGTTAGCCGTGTGGTCTTAGGCACTTAATTGGCTAGTGGTCTCGGAAACGGCTTCAAGCGAAGTGATGCCTCTCGATAGACGGTAGACGGTAGACGGTAGACGATAGGCGAACGAAATTGATCGGCAGCGGAGGAAGCCAAACAGAAGCAAGCGAGTGGTGAGACCAAACACATATATGTTGCATATGTATGTAAACATATGTATGTAAACCTACTGCCTACCTCCGCACACATACTGTATGCGAGCCATGATCGCAGGATCATATCGCAGGACCGTTGAAGATCTATATTCCGTCATAGTTGTGGGATCGATCTAACATTAGCACAGGAAGTGCTTAGATGAGGTTTGTTGAAGTAGAGTCTTTTTAATTATCTCTTTTGGTATGTAGATAGTTATACCTAATGTAAACAGTATATGAATTTTGATTTGGAGGGCTGGCAGCATTTATTACAGCAAGTTCCGTTTTGATAGTTTTGATAATACAATTATAGAAGGGAATGAAGGCAAAAGGTAATAATACACATGTACGAAGTAGGCGGCAGGCCTACATATGTAGGTGGAGTACCTAGTAGTACTAAGTAACTACTAAGTATTGTATTCAATGTTGTACATAACTTGTAAGACATCCATGGATGAAGCTAACGGCGGCTTTTCGAGTTCCCTGTCGCAACTTGCATGTCTAGGCATCCTGGTTTGAGTCTAGTAGCTATCGGCAGCCCCCACATCCCGGGCTGTGTGATGTCCTACAGTCCTACTACGCAGTATGTGTTTACACGTTCAACAATTTTGCTACTTTAAGGTTAGCTACCTAGATAACTTACAATTCAAACATTTTTGCTGCCAGCTTAATCCGGATATTCATAAAATGTTAGATACATAGGGCTACCAACTACTGGTACATAGGGACATAGGGATTAGCATTGAATATCTCCAAAAGTGCTTAGGTATTGCTAACTTTATTGGATGTGAACTTCCTTATAAGTCCCTTAAGTCCCTACAACGGACCTACGTAGTACATAGTACATCGTACATACTAGGTAGTATCATTCAATCAAAAAGATAAAGTAGAGAAGTCGACATTCCATTGGCTGTTCGTTGGATCCCCCGCTTCTCAGACATATGATGAGCTGCAAGTCAGTGGGGGAAAGTCGCATGTGCCACTGAAGTCAAAGTACACTTTTTAGTGCACATATCCATGCCATGATTCCATGGGATCCATGGGTGTATTTACTTTAAAGTTTTTAGTCTCCACCAATAACTACACTGTAGTTACAACCCTTGGAACCTAACGGTTAGCGATCCCCTTGAGTTTGGGTTCATAGTGGATCGGGGAAACCATTTGCTTCTTTCTCCCAGTCTCAGTTCAGTTCATGCTGCTTGATACTACTACTGTTATTGTTGCTTACAAGGAATACTGATTCATCGTCACATTCACACAGCGGCCTTATCATATACTCATTCATCCAAAAAAAAAAAAAATAAAAAAAAAATAAAAACCACCACCAAGTCATCAGGCCATCAGGTCATTAGGTCATCTGGATGGATGTACACCAACCGCCTGTCCTAACTCCTCTTCACATGTGCACTTTTCTACCTAGTCACTATACCCTGATAACCAACCTGCCAGCACGCCGGCCCTGTCCTGATCGTTAAAAGTTCTTGGCCAATCCTCGTCTTTCTGTCCCCCGCAGCCCTCATTTCTCGCCCAATGGCAACTCTCACATCACTTCATGGTTAGCTATGTACTTGCTCTGTCTAGGTACCTAGCCGCCTACCTACCAAGTTAGCTACAGACTGTTGGCTACGCGTAGTTAAACCAAACACAGATTCGATCAATGACCAAAGTCCCTGCTCGGCTCTCGCGAGGTCTGATCATTTCCTTCCTAAATAGACCGCATGTCTGCCTACATGCATCACAACATTTACGTCTGTGATCACTACCTACTAGGTAACTACATCATTCAAACGCTCTTGGGTTGTACTACTGTGGTCCCTGTTTGATGTTTGTGGTGATGTTACCGACTTTATGTTACAACATATTCTCTCGTTTAGCTCAGCGTTTGTCGTCGAATGAGTAGCAGACGGCCACTTACATATAGTGTACGGTACTCACACATGTAGTGCTGCTACTAGTGCATGCTCTTTATACATTGTAGGTCTCGCCAAACCCGGTCATATATCCTAATACATATGATACATATCCTAATCCTGGCGCAGCTTACCAACCTAACCCAGTTGGTTTTGTGGTATTTCTCCACTATCTGCCCACTCAGGCGTCGACGCTTGGCCGCGTTCCAAGGGTTGATGGTCAGCGCTGCCGGGATTGTGCTAGGATACCGACATAGTCTACGGCAATCCGATCCTCCCCCACCATTACCTCTTGATCACTCGTCATTTATCATCCCGCCGACAGTCAAACGATGAATTGACTAGATCACGCACACTGGGCTTCTGTTCAACTTTGATCCTCGCACTCGTTGCCCACCATGGCTTCGTCTGTTCAGAAGCCTCCTTTCTTAAACCCTGCCTTTGGCCCGGCCGGCGTACCTCCCGAGCTTCAAGAAGCAGACTACCTAAGCCAGGTTCTACAGCTCTCCTCCGAGGAAATCGAAACCTACCTCAACGAGTTGCTCACCAAGGCAACGAGCTTGGGAATTGCTGTCTCTCGGCCACCGAGTGCTGCCACGATCGACAAACATAATCCATATGGTGCTGAATCCAGTATGACAATAGACACAAACCATGCCCACACCGATTCTACAGGTTCGGAAGGCTCTGCCAGCACGAACCTAACATCCCATTCCTCTTCCAATGAGCAGCACGAGATCACGAGCCGAATGACCACCAGGAAACGACTGAGAGCCCTCACCTTTGCTCAATACGAGACTTATCTGGCCCAGATAGATCCAACTCTGAACCAACCGAAATTCTTATCCGCATCTTCAACGGAAACTGAACCCTCTCCAAGCGTACTCAGTATCGGTACTACCAAAAGCTATCTTAGTATAAGAAAAGGAATTTCCAAGTTAAGACACAGACGCAGGAATCCCTCTTATTCTAAGGGTACTTTCATGTGCGTCTCACCCTCAAGATAGTTATAAGTCCAAACGCTAACAACTATTTGATTGGCTTTCTAGCTCTTGTAGCGCATGCCGAGATGATATCCAACCAGATCAGACCCTTCAAAAGTTGCCATGTGGGCATAATTATTGTCCGAGGTGCTTGAAGATAATGATTAACCAGGCAATGACGGACGAATCTAAAATGCCACCGCGATGTTGCACCCAGCCAATACCCAGCACAATCATTAAGGCCATACTATCTCGTGAGGAGCAAACCAAGTTCCTCAAGGCGGTTGTACAATTTAGCACGCCTTGGGAGTCGAGGGTATTTTGCTCTAACCCGAACTGCGGAGAATTTATATCACCCATGTCCAAATTCGACCCCAAATACCCGTTCCAGGCCATTTGTCGCAAATGCAAGACACGGGTATGCGTCATGTGTAAGAGAGATGCCCACCCTGCAGGTCAAGACTGTCCGGATGATTGGGAACTGGATGCTGTCTTGAAGATGGGCGAAAAGTCTGGCTGGAAGCGATGTTACAAGTGCCGGAATCTTGTTGAGCTTACCCAAGGGTGTACACACATGACGTGCCGTTGCCGAGCACAGTTTTGTTACATTTGTGGCGCAGTCTGGAATCCACTGGTGGGTTGTCCGAACTTCTGTAATGGCGACGCCGAGATGGAGCGTCGACGGTTAGAGGAAGAGGCTCGGGTTGCAGCGCTCGAAGCTGAAGAGAAAGCAAAAGAGGAGGCTGCTGCAAAGGCGATGGCCGAGAGACTGGAGGCAGAATCGCGCACTCAGAACTGCGAAGAGTTTAAAGCCTTACGTGCAGAGCAAGTTAAGGAGCTAGAGCGATTCCAAGCTTTCGAAAGGAAACAGAAATGGCTCATGTGGACAAGACATGCACAAGAAAAACTCACTCTTGTAGAGAAGCAGTCGGCTGCGATGGATCGAATGAAGGAACGACATGTGAAAACATCAGCCAATTTGGAAGACCGCCAAGTTGCCGCAGAGATGGAGTTACGTTCATCTCTAGAACAAAGCGAAAGAAATGTCCAGATTCGACTGAAGCATATGGAGGCGTACTGCGATGGCCTGGGGAAGCGCCCGGATGCAGACATGCCCTCTCGAGTTGTGACGGAACGAGACCTGCGGGAACTTGGGCAGCAGTACAACGTCAAGAAAAATATGAAACAACTACATGCAGCCAAAATTAATGTGATGAGGGACCGACAAGCAAAATCCCTTGAAGAGCTGTTGGAAAGGCAAGAATCGGAGATGAACAAGCTGGTAGAGAAGAACAAGAAAGAGATTGAAGCCCTCGAGTCAGCTTTTGGAGACGAAGAGGATGCTCTGACAACGTCGTTCATGCAACGCAAATCGAAGCTTCAGAGAAGATGGAAACTTGAGATGGAAGTGATGCGCCTAGAACTGGAGAATGAACGAGGGTGCCAATATACCTCAATGGCCCCTCTGGAGTGGCCTGAGAAGGAATCGCTAGAAGACTGTCTTCCGGCCGTGGATGAATAACTGACCTCGATCCCGAAATACGACTAAATGATGATGTATATCTAACAACCAACACCCTTCACACACCACAACCCTGCTGTGGAATATCCGATCTCACCTCTACTAGCTTATAGGTATCCCACCTCGTTCATTTACATATTTTGCAAGCATCCATCGACCATATGCTCATTTTCTTTTTATGATCCAAGGGGACCTGGAGTGTTCAGATACCCTGCCGACAGGAAGGAGTTCGCAAGCCTATAATCTGTCACGCCGTCAATACGGGGTTGCATCAAGTACCTAATCAGCATTGGAGCCAGCATGGATACTTTTACATTTTTTTTTCCTGTCCCTTTCTACCTACATATGGATACCCCCGGATAATGGTTAACAACACTGTACATTTTGCCAATATTGACATATGGATATTGACTTATGGGCACATGGGATGAGATACTGACGAATAATTGATGAGATGGACGTGTCTCGGTAGCACATTAGAAACTAGAGATAGTGTCTGTGAGATAAACAAACTCAATACTACAAATACCAATGAATATTTTATATCATTCTGCCACACTGCTTAGCTGAGAAATTCTCTTACTTCCCCCCTTTATCAAGTGTATTGATCGCGATGAATGTGAGTTCTATCTATCAGGGTTATCTGTCGTGAGAGTATGGGTTGGCTCTAGGGGTTCGATCATGACAGGTTAGTCAGTTTTGTTTCACGAGGATTTCTTCGCATCAGAACAGGTTGATTGATGAATAAATGACATTAATGTATTATAACTGGCAGATGGAGATGTAAGTGAACACGTCAAGCCAACTTTCTGCCCTAAACTACTGAATACAAATAGTGCAACAAGTTTGACCTTTAAATCAAGAAAGATGCTACTACAATTGCTTAGACAACCTTCCTGGTGCCATACTTTGGATTATATCGAGACGTTGTATCGATATAGTGAATAATAGAATCTGTCAAAGAGTTAGCCGCTATGATGCAAGTGACTGGTTTCTTTTGGCAAGATGAAATGTAATCAAGTGTTCAGAATATGTAAGAATTGACTATCACTTTTCTACCCGATATAGCAGCCCTGGCGAGGGCGCCATCGAAGCAGAATCAATCGCAAATTACCTCATCATAACAAGTGAAGTAAGGGTGAAGAGAGAGGGAAAAGAAGGGAAAAGGGATGTTCTTCTTACCAGAATGCACATATGTAATGAATTGGCTTTATTAGAGTCAAGTACTGCTCACCATTGGAGAAAAGTTGTTGAAGAAAATAGTAAATAGAGAGAGTTGGGAGGGTTGAAAAGTTTTGAGGCTTAAGAAGAAAAAAATAAAAAATAAAATATTTTTCTAGTTTTTCTAGACCCAAAGAAAAAGGCTTGCAGCTAGACCCACCTTTAGAGTACTAGGTACCTAGTAGTTTTGTACATTGTATTGTACAACTACAAAACATATTGGAGCTAGTGGACTCGGGTGCGGCTTACTTGAAATTCCGGTTTAGCCCTAATCGCCCACAGAACCTTTCACCTTCCAACAATCAACTTCCCACCGCATGTGCGCGACTCAAAGAAAAGTTCCGCCCAGGACCAATTCAAGATTCAAGGTATAGGAGGATTTGACCCAATACCACGACATCACCAACTCAGTAAGTCTTCCAATCTTTTTTTTCTTCTTCTATTCTTCCATCCTGATCAATTTCCTTAATCATATTCATCTTCTCAACTTTTTTATTTATTTTCTCATTATCCGCATACAACACGCCCACACTTTACCTACCTAATATCTAACAACCACTTCTTGCAGCATACCGTCACAATGGGCGACGCATCCATTGAATCCCCCGAATGGCGCAAGGTCGAGGTCGGCCGTATCGTCCTCGTCCAGGGCACCAGCCCCTTTGCTGGCCGTCTCGCTGCCATCGTTGAGATTATCGACCACAAGCGTGTACGTTGATCCCGAAATCGGCCACCATTTAATTTAGCTATTTATTGACTGGGACATTTCTCTAGGCTCTGGTTGATGGACCCTCCGCAGACCCCAAGCTGGTCGTCCCCCGACAAGCCATCTCTTTCGTCGATGTACTGCTATCCGACCTTAAGATCGAGAAGCTACCCCGAGCCGTCCGAACGGGAACCCTGAAGGCCGCGTGGGAAAAGTCTGGCATTGATGCCAAGTGGAAGGAGAGCAAGTGGGCGAAGCGAAAGGACCAGACAGAGCGAAGAAGAGCGCTCACCGACTTCGACCGATTCAAGGTCATGCGACTCAAGAAGCAACGACGATTCGAGGAGAGAAAGGCTCTAGCCAAGGTCAAGGCTTCTGCGTAAACTGGGAAAGGAAGGAATGATTGATTCTGATTAAACGGTATCTCGGTCTCTCGGTCTCTTCCACCTGGAGCAGAGGGTAGTCTACGGATCTGGTCTGCATGAAATAAACACACAAACATTGGCATGGGGTTGCTGGTTTTCTTCTACTTTTCGTCTGGCAAGACCTGTATGTTCACCCATAACATCAAGATGAGGTGACCGGCGTCAATGATACGGAAATTTGCAACAAATGTACTTTTGCGCCATGTTTGCTGTCTCCGTGAACTTGTATCTTGACCTAATGAATTAGGGACTTGTTTACCCTACAGTTAACGAGCTCAGGTTTTGCAAGTATATAACATGTGTAGAAAGGTTTCTCTGGGCTCCCATCATATAGCATGAAGATGTTCATGACTTTGAGCGTCATTCATCGACAAACCCTGTTACGTATTAGGTTAGATATAAGTTCTACTTATTCTCGATTACCTATTGCCTGTTACGTAGCAGGTAGGCATATAGACAGGAAGTTAAAATACGCACATAAGTTCCCAAACGCCTCTGTGCTTTGTTGCTGTTACTGACTTACAAATTACATAAAGTAGTCTCTACTATGTACATAGGGCCTAGGTAGTAGGAGATAAATAGTGGTGAACGGCATGTATCAATAGAGCACTTGAGAAGATCTAAGAGTACAGATAAATTTCTGGCGATTTTGAATATAACGTAGCATAATTACATAATCAAAGCTTGTTCAACACTGAAGCAGCTGCACATCAAGAGACAATGAAGATTGAAGGGACGAGGCAGATAATCCATATTAGGCTTAGCGTTGATTACGTACAAATCAGCGGTACGGTTGGAAAGTTGCGACAAGCCCTAGACCAAAGAATTGGCATCAAAAAGTTGCAGAGACGGTTTTTTTTTTTTTTTTCACCACAACCGAATAACCCACCCCTCAGCTCAGGTACAACCAATCACCCCGCTACCTCCATAATAGTTCGCCGAAGTTCCAAATAGTTGTGACCTCAAGTAAGTTATTTTATTATCTTTTAATTGATTTTACTTATATCATCTTCATCTTCTTATTCTATCCCATTTTTCATTGTTTTGGGAAAAGTGAAGTATTGAAAAATACGAAAGAAAAGAAGAAGAAAAAAAAACCCCGTTCCCAAATTCCCCAGTAAAGCTATCCCAAGTCCCACCATCCCACCATCCCACTACCCATCCCCCCTCCAGTTCAGGCCACCACCAATATCGCACAAACATCAAAGTAATAAATTCACTAACTTGAATATCCTCAGTACCGAATTCACCATGGCCAACCCCAGAGTCGAGGAATTGCCCGATGACGAGCCGAAGAAGGTCTCAGTCGAAGAGCATGACGATGACGACAGCTCTGACTCTGAGATTGAGGTTGGCGAGGGTGGTGCTGCCGGTTCCACTGCCATCGTGCACTCCCGCAATGAGAAGAAGGCCCGCAAGGCCATCGAGAAGCTCCACCTCACCCGTGTCTCCGGCATCACTCGAGTGACTCTTCGACGACCCAAGAACGTAAGTGATATACATACACAAAAAACAAAAATAATGGTTGGAGCGCATATATCCAGGTTGTGGTAGACAGCTGGGATTACACGCATAAAGCGCCTCGCTTGTGTGTCTAATACCTCTTGGACTACGGAACGCCTAGCTTCAGACCTTCCGGGAAAGAGAGACAATTACCTGCTCTCCGCAATAGCTACCACATCATTACGGAGATATATATCCATGAATTATCAAATTTTGACTGACATTAACTTACAGATCTTATTCGTCATCAACAACCCTGAGGTTTACAAGTCTCCTAACAGCAACACGTACATGTAAGAAATTACCATCGCTGCCGTCTGAGAATTGAATATAGCTAACTATCTCACTAGCGTGTTCGGTGAGGCCAAGATCGAGGATCTTAACTCAGCAGCCCAGCAAGCTGCAGCCCAGTCTCTTGCTGCATCTGGTGGTGACCACGACCACGCTGGCCATGATCACAGCCACGGTGAGCCCAGCAAGGCTGTTGAGGATGCCGACGAGAAGAAGGATGAAGATGACGACGATGAGGAGGAGGTTGACGCAGAAGGACTCGAGGACAAGGACATCGAACTAGTCATGACCCAAGCCAACGTCAAGCGAAACAAGGCTGTGAAAGCCTTGAAAGAGAACGACAATGACATAGTCAATTCGATTATGGCATTGAGTGTTTGATAGATGACGGGGCTGGGCGTTGGTGATTTTCCACTACCTACCGAGGGGGGCTATTTCGGCTGGATGCATTGCGACAACGGAAAGGTCTACAGGGTAAAAAATTAGGGAAGTCGACTGGCTGTGTATTACAGGCTACGATACCTTGCAATGGATTCTTAAACCGACGTGATCAAGCTTAGACCGAATTTTGATGATGCCTTCATAGTAATGCCCATAGTGATGGTGACGATGATTCTTAAGACAATATCCTAGGTGCGTAAGCTAGGTAGGTATGCTTCTAATATCATGATGTATGATTTGAATATGATGAGTGAACATGTATTCCCACTGGTAAGCTGATAAACATGGCTTCTTATGGCTTCTTAAATATTAGTATTGTAATCGTAATAATCGTAACCATCATCATCCTCCTAAAAAACCCCAAACCCAAAGGGGTTATTATGTAACTGTGTGTAGGACTGTGTGTAGGACTGTGTGTAGGACTGTGTGTAGGACTGTGTGTAGGCTTTGCGTCATGTGATTTAGCGTTAACTAATCACTTTCAATCACGGGACCTGGAGGGATGGGCTCAATTGTTAGCATCCACCTTTCAAAGCTGCCGGAGTAATCGAATTACATCTAATTGTGAATTGCTTCGCATCTCCACTCCTTCCTTACCTACCTTTTCCTTCTTCAACACATCATACAAAATGGCCACAGTAAGTAAAATCATGTCATATTCATTGTCAAAATGTCTCCGTGGTTACCCGATATATTTTGGTCGAGAAATACATCCATTCCAATCGACAATTGCACATACAAGACCCCCACTAGAAATGTAAACGGATGAGCTAATTTTTTGATTTTTCTCTCAACCTGAAGCGAAGCGCCGCCCTCAAGCTCGATTGGGCCAAGGTCACCTCCTCTCTAGGCCTGCGCGGCCAGACCGTCGCATCCCTTCAGGCTTTCAAGTCGCGCAACGAAAATGCCCGCCGCAAGGTCCAGGCTCTCTCCGAATTACCGACTTCCGTTGACTTCGCACACTACCGATCCGTCCTGAAGAACCAGGCAGTGGTTGATGAAATCGAGAAGCGTTTCAAGGCCTTCCAACCTGCGAAATACGATGTCACACGCCAGCTCAAGGCCATTGAGGCCTTTGAGGTGGAGGCCGTCAAGAACGCAGAGGCTACCAAAGAGAAGGTCGATCTCGAGCTGAAGGATCTCCAAGCCACCCTTACCAACATTGAGACTGCCCGACCTTTCGAGGAGCTCACTGTGGATGAGGTTTGCGCGGCAGAGCCCTCCATCGACGAGAAGACGGCGAAGTTGGTGTCCAAGGGCCGCTGGACCGTTCCGGGATACAAGGTACTGTTGCTCTCCTACATGCTGCCACCATTCCGGTATACCCTACTAACACCCATGATCAGGAGAAATTCGGCGACCTTTCCGTACTATAGACAACATGCGCACCGTAATCAAAGCAACTACTCCCTTTCCCTTGTGTATTCTAGCATTGTAGATAGGAGGGCGGAAGGAGAGGTGCAGGTGGGAAGTGGGAATAAATCAAGCACACTTTTTATCAGGTTTACTTGTCCGGGCTGCGTCGGTTAATGTGACTTGTATTCCTACCCGCGAAAGTACTAGGCAACTTCCATGGATAGATGAATATAAACTACCACTATGGACGCATGGGCTTTCTATAGAACCTCTACGAATGATAGTCCTAGCGAAAATGACCTCGGGACCGATTCAATTGGTTCTTTGTACGCCTGATTCAAATGTTCTCATGTGTCAATATCTCTAGACATTAAGACCAGCATGTGTGACTACTGTCGGCACCTTGGCTAATGGGGCCTCACAATCTTTCCCTCATCTGTGTGTTGAACTTGTCTGAACTTATAGATCAAAGATGCAGTGTTTAAGTTTAGGGGACTTTATGTATGTATAAGTAGGTACTGTAGGTAGGTACTGTAGGTAGGTACTGTAGGTAGGTACTGTAGGTAGGTACTGTAGGTAGGTACTGTAGGTAGATACCTAATCTTACATATGTAGATAAGAGTTTAGAGAGTTGGTTCGGTAATAATAGGTACTTAATGTGCCTTAGCTCGCCCAGCCCGCCCTACCCTAAAGTTCAGCCGTCCCGCCTTGTTCGCTGCAACTTCCCTTTTGTTCTCCATATCCAATCCATTAAACCTTATTAAACCTTATTACTACATGATACTTAGATATACTTTGCATTTTACTATGCGCTTTCCATCAAAGTTCTGATAATTCATTCTACATTTTTCGTGATTCAGGTGTGCACCTTCCTGGTGGAAACCAAAGGAATAGAAGAAAAGATAAAACAGGGACCACCCAAACTCTGTACCTCACTGCTTACTCTACTCTTCCCAACATTCAATGCAATCAATGCCTACTTAGGTATGTAGGTATTGTACAATACAACTAGTAAAATACCAACTACCATACATCTTCGATATCATTGAACAATCCAACCGAACATTATATACACCATAACGCACAACGAACAATACACAATACACAACGCTTCCTTCGACAATGACGACCTTCGCCGCGGGGATGGTCGATCCCACCAAAGCTGGCAAATACCCTGTGGTCCTGAGCGATGCTCTACTCGGCAAAGATTCCAAGGAGATCTTTACTGGTGTCAGGTGTAAGCATCCTATTTCACCTACAACCTACACTGCTTTCAATTGCTTTCCTTGCTGGGCAGTTGGTAGATTGTAACTAATAAGTCGCTGGCCGTAGATAACCACAAGCCGTCCTTATCATCACCTACCGCCCCTACCCAAGCACGTATAAAACAAACAACTGCCCCTAAGAAGGCTGCTGCCTCGTACGATCTCTCCTTCCAGGATGACGGCGGTCGTTATCAATACAAAGGCACACGCGGCGTCGAGGATAGCCAGTATGTGCTAATCTTTGATGCCGCACGTGAGGTCTTCGTCCTACACAAAGTCGATTCCATGTTCAACATGAACCTTATCCAAACCCCATCCAACGATAATGCCCAAAGTCTGCGACGAGAATTTCCCCAGCTCGAGAGCCATAGCAGTAGCAGCAGTGCCAAGGCCACAGGCCCAGCTGGCAGTAATAAACAATCTGCCAAATCAAGCACCCAAGAAAAGAAGGCGGCAGCCAAGCCGCGAAAAGCCGCGCCAAAGGCGAAAGCAGAAGAGAAACCATCTTTGGTTATGCCTGAGAAGAAACCCCCACCGAAACCTGCTAGCACCAACAAACGACGACAGGCCTCAGCAGACTCAGAGGAAGATAGCTCAGACGATGACCTGGGTCTTACCATTGAGAATCCAGGTGGCGATGCCCCGAGTGTGAGTCGGGACTTCTCACCTAACCTTATCGGAATACGCCGGTTTTCCGACTTCGTGCAACAGAACGAAGAAGCGGATGAAGATGATGCCGATGGTGAGGAAGACGACGAGGACAATTTTGAACACTTCAAGCTGCCTAGTCCTATCAACCATCAGATGCAGGGAGCTACCACAGCTCAACAAGCTCCGCAGGTAGATGAGGGTGAAGATGAAGAAGATGAAGAGATGGAAGACGTACAACCAGAGCAGTATGCCGAGGCCGATGACATGATCCTAGACGAGGAGGATCTGGAAGCTGCCTTAATAGCCGAACTGGGCGAAGGGGATAGTCAAGCACAAGAGAGCGATGTTAGCGAAGAGGAGTAGTCACCAAAGAGTGATCTAATCATCTTGAGATTCTTGAGCCTGGTCGACATGAGACTACCTAATCACTTTCTCTATTTTCTGAACGATATAACGTGGAGTATATTGGCGCCTGGAGCTATGGATACCATATTGCGCATCTATGAATGGGCTGAATAGGAGACGAAGACACATGCATTATGTATGGGCTGGGGTTTGCCATAAAGGAGCTACTGATTTAATGTTCTTTAAATGTACCAGTCTCCTAATAAGACTATTGAATCACCTACTGTATAGATACTTTGATTTTACAACGATCACGACATCATCGTGTGGAAAGTTTGGAAACTTTCAAGTTTAGAAGGTGAACTCTTATCCCTAACAGTCTAGGTTAACAGTTTTCGGTACGTGGACAGATAGACAGGCACATGCAGCAATGATTATCAGAGGGTTCTTATGGTGTGTGTATATATAAGCCCAGTTCTTTTTCTTTCTTTCTTTCTTTTCATTGTCGCCATCTAAAACTATCTACCTCATCCTTGGGGAGGAGAAGCACCCTTTCTCTACGAGGCACCAGAGAAGGACAAGTCCTCGTTCCCGACCACCGGATTCAGCACATTGACGTTGGTGCCGGCCAAGATGCCGTCGCCGCCCTGCATGACGGCGGAGAACGAGTCGGCCATGAGTTGGACGCCCGATACAAAATCCTTCTCATCGAACTCGCAGTGCCCGCCATCCGGCGAGTTATCAACCGTCTGCAGCGCCCCCACAGCAGCCGCATCCAACCCCTCGCCCACCGCGATCTGCTCGTACGCGGCGATCGCGGCCGGGATCGCGGGCTGCAGTAACGCGAGCTCCTGCTGCGTGCTCTGGAAGTGGATGCGCGTGTTGGCGAGCGCGGCCGCGTTGTCCGCGCTGACGGCCACCTGCGGTTCTAACCCGCCGCAGTTCAGCAGCACCTGCGACTCCTGCCCCGCGGCCGCGAACTGCGCCATGTGGCCCGGCAGCAGGAATCCGCTTAGCAATAGCGAGCCGCCGGATACGCCCGTGAAGCTCACGCTGCTCGCGTTGAAGGCGAGAACCGAGGGGAGCACGGTGGCGACGAGGTCGGAGACGGCTTGCGCGTGCGCGACGCCGTCGGTGCGGTCGAGGCCGGATCCGCCGCCCCAGAATAAATTTGGGTCCGGCGCGAGGACGGCGACGCCGGCGAGGTTGGATAGGACGCCTTGGTTTGGGAAGTCGAAGAAGGATTGCCCGCCGTCGCCGTGGAGGAGGATGTTTAGCCCTAAATCGCCGGCGGCGTTGGCGTCTTGGGTCGCGCCGGTTACGCCCGAGTCCGTGGTGAATTGGTCGGCGGGAGCGGAGACCTTGAAGCGGAGGGGGAGGCCGCTGGGAGGGGAGGTGTTAGCTGTATCCTACCTAGGTAGGTAGGAAGGGATCATCATGACTTACTTCACCTGGGCAGTCATGTCCAAGATGGTGCTCCCGTCCGTAGCGGTCGAGACACCTTGCGGTATCTGCTGCGCCTGCTGGAACGCCGTTGCGGCTTGCTGCTGTCCACCACCATTTCCGTTCTTGCTCTTTCTCCCACTCCGGTTTCCCCTGTTGTTCTGTGGCGCTGCGTCGACGGCGGATAGAGCGCCGAGAGCGAGGAAGATGGCTAGGGAGCGGATGGTCAACATCCTGACTGACTAAGGTACCTTTTAAACGGGGAAGAAGAAAACGGTATTATAAGGGTATGATTACAGGAGAGTGAATATAGATAAATAGAATACACACACAAGAAAAAACCAAAGCCTAGCCCGTCAAGAGCTTAGAATTAGAAAAGAATGAGAATAGAAGTTGGAAAAGAGAAAGAAGAATAACCAAGAAGAGGAGAAGGAAAGAGGTTTGGTTAAAAAAGAAGAAATATCAAGGAAGCCTTTTTCTCGCTTCATGACGTTCCAGAATACTTACATACATACTACAAGGTAAAATTGTTGGGTGTTAATTACGACCTGCTGCTGCTCATTACAATTGCTCTTCCCTAGGATCACGAAGATCAAACGAGCATCATGACCCACTTACACTCGAATCCCCCAGGCCAGACAGTTAATCGGCTATTAGTGTAGTAGTGTAGTTGGATGGTTTGTGCCTAGGAAACAAAATGCCAAGGAAAAAGGGGGCTGCTTTATATATACCACGAAACTCCCGTCTAGCACAGGACGGACACATACGATCCTTTCCTTTGGAAAAAAATCATGGATAATTAGGCAGGTAAACAGGTATGTAGTTAGTATTGCCAGCATTCTCTTTTTTCGCTTTCTATTTCTTCTTCTGCCAGCCAATTCTCTCCGACTATTCTTGTGAGAGATGATCATCCTAACACCGAACAGGCAGATAATTGAGCCTCTCCGTGTTTCGCGGCAAGGGTTGTGACTGTTTTGAGGGAGCCAGCCAAACCAAAGACTCCCCCCACTGCCCCTGTTCGAACCCCCCCACATCTCTTCTGAAGCTTAGCTTTTGCTTGGCTGCCTCTTCCTCTACTCCTATTTCATCATTCTATATTCCGATGTTCTGTATATATATATATATCATGTACATACATACTAAAATGACGTCAGGTAACTAATAATTACTTACTTACTATGCAAATAGAAGCTACAAAGCTAATAGTTATGTAGAGCTTGAAAACGATTCGTATTGTATGTAGATTGCTCAAGAACATTTTAACTAAGTAGATAATCCACCCGTTTTGCCCCCGGATATCATGGCCACATCTGTGAGAAGTAAACCCACCCTGCGTAAATACATCTACATACTGCATGTGAAGAAATACACGTCTCTCTTACATATTATAGAGAAACTGTTACCGCCGTGGCTGCATTATAATAAGCCAGTCCAGTCATAGATAGTTCCAACTTCGCTTGCTCCCAAATATGCCCTTAATAAATGCTATTACCAAATGTATATACCTATACGTATGCAGATAAAGAGCGTGTCGAATTTTGAGAAGTGTATGGTAGGTAAAATTCATCATATCGGATATAAATAGAGCCCAACACCTGTCGTGGCAGGGGGAGAAAACCTGGGGCATTCCGACGTCCAACAAAGCCGCCGTGAGGGTATAATGCCGAGCGTATCTCATCACACCCCGAAGGGTAGAAGGCTCATAGATAGATAGAGCTCTAATGAGGATAGGTATCAAGTATAGACTTAGCAGCTACCAGATAGGTCCATATTGTATGGATTTGGGTAGACTCCTGCGTTAATACTATTATGGGCCCACCATGTCACCTGTAGTGTCGTCCTGTCTTAATAATAGTCGATAGGCGGACATGTAGAAATCGTCATGTAAAGTAGGACGGCCATCTCAGTAGGTTCTACCCCATCGATTCATCCATCATCTCGAGGTCACTTGGTGTCGCACCGTGCTTCTTTACCATGTGCCTCCTCCAATTGTCCTTCCGCGGGAAGGCCTTGCCGCCTCGGAAGTAGGGACATGTCGATTCTATACAGTGATATGCTTTGGACTTCACATGCTTGTCGTTGATATGTCGATCGAGATGCGTCTTGGTACCAAACTTCTTATCACAGCCGTCGTAGGGGCACTCGTGTTTGCGATCATGGTAACGCTTGTGATGGTTAAGTTTATGGACCTGGTCAAAGTATCGTCCGCATTCCTCACAGATATGACCGGGGGACTGTGGTGAAAGCTTGGAAGTCTCCGGCGATAAGCTCGACTCTGGTTCCATTTTAACCTGTTGATGGACCGCTGGATATGGCGACGGCGATATAGTAACCCGGGTATCTGGCGTCCTTCCCATGGAGGGATCCGTGGAGCTTTGTCCCGGCGTGGTAGTGTAATCGTATGAGTCGCCTGACCGACGAGGTTCATCGTCGCTAGGTATGTCGAGGAAGCTATCAGCATCGAAGTCGTCTGGGTATTCTTGGGCGGTGGTGTCAGCGCTCTCTTGCGCCGGCTGGTCGGTGATGATCTCAGGAGGAGAGGTGGGAAAGGTGGGAGGGGATGCTGAGTTTTCCATTTGGAAGTCGGTATAGGCAGCTTTCTCCAGAGAGTTGGATGGTTGCATGATGGACATGGGAGACACGAAAGACTCTGGTGGTTGAAGAGGAGGAGAGTGGGAGCCTTTCAAGACGGAAGGTCGTCTATGAATACCTTCCAGTGTCTCATCCAGCTCCATAGGCTCTGGGATGTCGGGGCTCACAAGACGTGCCTGGGGCCAGGTCTCGGATTGGGGCTGAGCTAAATGAGGTAACCCATCAGAGGACTCCTGACTCCGTAGCACAGCTGAAGGCAGCTCGGGGTCTTTCTCCGTAGTATCTCGTACCACTGAACTAGTCCGGAGAAGGAAATCATCTTCCTGTGAATCGACTCGCTTTTGTCTCTTATGCTGCTGCTGATCATTTCCCACCCGGTTTCCACTTGCCGAGCCTCCTAATGCACCCATGCTTTCAGATATTTCGCCAGGCTCTTCGAAATACTTATTCGTTGCGAATTCTGACGAGCTTACTCCTTTCTTGGACTCTAGTTTAGACTCTGGCTTCAGACCAATGGGACTCTCCACTGGCGAAGCAGGAAAATACTGAGATGTTGAATTCTGAGGGCTGACGTTTCCATGTGCTGAAGAATGCGTAGAACGCTTCCTCTTGATGCTACTCCAGATCCGACTCGTTAAGGAGCCACTTCTTCTTCGATGTTCTCGTGAGTCTCTGAGTTGGGCCTCGTAAAGTTCAGTCATCTGTCTAGACGGTGGTAATGGTGCTTGCTCGGGATCCGAGTCCATGGAGATTCTGGTGTCATAATAACTGGAATTTGCAGCCTGATGTCCTGGAGACGTATCGATATTGCTTGGGAAGGCTGTCGGCTGAGGTGGCAAATTGAAGTCGATGCCCGGGGGTAAAGGTGGTTGACCAAAGTTATGAGATGCGTAATAAGTTTCATGATTGCCCATTAAGTCATTCCCGTATATAGGTTGTTGTTGATGGAATTCAGAATCATCACCAAAGACTGGAACGGCTCTATCACTATCATCCTTCGCAGAAGGCGGACTGTCTGCATGGGTAGCAGGAGTATGCCTAGGCAGAAAGCCTGGAATTGAGAACAAGGTCCTATGATGGGATCCCTTGGACTTTGTTGTTGTTGGTAATAGTTCTGCTGCCCTGGCCTCCTTAGACTTCCGTCTCCACCAAAAGTAGAGAAAGCCCAAAACTATGAGCAAGAGGCTGCCTCCGATAACACAGCCGACGACCGTTCCAGCGATTGCGCCAGGAGACAGGTGATTATCCCGCGCCCGGAGGCCGGATTTGGATTTTAAAGTGGGCGCCATGGCTGTGAGAACTGGAGTGGGCGCCCACGGGTATTGGAAAATAAAAGAATTATGGAATATGTCCTATGAGATGAATTAATGTTGGCGGGGCCGAGAAAAATAGCTTCGGTCAATTATGCCGTTGAAGAAAATATAAGATTCTCAACTCCTAACTCCCAACTCTCGTTTCCTAAGGCTCAATTCAAGGATTCAGGCCTCAGTGAGAGGGAGTACATGTGAGACCGAAATGGCGCGTTGGTCAGAGTTGAGATGTCGACAAGCCAGACAGACCCTACGTTTGTCCCTCGCAGGGCTTGCCGGTCATCCGTCACCCGGTCACCCAATCACTCAGTCGATCGGCCAGTTCAGGCGGCCCGATGGCAGCCTGATAGTGGTGCTGCGCAGAGCAAGTGGATTTATGCCGATGTGGGTTGGGAATGAACTGGCTACTATGTAATGGTTTGGGCATATTCTATTATGAGATATTCATGGAATGATGGAATCATGGAAAGACCAAGAAGAGTTGACGTTGAAATGTTGAAAACTAGGATGTGCTGATTTATCGGATTAATTCAGCCTCATCCCAAAAAAAAAGTTGGAGGCGGAATTGAACCCGGAGGCGCCCTGGGCATGCAGGAGGGACATTAGTAGGACATTACTGTGTACGTAGTAGTTAGAGAGTGAGAGATAATAGAGCATTGAGATTGAGATTGCATGTGTGAGAGGGAAAGAGAGTTACATGTTACATGGTGATTTGATTGTGAGTTGGCTGGTTCTCTTTTTCGGGCTGACCTCCCCTGTAATTGGAGTCCTCAATTGGGACGATCGGATTGGTTCTTGCCTTGCTTAGCACCCTAGGACGGGCCTATCCCAGGTAGATATTTAGTACGTACCTACAGGGGAGTTCCTGTCAATGTTGTGATGTTGGCTTATCTGTTAATATGGGAACTCTTCTATATCTACCAACCTCTGTTTATTAGTGTTTATTAGCTTATTCCACTACTACGTGGACTTCTTTCGTGTTAGTGCACCAACAACCAATACATCTGTGATTCTGTGACCGCCAAAAAGAAAATACATAACTGCGCCACACGCTATACCATTTGCTAGGAAAGGGGGATTAATCGATAGGCTGGTATTTGTATAATATAGTAAGTTTAAATGTTTACATTCAAATTGTACACAGTACTTACTTACCTACTACCTACTCAGGTAATACTAATAATATGACGATGTCTGAATTCTGTCGGAGACCTCTCGGAGAACGCGATGAACTGTGCTGCCGCGTTAAACAAAACAATATGACACTTTACATTGTGCCCTCCGAGACGTCATACCAACATTGAACTTGAAGTGCCTACCTACCCTTAGTACAGAGTTGCGTTATTTCGATCTAACGAGATTCATTGGTTAGGTATTTATCACTTATTTACTACTATATACATACATACATACTATATATTTCTTTATCATGCCTCACGAAGATCGCCAACGAGGCAATTAAAAGAGCTTTTCAAAAGCCTTATAGTAAATATAGCTTCCAGTCATATTTATCATGGTAATATATCTGATGCGCAACCCTATACCTATATACATGTATATGTTTATCAATTGATGTGTCTATAGTTGGAAGATCTTAAGAGATTCATGCTCGCCAGTAAAAAGAAAAAATATTGCTTAACTATACAGCTGCTAGGATTTCAACATTACGCTCAAGAACCACTTTCTTTTTGCAGCCTGAATAGATCAGTAGCATTCAAGATTGATGGAAACCTGGAAGAGACCCCGCGTGGGATATGCCTAACCTCCAGGGCTACTTTCTAGGTACTGACCCAGTGAACGATACAAGTTCGAGGACTCGCAAGATCCAACCTATGATGCATAATAGTCGGGATCTTTGTTACATTGCTTCCTTTGACCCTGTGTTGCGAATGGGACTTCGACTCTGATTTTCTCTTCAATGCGTATCATATAACTCAAAATATATTAGTTAGAATCGGCAAATTTGGTGTTCACCGAAACATCGCAACACGTGAAGAGGGTTATTCTCCAAAGACCCTTCTTGTGTAGCCCGTCTCGCCAAAGACTACCTAAACGCAAAGATGATTCCCCCTTGCCTGGATCCCATACTGAAATTCATGTTGGCTATCACGACAATTCATCAGATCAACGTCTGCATGGAAATTCTTCATCGGAGAGAATCCATTTGAGCTATTCGCCTATTCTTGTGCTGTGTGACAATTCGGTTGCATTGCCGCAAGTATGCAGACGGGATTCTCGGGGCTGCTTCATGAAATCTTGGTTCGATTGCCACACTCGATGCCAGCAATTCTGGATCGTAAACCGACATACAGGAAACTCATGCATCACGCTGCATGCTGCACGCTGCACCTGCGGTTCCACAAGGGTTCGCCCTTACGTGAAGACAGCTCATGAAACCGGGTCAGGGCTTCGGAACAGGAACGGGTCTTGTTAATAAGGCACCCATCGCCATTGAGGCAGTATGAGTGAAAGGCATTGTTGGCGTTCCACGAAGAAACTTGCGTGTTTATTATGTGAGTAGTTGTCTTGTTGTGTCGTAAATACTACCCTAGGTAGGTATGTAAGCAGTCCGACTGGGCTGAGTTGGTAGGTAGCTAGTATTGAAGGGAAAAGAAGAAAAGGGAGAAAGAAAGGAAAAGAAAGGAAAAGAAAGCACCTTCGACCATTATACACCGTAGCCTGATCAATGATCATAATTTGCTTTATCACTTACATCATCACCATAATGTTATGTTCAGAAGAGAACCGGCATTCCTATGAAACTTTAGACGATCATCATATGCGCAAAACCGGTTGTGAAATATGAGTTCTGAGATGGGATGTTGTGTAACGGAACATTTGCCTTCTAAAATACACGATAGACTGTTCGTTACAACTCAACAGATAAAAAAAGAATTGGTCAAGTTCTAGAATGGTGAATGTCTCATACCCAACTTGGTGCCGCCAAGTCGTATCAGAACGTCGTCTACAGTGATATTACACGGGGTGAATTTTCAATCATATAATAGTCACTACATACATTTAACAAAGAGATTTATATATCAGGTACCAAGGAGAATGATTGCGAAACCCATTCCTAAGATGGCATATCGCCCGAGAGCTTCAATGTATGCATGAAGTTACAGGCACATAGTATATTGTCGCACGTGCGGATATTAAGATTCCAACGACACGACAGACTGCCGATGCATCCCGTCGGTTCCTGGCAGCGAGGAGCGAAGAGCGACCAGTCGATGCCAATATGGGAAACTTGAAACCTCGATCGAAAACTTCATGGTTGACAAGACCGGTGATAATGCTGACCTGCTCCCCGCCACAGAAGTTAGGGCTTGATCGGTGGTGTAGTATATTCCTTTTTCTATGTAGGTAGACAGCAACGACTCAAGCCCATTGCTTCTACTCTTACAATGTGTATGATATGACAAGTTGATTAACTTCTCTCTTGATTTCGTCGCATAGATACTAGGTATGTAAGGAATATGATCGAGTATAGAAGCCTCTGTTGGTGATTGGCACTAGGTAGATGTCATATCTCAGTACTCATATAGTCATCTTTGCATATGTACCATATATGTACCTAATAGGCTTGGTACCTACCTAAGCACAGTAGCATACATGTATGTACATACAGCATTGTAGATCTTGGCATGGGCTGTTTAGGGTTCTTATTTCTTAGGTAGGCACTATGTAAGTACTAGACTGCTACTTATAGTAATGTATATACTACAACTATGTAGTAGTATATAGATACTTGTATTTTATACCTAGCATGTTCCTTGACACATAATAGCTTTATAGAAAGAACTACACTATGCAATTGCCTCATTATATGAGTGAGTTTCTGTTTAGAATTGGAAGTCTCTACGGCTGTACGTACGTACGCACGTATATGTATGTACATAGGCAAGGACGATACATACATACCTAGGTCCTAGGCAAAGTATTCCAAAAAGACAGGGGACTTCGTTCTTTCCGATAGTAAAAGTAACCAGCTAGAACCCAACCAAAAACCAACCAATAAGTATTTAAAAAGAAAGTGCTCCGCAAATGTACGTCAACGTCCTAGTGGATTCCGGTCCCCTCTAAAATCTTATTTTACGGTTCCCGATCTCTAACCCCCGGACCCCAATCTGGGCATCATGGCAGCTCGAGCCAGGTACGCTTTCTTCTCATCCAATATACCACATATCGCCGATACATCTACTGCAGCAACATCAATCATCATGGATCTACACGTAGCAGTTGTAACAGTTAGACAGTCCCTTTTCCTCGGAAACTCCTCCGCTTTTCAGCTGGACAAGTCAATTTTGTCAATTTCCACCCTTGTGTGCTCTGCTGCCCGATATCTCACCAGAATCTCTCACCTCTCACCTCTCTCGAGTCTCCAAAGGTCTAGGTCGACTGGGTCCAGGGTGCATATATGGGCCCCTAAAACTTATCCCTTGCCATCGTGAGATGTCCCTACCTTATATTGTAAGTGGATCGTCATAACACTCGATGGTCTTTCTTGTTCTTGACCGAAAGTCTGCGTTGCCACAGAGCTGCCTCTGCTGAAGTCTCACTTTGCATATATCGTATTCTTCCTAGCCTCCCTTGGTACTTCTCTTTCATCTCTCGTACTTCTGCTCACAAACTATTCGAATCAACACTGCCCCCTGTGTGTTCTTCACTTAGAAGACGCCCGATTCGGCTGAAGTCATCAGTAACATCGTGGAATTACCTTTACCGGACTGACGTGAAACTTGAGGTTCCTGGCTCTCGGATACGTATATCAGATCCACGTTGCCCCCATCGGCACCTACACATTAAGTACTCTGATGAGGCGCTCTGTACATTAGCGCTGCTCCGGAACCTAAGGGCGTTACACCTTGATTTGGAACTGCTTTTGCCCCTTCCAGAAAAAAAGTCTAGCGGTCTCTAGTTCACCTTTAGACACCATAAACCCCTGACTGGCCCCATCAAATGTAAGTGGGCTTAGCCTTACTCTCCTGCAGACCGGCCATAACGAGGAAAACACAAGCATCTGATTCGTGTTGAGTACCCCCTCTCGATCCAGAATCGAGCTTATAGCCCAGACTCCTATCCTTTCGTCAGGTATTCTATCCTCATGCTACACCACTAGCGCCGATCCTAGTGCATACACTGATGCTAAATTCACAAGTAGGATCACAAGGGGAATTCTATCAAAGACGTCAACTGCTGCCTTGGCTGATCTGTTATATTTCGGTTTTCAGTATTTCATCAGAGTTGTGACAGCTCCACCGAACTTCAGTTCCTGCCAAGCACAAATCATCACTTCAGAAACCTTTTTATTGCCTTTACTTCCAACCTTCCTTCGTGTCTAATACTCCTATTCGCTCTCCTGATAAGGAGCTATAGCTTCAAAGTGCAACTCTAATCCCTTATTTGGCATATGTCTCCACATCATTCTTTTTCAAACCGTCATGTCGACTAACAACATTCTTATCTACATCGTACGCCACGACTTGCGTGTCTATGACAATCCTATCTTGCATCATTTCGCTTCTACTTCCGATCATGGCTTTACCCATATCTTGCCCCTCTATGTCGTGCTTCCTCATCAATTCGAGGTTTCGGGGTTCTTGAACGAAGGAGCCCAATCACCTTACCCTGAAGCTAAGAGTAAGATTGGGCGCTATTGGAGATGTGGGCCTCATCGAGCAGTTTTTATCGCCCAATCAATCTGGAATTTGAAAGAAAACCTCGAGAAACTAGGCAGTGACTTGGTAATTAGGATAGGAGGATATGGTGAAGTGCTGAAGACACTTGTTGATGGATTGCGACAGGACGATGCCCATATCGGGGGTGTATGGACAATAGGGGAGGAAGGTTACGAGGAGGCACAAGACGAGAAAGCAATATCAGAGACTTGCACAAACCTCAATATAGACTATCAACAATGGGTTGATGAGAAGTACTTTGTTGACGAGTAAGTGTTGTTTACGATATACGGATAGACTTCACTGACATCGACTCCTTAGTCGGGACCTAAAGCTCGAGACTCCCGAAGAGCTTCCAGATGTCTTCACTTCCTACAGGAAAATGATGGAGCCGCTTCGAGAAAAACCCAGATCAAATCTGCCCGCCCCCTCAAAAGACACGTTGCCCAATCCCATCGACAAATCTAAGATCCCTAGTCAACAAGCACCTTTCGAGATCCCGTCGTCGTACGAAGAATTCGAAAAGGCACTATTGCGTCCAATCAAGGGTTCTATGTATGAAGACCGACCATTACCTGAAGGAGCTGAGTCAGCCCACCCGTTTCGCGGTGGAGAGGACAGCGCTCACGACAGGCTAGATTATTTGATCAAGTCTGGGAATGCTTACTCGTATAAGAATTCACGTAATGGGCTGTTGGGAAGTGACTTTAGTACGAAGCTGTCTGCCTACCTCGCGCAAGGGTGTATGACAGCTCGTCAGATCCACAATAGACTTGTGGTGTATGAGGATGGGGAAGATGAGTCGATGAACGAGGCCCAAGGATATGGGGAAGGCGAAAACGATGGAACGAAAGCTATACGATTCGAGTTGCTATGGCGTGATTACATGAGGCTTTGCACAAGAAAATTCAAGGAGAAGCTCTTTTCCAAATCCGGATTTCGAGACGATCATAGCGATAAGTGGAAATCGGCCAAGGAGGGTAGAGCTACAGAAGGCCAAAAAGAGTCCGCGCTTGAGATATCTAGGATCGTGAAGCGGATATTTGACGGTACTACCGGGATGGGGCTTATCGATGCTTCGCAAAGGGAATTACTATATACGGGGTACACGTCGAATCGGGCCCGACAGAACGCTGCTAGCTTTCTCGCCAAGCATCTTAGCATCGACTGGCGATACGGCGCGGAATGGTACGAAATGTGCTTGATCGACTACGACGTCTCGTCAAACTGGGCAAACTGGCAGTATGTGGCTGGAGTAGGTAATGACCCGCGAGGGGAGGCTCGGATTTTCAATCCTGTAAAACAAGCCTTCGACTACGATAAAGATGGAGAATATGTACGTAGCTGGGTGCCGGAGGTACGGAAGATTGAGAAGTTGGAAAACGTTTTCCAGGCTTGGACAACGCCAAAAGAGGAGTGGGACCAGCTTGGCCTAAAAGGTCTCGAGATGGCCGAAGACCCAATAAAGAAGATCGAATTCTCTGTGGAAGGCAAACCGAAGAATTCAAGACGACCTTTCATGCGCCGGCGTGGGCATGGGCGTGGGGGTAGTAGTCCGACATCCCAGGTACCGCCCACAGGCCCTGGCGGTTCCAACAGTCCCGTCGAAAATGAGAAGACAACGAATGTGCAGCAGGGCAACAGTTCCCAACAGACTACAACCGGTGGTCCTCGTGGTGGTCACCGCGGCGGGCGCGGGCAGGGTGGGGTGTATCGAGGTCGTGGCTACCGTGGCCCGAGAGGAGGATATCGCGGGGGCCGAGGTACTTCTTCTCATGGCTACGGTCAACCACGGCAGCCATCGGTACCTGTAACTCAGCCCCAACAACAAACTCAATAGAATTGGGTTTATTACGGGCCGACCTATTACAACCACCTCGATTATCAGCAACGATGCCACAATCTTTATGAGGGGTTATGAATATTACCAGCCTCCTTCATATATGTATTACTGTGCTGGCGCATTCATGGATGGAGGGAAGATCATTGAAATGAAATAAAATGATCTGCGTTAAGATATATATGGTCAGATGTATTCAGTTGCCTATTGGCTTTTTTTTCTTTCCGAGATGATCATATCTAGCAGCAATCGGGGATAATAAAATAATTGCTAAGGAAATATTTAGTCTGAAGCTTGGTACGGTCATATATATCTATTTACTTAAATACCTAGGTATCTAAGCATGTATGTGTAAAGGTACGGATAACCGTGATAGCTTCATTATTGTATACGTTTGGTATCGTACTCTATGATTCAATAATGCTACCAACGCCTTCTAAAAATGCCATATTCATTGCAACAAAGGCACCCAAGACACCCAATGGCCCTTGGGTTTCTACTTTGCCATCAATACATGCAGTTATGTAGAGCCTCCGCCTTTTACTTTTAAAACCCTTCTACGAGGGGTTTTAGCTTGACTCCCTTAGGCACAACAAACAGAGCCTTTGCCTCGACGCAGACCCGGCCGTGCTCGGTCTCCAAGGTGCCCTCGACCCACATCTTGCGGGCGGTCTTGGCCGGGTCGATCTCGCCCTCACGAACTATAGGGCGGGTGCGCACGACGTAGAAGTCGCTCGTGATGGTCGGGGAGCGGTAGGTCAGCTCGAGGCGGGCGGTGACGCCGGTGCGCGCGGGGAACTGCAGGATCGCGCACCGGCCCAGGCTCTCGTCCAGGACCGTGGCCAGGGCCCCGCCGTGCACGATCCCGGGCCACCCCGCCGTCGAAGGGCCAAAGTACACGACGCTCACGACCTCCCCGGTGGAGCTGTTGTGGAAGATCCGCTGGAAGGCGAGGCCGTTGGAGCCGGATAGGGGGCCGGAGGTTATGCGCGAGCGCACGACGGATATCGGTTGCGTGTGTGTGGACACGGCGGCCTCGAGGCCGGAGTACGCGTCCCAGCTTGTCCAGGCTGGGTCGGATGAGAGGGCGCGCACGAGGGGGAGGTGGGAGCCTCGCGCTTGGATCTTGGAGATTAGGTAGAGGTCTTCGGGGGATCCGGGGGCGGGCAGGGGGGGTGGGGAGAGGGTTAGGCGGAGGAGGGTGCCGAAGGAGAGGCCGGCGAGGAGGAAGACGGCGCTGTAGTAGATTGCGCGGGAGCGGCGGCGGTGTGGGGTTTGCGGTTGGTCTACGGGGGTTGGTTCGGTTGTTGGGGGTTGTTCAGGTTGTTCGGGTTGTTGTTCTGGGGGTATCGGGGCTGTTGCAGGATTGCCTATGGGGCCTTGGGTTTTGGATTGGTCGGTGGTGGCAAAAGATGGTGGAGACGTCGTGAAGAGTCTATATTTGCTTAGTGGGAGAAGCAATAAGTTGGAAGATGGCGTCGTAGTTGTTATGGGCATTCGACATATTTGCGTGTTTTGCTTCGGGAATATCGCCGGCCGGCAGAGGTGTTGGGCGACTTTGGCGCGGCCGGGCAACATGATATGGAGCTGATTCAATTTAGGTTCATAGGCCCAGGATCGATTTCTCTCTCTTCTAGATTCAAGTAGGAAATTAGGAATTTGGATGGGGGTTGCGATTTAAATTGAGGCTCTTCGGTAGAAAGTGAGACAGATCTTGGTCGAATGTAACCGTGACGAACCCGAGGGACGGGAGAGGTTTATCTTGATTGGTTCCCCAAGTACCTCAGTACCAGGAAAATCAATTACTAACCTGGGTAACTTTCTTAGCGCAATCTTGATCTTGATCTGGGGTTTAGCTTATGTAAGTTACTAACTAAGTCTTGGCGTTAAGTTGGAAAGTCAAGCAAAAACCCCCTTGTCCTTGTCTCACTTTCTATCTTGCTTTCATCCTTTTGTCACACACAACTTTCCCCTTTTCCCCCTTTCTTCTTCCTTTCCAGCCTTTCCGTTTCTTCCTCTTCTTCACCAACTTACACACAACAAACTTCTATGATCTCATAACCAAAAGAAGGTTATCATGACTGCTATGTATTGTCTTACTTTTTTACGAATACCAATTTCATTTGTGCATGTGTGCTACACACCCCAATGCTAAGTACTATAAGTCCGGAGTCCGAATTCAACATGGAGTTAATCTTTTTTTGTCTTTGACTTGACCGTATGAATGAATTTGCTGACATGTCCAATAATCAATAATCAGGACCTGTTGTGTTGGCTATGCTCACTTTGCAGTTGATTGATATCATACACCAAACCTTATAACATGTTACTGAGTTGCGTTGTGTGTGGTTGCTAATAAAGCTTACCGCTTACCGCTTACCACTCACCACTTATTACTAGGTTTCTAGGTTTTAACACTCACTATGGCCTACGAATATGCCCTTGTGTAAGCATCTCAAGTCCACTTGACAGCGAACGTGTTGGGGACTAATTCGTCAAGTAGACATCTCAAGTACACTATCCCCCCGGCTATATTCCTTACACTCGTTTTGAGGCCCTTACTCACCAAATTGGATCTGTATAAGACTCTGATATTGATACTCGTCGCTTTCTTTGCCACGCTCCCCTGGGATTCGTATTTAATTCGCCATGGCATCTGGACTTATCCTCCCAATGCCATAGTGGGGCTGCGTCTCTATGGCATACCAGTCGAAGAATTGTTCTTCTTCGTCATACAAACTTATATCACGTCCATGATCTATATTCTAATCAATAAGCCTATTCTCCATGCTCAATTTCTCACCAACAAGGATGAAACCCCACCAACGATCCGGCGGGTGAGGACATGGGGACAAGTCTTCTTGATTGCGTGTGTCGCAATTGGCATCTATCTTTTCAGAAAAGGGGGTGAAGGCACATACCTTGGACTCATATTAATATGGGCCTGTCCATTCACTCTTTTGACATGGTCATTTTCTGGCTATTTCTGGCTCAAGCTCCCTTTAACCTGCGTTGGCATCCCAATAATCGTACCAACACTTTACCTCTGGATTGTGGATGAATTCGCTTTGGGCCGTGGCACTTGGGCCATTGAATCTGGAACGAAGCTGGGCTGGTGTATATGGGGTAGCCTCGAATTGGAAGAGGCTGTCTTCTTCCTCGCGACCAACACGTTGATTGTCTTCGGCTTGGTTGCATTCGACAGAGCATTGGCAGTCCTCCACACATTTCCTCAACACTTTCCAACTGTTCCGGCGCTCCCTTCTCCCAGTCTTCTGGTCTTGGGCCTCCATCTTGACCCGGCAAACTATGATATGGATCGGATTAGAGGTATACGAGAGGCTGTGAAAGTCCTAAAACGAAAAAGTAGGAGCTTTTATTTGGCTAGTGCGGCCTTTCCTGGTCGCCTTCGGATTGATTTGATTTTCTTGTGAGCAACCCACCCCTAAAGTCACTCTTCCGCCTTTATTGACACGCTTTAGGTATTCATTTTGCAGAGTAGCAGATGATTTGGTTGATGATTCGCACACGAGCAATGAAGCTTTGGCGTGGATCAATACACTGACCGACTATCTAGATCTCGCTTATGGTTCACATAAGCGATCGACTGATTTGGGAAATGTTGTGGAAGCCTTTGTGAATAACAACTTTTCAGGAACGACGAGATTTGCGCCGAATTTCCTACCAACCAAATTTCTTCCAAGCGAGCCACTTTACGAGCTCTTGGAAGGGTTTAAAATGGATCTCCCCTTTAATCAATCTGGCAAAGGACAACAAAATGTGCAGTTCCCTATCAATGACGAAGCCGATCTTGAGTTGTACGCACACCGGGTCGCAAGCACAGTTGGAGAATTGTGCCTGCAGCTCGTTTTTCATCACAGCGAGAAGCAGCTTCCAAACCATCAAAAATCAATTCTGGTTACGGCTTCACAAATAATGGGCCATGCATTACAGTATATCAATATCGCTCGGGATATAGCAGTAGATGCGGAAATGGGTCGGGTTTATCTGCCAACAGACTGGCTAAAGCAGGAGAGTCTCACCCCTCAAGATGTTATCAAGGATCCCACGCAGCCGAGAGTAGAAAAACTTCGACAGAAGTTGCTAGATCGGGCATTCAAGGAATACGAACGATCAAGAGACACGATGGATACGCTGCCTAGTGAAGTACGTGGGCCACTGATTGTAGCCGTTGAGAGTTACATGGAAATAGGACGTGTACTACGAGAGAGGACTGCTGCCCCTTCCAGAACCCGAAAGGGGCGGGCAACAGTTCCTCTATCGAGACGTGTATGGGTTGCGTGGAAGAATTTGTCTATAAATTGATGGTGGGGGGGATGTCTGTTTGCGAGTATTGGTATGTGAGCGTGGCGTAGGAATTATGGGTTTCATTTCATCTGCATTACATAGGAGGCATTCATTACGAGGCACGAGGCTTTAGGTCATCTTACTCAGCTGCGTGGTTGTGCGTTTAATATGTCTGGACTTAAATCCTGGTATGAAATCCGTACTGCGAATCCGGATGATGAATCATCAAGTTGGATCTGGATCTGGATACGATGTACCTGTCCTACTTTTCTACATATGTAACTAACCCTACCCCGGACGATACGGACATAAACCAAAACAAACCTAGATCATGTTATATACGATGTCTATGTAAGTAAGTCTACGAGTAATCCGAGAAATCCGTATGCTCTTAGATGCTGGTGTCAAGGAAATGATTGTGTTAGATTACTAAACCAAGCCCTCACCCCCGAGACACTGGGATATAATGCTTTTAGGGGAAGTGATTTTTAGGCATTTGGCTACTCTCATCGTATTTCCAGGAACTTAACTACTGTAGCTTTCTTCATTTCTCTCAAGTATCGTTGCGGTGTGGTGGAATAAAGGTTAGTTACATACATATCTGTCATATTGGTCCCGTATCGTGAGAAGAGTACGGTAAGAGATGTCTAAAGAAAAACGCAAGAGAGTGATTGTCATTGGTCAGTATCTCACCACCCCCTTTCCCCTTTCCTCCTCACGGCAACCGCCTCTAACACCAATCACAGGCGCCGGAGCCGGCGGCATCGCCACCGCCGCCCGCCTCGCCAAATCCGGGCTCTCCGTAACCGTTCTCGAGAAGAACCCCTTCACGGGCGGTCGGTGCAGCCTCCTCACGCACCTGGGCCATCGCTTCGACCAAGGGCCCTCCCTCCTGCTCCTCCCGAAACTCTTCCACGAGACCTTCGCCGACCTCGACACCTCCCTCGCCGCCGAGGGCGTGACGCTCCTCCGCTGCCCGACAAACTACAAGGTCTGGTTCGCGGACAGCGCGAGCTTCGAGCTGTCGACGGACCTCGCGCGCATGAAGGCGCAGATCGAGCGCTACGAGGGCGCCGACGGCTTCCGCAGGTACTTGGCGTGGCTGCGGGAGGCGCACCGGCACTACGAGCTCAGCGTGTCGGAGGTGCTGAGGCGGAACTTCACGTCGTGCTGGGACCTCGTGATGCCGCGGTTCGTGGCCGCGGGCCTGAAGATGCACCCGCTGCACACGATCTGGGGGCGCGCGAGCAGGTACTTCGAGAGCGAGAGGCTGCGGCGCGTGTTCACGTTCGCGACGATGTACATGGGGATGTCGCCGTTCGACGCCCCGGCGACGTACTCGCTGCTGCAGTACACGGAGCTGACGGAGGGGATCTGGTATCCGAGGGGCGGGTTCCACACGGTGCTCGCGGCGCTGGTGAGGGTGGGCGAGAGGTTCGGGGTCGAGTACAGACTTAACGCGCCGGTGGAGCAGATTCTGGTGGGCGAGGACAAGAAGACGGCGTGCGGGGTGAGGCTGGAGTCGGGGGAGGTGCTGGAGGCGGATGTCGTGGTGGTCAATGCGGACCTCGTGTACGCGTACGGGAACCTGTTCCCGCAGACAGCCCAAACGTCCAGTTACAGCCGCTCCCTACAAAAGCGCGACGGCTCCTGCAGCTCCATCTCCTTCTACTGGAGCCTCGACCGCCAGATCCCGGAACTCCAAACCCACAACATCTTCCTCGCGGACGAGTACCGCGAGTCCTTCGACGCCATCTTCGACCGCCAGTCGCTCCCCGACGAGCCGAGCTTCTACATCAACGTCCCCAGTCGCATCGACCCCTCCGCGGCGCCCGAGGGGTGCGACTCTGTGATCGCGCTCGTGCCGACGGGACATTTGCGGGAGTCGCGGGGAACAGGAGGAGGGGAGGCAGGAGCCGGCCTCCCCCACGACCAAGACTGGGCCTCCCTCGTCTCCCGCGCCCGCGCCGCCGTCCTCTCCACCATCTCCACACGCACCGGCTGCCCCCCCCTCAGCACCAGCATCACGCACGAGATCGTCAACGACCCGCGCGCCTGGGAGGCCAAGTTCAACCTCGACAAGGGATCCATCCTGGGGCTCAGCCACAGCTTCTTCAACGTTTTGTCCTTCCGCCCGCGCACGCGCGCGAGGGGGTTGAGGAATACGTATTTTGTGGGTGCTAGCACGCACCCTGGCACGGGTGTGCCGATTGTGTTGGCGGGGGCGAGGATCACGGCGGCGCAGGTGTTGGGGGATTTGGGTGTCGTGGTTCCGTGGGAGGGGAGGGGGCAAAGGGGGGGAGATGGGGAGGAGGGGGAGAAGAAGAATAGGGGTGACAGGATGAGGATGATGGATGCATTGCAAGAGCCCTTCTCGTTCGGGTTTGTTGTGTATCTGTTGTTAGCTGTACTGCTTGTGTGGCTGATGCGTTACTGGGGCCTTGTCTTTTAGTAGTGGTAGTCGTAGTACCTAGTTCGGCTTTTAGGGGTTTTCGATTCGAGACTCCTTTACCTAGGTACATTCTAAATAGGTAGGTAGATCATATACTTCTCTTCTTTTTATTACATAATTAATACGAGTAGAAGATGGTAGTGCTTTTATAGATCCTAGGTGCCTTAACCCAAGCAATAACGAGCCCAGGATAAGGGGACATGTGAGGCTGACTTACATCACACACTCGCAGTTGAACACTCTCAAGCGCCTATTGGGCGAACCCATAGAAACCCCGAGATGCCCCCCCTTATAGGTTGGAAATGTCCGATTGGTAAGTTCCCTCCATTTACTTATTATGCGGGCGAGTTAGTTTCCATTGGCTATGCCCACTCCTTAACGCCTCCCGGCACCGGTTGGGCTCTCTTCATAAAGACAACGCGATCCCTCGATTATTCATTTGGGTTTGGGCACACACATTGGCTCCTTCTGCTTTACCTTCAGTTTCTTACTCATGAGAAGAGAAATAACTGTAGCACTTATTTACCTAGAGTAGGGCTTCCTGTTGATTCTCACGATTCACTCATCGTCTAAATCTACCGTCTTTCTCATGTTGTTCGTATATCCAAGCCTGTCGCCTCTTAATATATAGCTAAATGTAACTCAAAATATTTTACTCTTATCTCCGGTGGCTACTTCTCTCTCGACTTCGGCTCCTTTCTCGATGCTTATGATCTTTGTCTTTGACTACGAGTAGTCCTTCGCTTCTCTCCTTCTCCTTATCCCTTCCTCTACTTTCTCTCTTCCTTTCTCGGTCCTTGTCCTTGCCCCTCTCCTTCTCTCTTCGTCGATGTCTCTCTTCTCGTTCTCGTTCCTTTTCGCTGTCACGATCCATCTCACGTTCTCTTTCTTTCAGTCGCTCTTCTCTGTCTTTATCCGAACGCCTGATATCTTTCACAGCGTCCACCTTTTCGAAGCTCTTCACGTCGTCGGGCATGCGCGTAACCACGAGTTGCTCGCAAAACAGCCCCCATTCGCCACTTGTCCCCTCCTTTACCGCCTCAGAAAGCTCCTCGCCGTAACGCTCGCGGTACGCTTTCTTGATGGCAGCCATATGGTGACGGTCCCAGTGGAAACGGACAAGACGCGATATGAGTAGCTCCCGGCGCAGTTGGTCCTTCTTGGAGGCTGTGAGGGCATGATGCAGAAGGAGGGCATCCCGAACTGGCCTATTGATTATGCCATTAAGAATGTGAGCTAGGAGCTCGCCCTATAGTGGGTTAGCTGAGAAATATTTGGTTCACAGATCAAAATCTTTGCACGTACCACAAGATTCCCGCTCTTCTTTAGCAAATCTCGAGCAAAGTTGCTTCCGATTACTTTCTCGTACAACCTCATTACTTCCTTCAGGTGATGGTCGCTTCGCGAAACTACTATTTCAATCATGGCAGTCTCACCTCCCCTCTCACTGCGAACAGCCTTGTATAACGCCTCCACATCATCCTGAACTACTTCACGATCAACGGGGACCTGGTGTCCATACTCGTCTACATCTTCCATGCGCTTTTCGTCCAACGCAATAAGAACAGCACGCTTGAACTTGTCCTCCTTGAGCTCGGTCTTCATGCACAACGTCAGGGAATCCCTATACTTCTTATCAGAGAAGGCGTTCTTGATTTCCGCAATCTCGCGGTTGGAACGTCCCATCAGACTTTCAATCAGCAGTTCACGCCGCGTTTTGTCACCATGATACCAGAAATTGGCCCAGTAGGCCTCCGATTCCCATTTTCCGAGTGCGACTGTATAGCAAGCCTTCATCAGGATAGGGTCCTCATCCTTTAGGCGAGCGCGAATATGCTTGGCAACATTTACACCTTTACGCTCAGCACCAGTCTTAACAAGCCGCTTGTACTCTACGCGCAGTTCCATGATCTGTTCATGCGTCATCCCAGGCAGGATTTCGATTAAAGGCTCTGTGTCAGGAGGCAGGTGGTCTCCTTTCAGAGCCTTGGCGAGACGTGCTGCATCTTCAACAGGGTCGTGAAAGCGGGCGCGCCGCCGCTTCTTTTCCCCGTTGCTCTCCCCATCTGATAGACTTGGCGAAAGTGGCTCAAGGGCATCCGACATTCTGGGATCATCAGCAGCGAGGAGCAAGGGCGATGGCATTGGGGACATGGATTGGTAGGTCCCGTAGTAAGACTCGAGGAGTGGTGATGGTGGCGCACTCGAGAGTGACATGTGCGCAGAATGGCGTCCTGTATTGACAGTCAAAGAGGACATGCGACCAGTAGGTGGCATCGGAGAACGATCTCTACGACCACTTCTAGGCTCGGCAGAGAGGAGTTGCGTACCCGAGGACCTCGGGTCAAGCCCATAGGAATTACGCTGGCGGTGCTTGTCCGCTCTATCGGGAGGCGCAGCGTATGAGGCGTCTACGCGAGGGAATCTCAAATTCTCCTCAGGTAGGTCATCTCCCCACTGACCAGGCATAGAGTAGTTGGTTCTGCCAGTGTACGAAGAAGCTGTTGGCGACTGAACATTGGAGTACTTGTTTGTTGGAGGAGGAGGAACAACGCTACCATAGGCGAGATCCTCTTCCAACTGTTCTTGCTTGAGTTCCTTTCTCCTCTCCTTTTCGCTCTCCGACTCGCGAAGCTTGTTCGCATACTTGGAAGGAAGAATAATATCAGCACTACGTCGAAGCGCGTCTTGGGCAACTTCTACCAGATCCTTGTCACCCTTGGATACGCGCTCTTCACTGCGCCTTGGATACTGTGAGTTTGCTGAGGCAAATGAATCATAACTTCCACGATAATAGCTTGACTCATCCGTTGGCGTACCAGCGCGGTACGAAGCCCGCGGACCATCATGATCATTAAAAGAACGGCGAGGCGTCGCGTCGTTGTAACTAAAACCAGCGGGAGGGGAGGGCATTCGTACCGCGTCAAGCAGCGATGGAGAGCTTCCCCGACCGCGTCGCCCGCCGTCGCCGACGTGGGCAGACATTTCTATTGGAGGGGGGCCCCACGTAGTAGAGTGTACGACTAGATGAAATGAAGTTCCCCGGTATGAATGGTCCGTGTTACTGATGTGTGGATGTTGTGGATGTTGTGGATGTTGCGGGCGGGTGTGTAGGTGGTATGTGTGTAGCGGGGTATTTTAACGCTGGCTTTCGCTACTGCTTCGTAAAGATATCATTGATAATATATGATAATATATAATATATATAGCCTTGACGCTGACAAGTTTGATTAAATATTAAGATTTAGTTGACAGCTTTAGGTTAGAAAATCCTGCCCAACTGTAGGGTGATTAGTATACCAGAAGTCTAAATAGCTTGGTTATTTATGTGCAAGTTATTTTATTGTGTTCAGATTGAGAGAGAAGGAAGAGGAGGAGGTTTTAAGTAGACGAGCTGAGACAAGCTTATTCTTAGTAATGTGACTACCCTAGCGACCTAGTGCCCGAATAAGGCGGGCACATTCATGGATGTTGTACCTGCCTCGAGGCTTCGTTACATTCATTAACTACCTAGTACATGTAGTTACCTTGACAGAATGCCATATACTATGTGGGTACTATGTAACTACACAAGTGCTGCCTACCACTTGACCTTGGTATATGCACGTAGGTACATAACTTATGTAGTACTAAAATACGGTCTACTACATACATATGTATATGTATGTATTGTACATTACTATGTAGGTATTGTAGTAACTATACTCGATCAAAATTGTAATAGGACCGGGGATATCATGTGTTTTCACAATATTGTCTGTACGTGCAGCTATCATACACATACAATGCGGAAAACATCCAAATGGATAATAGCAAAGCAAAGTTGGGGCTTTTGCAGGTACACAACCAAATCATTGATGATTGATGTGTCCACTAGGTCAGGTACTTATCAGCCAAGGCTATCAAGGATCTCCATAAGGTCACCCGTCCAGCTCAGCTAACTACATGTAGGTATCCATTCTAGCTCCCCTCCAATAGCCGGAGTGTCCAGAATCCAGATGTCTTTTCCAAAGTACGAAGTATTATAAAAATATATTGTAGCTGAAAGCTGATGTGTCGTGTTGGCATTCTGAGCCATACAATCTGACCTCAACTTTGGCAATGTTAAAGAATCCTCTTTTTTTCTCTCTCTTCTTCTCTCTTCTCTTTTGATTCGACGTTGTGGGAATACATACTACTAGGTTAACCTAGTGTAGTAGTAATACCACTGGGGCAACGTGGAGGCGAAGAACGGGTAAAAAGCAACCATTCAATGTTCACCTTGAACCACTTAGCGTTAGATACACACTGTACCTAGGTGTGTGTTTTATGTGCACATGTGTGTCTTGTGCCGGTGGCTTGCGTTGGATCGATGCATATTGATGCATATTTCAGCTGCATGAGAATGCATTAGCTAAAGACTCAAGATTCCAATCAGCACCCTCCCTATCTACGTAATGTCTGGGATGTTTACTACTTCGTATGTAGTGCAAACATAGCGTTATTCTGCACCATTTTAGCAGCCTATATACAACCAAGGTATACACAGTAGTAGCATTTGTCGGCGTTGCCAATTGGCCCAAGTTTTTCTCTTGCGTGCAGATGTCCGCAAGAACCATTCTTAAAAACCATCATAAAAGTCCAAGAGGCAGCGTGTCCATTTTATCATGCAAGAAGAGATCCATAGAAGCGTCTAGGTGAGAGTATGTATATATATTAGTAGCCCAAAGCACGATGAATTGCATACATACTACATGAATATGTATGTAGTATCCATATGGCTACTACTCAAGTCCATATTTATTTTCCTACGATGCATATACCTACCTAGTAGTCTAGGTACTCAATAAGTAGGTAGGTGGGCAAAGCTGCCTAGGTATAGACAGTTTGCTTAGCTTTGATGGTCTAGACAGCTTACCCGATGCTTCATACGTCTCATTGAACAAGGTCTATCCTATCCATGACTTGAGATTGACTGACAGCGCAACATGTCTGGTGTGTTAGTGTTAGCTTATGGACAGTGGACACAACTGCAGGATGGAATACGGAGAATTTGTATGCAGAGCATAACAACGAAATCAACTTGTCTTGATTGATGTAAAGGTCTAAGAATCTTACGTTGAAGGCATCTCAAGGGTTCTAAGTAATCTGGTCTAGTAGCCAGATTATGTAATATTTGAGTCCATAACTGTCTCGATTGAGCATTGTCAACCTCGATGCATTTACATATGTACCTAACCTAGGTTAGTTATTAGTGGTCCATAGAATTCATAAAAAGAGACTGCCCACGTAGGACTTTGTACATTTCAGTTGTTCACAATTTTGATCCCTAAAAGGACGAGCAGAATTAATTACGGCATAGAATCAAGTCAAGCAAATTGCATGAGGTTTGTTCATATACAGCGTGATTCAATTGATGACCGTGATGCATATAATACCTGTGGCAATAGCATACCCTTTTCCAGTGCAATACCCATGAGCGTGCCAGCTCAGTTCCCCTAAACACCGAAACGCCTTTGTGGTATCATTAAAAAAACGAACCCCTTAGCATTCACAACTTTTCACTTTTCACATCCATAGGATAGGTACCATCAGACTATATCGTAGAGGCAGGCTGATGTGAATACGGTGGGCATGCATCTTCTAGACGAGGCTCCATGAATAGCATTTTCTCCTGTTCAAGGCGAATTGCACCTTCCTTGGAGGCACTGGGAGTGTAGAATCTATATGCCAGGGTCAGTTTCACGAGTTCAGAAAAGGAGAGAAATATAGTAGACATACGTGTATCGTAGAGCACTCCAAGTCAAGGCGAAGAGGCTCACAAAAAGGATGGATAGGGGGACCATGAGCATGGCCTTATCTGCGGCCTTTCGCACACAGTGGAAGCGAAGGACCTTGTCTTGAGACATATAAGGAATGTAGACCCATGACTCCCGCTCTGCCTTGGTTTCCAACTCAACAATGGATTCTTGGGGTTCGGGATCGGCCGTGTTCGCGCGGGTTTCCTCTCTCATGATGCTCGAATCAGGGAATGGAGAGTGCTTCTTAGGGCGGGTCAATGAGTTGAGGAAATGGAGAACGTTGGGCGTTTCCCAGGCCTTGGCACCGGCGAGGTGGTCAGGTAACTGAATGCGCTGGCCATCTTCTGCGATGATGATGACGGGGTGCTTCTCTATGGAAACTCGTGGAGAGGCAAGAAGACCCAAGATATGTTTGGGTTTAGACAGAATTTCTTTCTGCTGGGTGGTCGTAGTTGTGGTCGTGATCGGTCGCACATGGGTCGACGCACTTCCTGCTTGGCTTGCTAACTTATCGAGGATGACCACCGGAGCTGCAAGAGTCCAACCGGCGAAGAGGAAAGTGCATAATGCAGCCAGTGACCCCTTCATGGTGGCGTGATAGGATATCCTGACTTGCTCAAAACGTAGAATTGTATTGTTGCAGGTGTAAAAAAGGTGGACAAGTTATTGGGAGTATGGGTTGGTGTACGAGTTAATGGGTGGGTGGGTTAGAAGACGGGAGGGAGACGAGAAATGGAAAATAAATAATGACTTGGATGGGGAAATGATCAAAGGAGGAAGCGACACAAAAGTATTTAAAGAATTCACAATGAGTCGATTGTTGCGCGCCCGAGATCAATCAATACATGTCCGAATTCGCGTAAAGGTTCAAGTATTAGTGCTGGTTCGATTGTTCGATTATTCGATTGTTCTATTGTTCTATTGTTCGGTTTGTTCGTTTGTTCGTATTCATCAACGATGATGAAATGGGTAGTTCGCAGGCTACAAGGATTACCTTGAGTCGTGGATTGACCCCGAATCGTAACTTAATGCTATGGTAGGCTGGTAGGTTGGTTAAGTAGATGGGTTGGATTCTTGGCGATCGATTTCAAGTTACTCCAGGTACCCGACCAATATTTTAAGGGTCGCCAAGCTTTACTTCATGAATGGTGGAATTTTCGGGGTTGGCGCGTTGGTGGGGGGGGGGGGATTGATGCAGAATCAAGTGCCTTACGTAGGGTAGTACACGTAGGTCAGGTAGGTAGGTAAAAGAGTAAAAAGAATAAAAAGAATAAAAAGCACGAATCAACTCAGCTAGACTGGGAACAGCATGAGTTGACGGCAAGAGGAGAGGTGGAAAGAACAAGAAGAAGGCGATGAAGAAGGTGAAGAGGAATAGATTTAAGCTTTACACTACTTCGGTAAGTGTGGATAAAGATCACGTTAATCAGTCCTGAACTCAATGGATGTATTAGGTATGTGTGCGTGCTGTCATGCCTTTCAATGCTTCTCTAATTAAAAAAACATGAATAGGTCTTACTTATAAAAAAAAACATTCAATCATTGGTATGGAAAAACAGATGGAATAAATATTAAATGAGGAATGGCCAGTTTTGGTTATCCCCTTTCACTCTTTAAGTGACACCAGTTATGATGTGCATGATACAACGGCTTTTGGGGGGTTGAGCGACGTAAGAAATACCTATTATGGCCATTTAAAGGATTGTGTTGTTCAGTGATTAGCTACTAACTACAGGACTTAAACAGTAATGAAGACTGTAGATCAAGTCTATTAATATGCGGTTAAAACGCTTTCAAGGTTCTGTACCTCTTCCTATTCTTCCTATTACCTATTATTCCGTGGCACATGTAAGAAAATACTTTTTTTCACCTTTTCAGCCTCTCAGTTGCTCTCCCATCCATCCATCCATGAATGTCCTCTGATACGAGAATTATGCTTTGCTGATGGCGTACCAAATCTTGAATTTTTTTTGTAAAAAATTGATGTTCTTTTTTCGTGGGCGGGTTGCATACCGAGGCATAAGTGTATAGGTCCTTATATGGGAATTCAATGCAATAATAATTATTAATGTTACTAATGCAATGATCTTTCTAGATCAGCACTCATATTGGAAGACGATGGATTATGGTGACACCCAGTCCGAGAGCTGTGCCGCACCAAGTGCTTCCTAAACTCACAATTATGACATGATAGACACTGTCTAGTTTGTATGTAGACTGACTAATTACCTAGGCTACCTATTTACCTAATCATCTTGCGAATATCCTTGGTTGCTAAATCAAAAGTGTCTTTTGACCCCTTTCAAGTTGTCGTGACTTATCGTCTAGCTAGCAGCTATATTTACTAATGTACAATACAATATGCACTAACCTAGGTATATGTAATATGTATACGAGGTACCTAGTTATATAGGAGGTATTTTTAACATCAATGATATGACTTACAATAATACCCATGGATGGCGAGCTAAGCCCTTCTTCACGAGTCAAAACTTGCATGGATGCCCTTTGAGGTTGTTCAAGCGGTCACCCGAATATAGCGCCATCTAACCTCAGCTAGGCATTGCACAGGTCTAGACCTTTAGTTAAAGAACGACCTCAATTTTAACCTTGGCAGGTAGTTTTGCTGGCTGAGGTTGCTAATTTAATAGGTAATACGTCTGTTTGTCTGTCTGTCTGTCTGTCTGTCTGTCTGTCTGTCTGTAGACACCTTCTCACACGAGCAGGTAGTACATGATGATGTGGTGCGTACGAGCACTTATAAGATTATAAACCCCTACTTGTTAGATGTCGCCGACCACAAGAGACTCTAAAACTCGAGATGATTTGTGTGGTATCCCACGTGTCCAAAAGACGCGAGATGAATAACTAGAATTGATTTTTCTCCTAAGCACAGCATAACTAGAACTTATCCACTAGATTGTTAATTTTTTTTCAAATGAAGGAAGAAATATCATGTACGTTTTGATACGCCATGGCATTCAGATTTGTCCCAAGCTAAGATTATTCACAAGTTGGAACTAATGGAAGGTTCCGATTAGTGAATCTTCAATTTCGAACAGCTGCATGTGCCATGTGTGACCTTCCAGATAAATGTGGGTGGACCTATATATTAAAAGGATAAGATCTAAGGATCAGACCTTGCTATTAAAATGTTCTTAAATACATAACCACAATGCTTCGCATTTTCCTCTCTAACATACCTACCACCATCTACTAGGAAGGGACAATAATGCCTGTCCTAAACACCTCCAGGCTTCGTTTTAATAGCGCCAACAAACTCTAATATAGATATTCCCAAACCACACAGCCATTTAATAAGTATTAGAAATAGGTAACGTTATATTGGAATAACAACAAAATGCCAAAAATATGGTCTTTTAAAGTAAGGGATTAATCGGATAAATAAAATATAATACATCCCATATGGGAGGTAATAAAATAAGCCATAATGGCTAATAAACTGTGGGCTTTTTGAATTAAATAAACGGTTTTTAGATTTTTTAATTTGAATAAACTAACTATGGATTTTTTGATTAAATGACTTTTAAATAAACAGCTTTTGGAATAAATAACTTTTTAAATAAACGTTGACTTTTAAAATAAAGCTTTCAATCAATAATAACGTTTCAATCAATAAAAAGATTAAAACAACTTTAAAAACAATAAAGGTCCCAATTATCAAAAAAAACCAAAAACCAAAAATAAGGCTATCACTACAGCTCTTCTGGTGGAAGATTACCAAATAAATATGGATGGATCTATATATTAAAAGGATAAGATTTAAAGATTAGACCTTGCTATTGAAATGTTCTTAAATACATAACCATAGTACTTCGCACTTTCCTCTCTGGCGTACCTGCCACCATCTCTTCCTTACCTAGTACCTACCTTTGAAGGTCCTAGGTATCTACCGGGCTACCCTAGGGCCTAGGTAAACTTGGTAAAGTAGTTAAGTGTCACTAAAAGTGATGGCAGTCTAAACTCGATTAGTGGACTTGAGCCGTGCATCATCCGAGAACCCCACCAGCACGCTAGCGGCTCCCCTAGTCTAATCCTAATTTCTAGGAACATCCATCTAGCCTCTCAATGCTATTTTCATCTTACATATTTGTACTTATTTGTGCTATTACAAATTGGATGTTACCTCATTGATATGTAGCCATTATACCATAGCCATACTATCATAAGGCTGACCTTGGCAGTAACTCACAAAAACATTGATGGCCAGTATCCATTCAGTCAATGATGTCGGCTGGTACCATTCTTAGCCCATCATTCATAGCCGCAACCGCAACCACGACACCGACTGATAACCACGATGCGCCAACTCCTGGCTTAACCCGCGCCGCAACTCTACCTATCGAGTTACACGCGACCCGCTCCGCTCGCTCACATCTTGCCCCCGAAGATGCTTTCAACACAGCCTCGCCATCTCGCCGCCAATCTGGCTTTGAGCCTAGTATCAATGATATACGTGCCGAGTCACGGTCGCGCAAGATAAACTCCAAGCTCGGGAGTAGAAGCAGGAGTAGGCGACGGAGACGGACTTGGAAGAAGTTGCTCTGGGTAAAGCAGTCTTGTATGATATTCATTGCCCAATTCTCTTCAGAATATATTCCCGCCGCTAACAGTTGCTGCAAGATCCCGATAATTACACGGACCAAGCTACTTTCTTGGAGAACCTACAGCGCAACCCGCGCCTTCAGCCCTACGAATTTTGGCCGCTCGTCGCCGATTCTACCGTTATCCTCCAGCAGGTCTGCTCCGTAATTGTATTCGTCGTCTGTTTTGTGGGAATATTTCAAGAGCGTGTTTCGCCTGTTGCCGTCGTAGGCTGGGGAAGTTTCGCCACGTTCGTCGGGTGGCTACTATGGGACTGGTGGGTAGGACAGGAAGATGAGGATGAGGTTCTCCAGCGGCGGCATAGTAACCGGAGCCGCTCAGCGAGGGAGCTCAGCAGGAGAGGCCGCCTGGCGGCCACCGGCGGTGCTACACCACCACCTGCCGCCAGTTCGGTGACCAATTTAGCAGCAGCAGAACGATCATGTTCTCAAGGAAATTCAGTGGCAATGCGACAATCTCACTCCGCTTCCGCCACATCTCTTCAATCTAACATTTCACGCGCCAGTGACGTGGGTCAGAGGTTATCCGAGTCCACGGATGCCCCAAGTCATCGTCCCTCTTCTCCTCTTCGTAACGGGAGAGCCAACCTCCGCCTTAGTACCATAAAATCTGCTGTTCTCATATATTTCACCCTCCTCGGATTATCCCCTATCTTAAAATCCCTAACTCGGTCCACCTCATCCGACAGTATCTGGGCCATGTCCTTCTGGCTACTAATAATTAATATCTTCTTTTACGATTACTCATCCGGGCCGGTCAAATTTCCGGCCTCTCTCTCGACGAATGCGGCCCTGATGGCATCCACGGTGCTCGCCTCCCGCCTCCCCTCTACTGGACAGGTTTTTAGTTTGACCCTTTTCAGCATTGAGGTTTTTGGTCTGTTCCCCGTGTTCAGACGTTTTGCAAGACACAGGAGTTGGAGATACCACGTCGCAATTTCTGTGCTGCTCGTTGTTGGCGCCGGAGGTGGGGTTGGATTAATCCTGAGCGGAGAGACGGACGGCGTGTGGCCATGGAGAAGTGGGCTTCTGGGTGTTCTGGTAGCCGTCGTTACCGCTATGATCACTATGGGAGGATGTAGCTGGTGGCTTATTGGACTGCAGAAGTACAAGAATGCAATCAATGGGCCTTGGGATCAGGCTAGACCAATCATCATAAGCCGGCGGCTCTGGGATGATGAATAGGTTACCAGATCATCTTTGAATTAGATCAAAATGAATACATGCAGCGTGTAGCTTCCACTTAACAGCAGACACAGCGTTTCAACACGGATATTTCATGCTACGCGGAAGATGTGAGCTATGCAGCATTTTAATGTGGTATGTGGATATCGTGAAGAGGTTGAATGCCTCTAGTGCAAGTTGGCCCCTTTTCACGTACTCGCGAAACAGCACCCCTTCGCCTGGCTCGATACTGCAGATTTCGTAATGTAAAACTAGTGTTTAGTACATGACATGTAGTTGCCAAGACTTTCGATGTAAGGGGCCCAAACGTTTCGTCATCCCCTTTGGAAAGCAAACCATTGGTAGACTCTTAGTTGAATCAGTATATATTAGTTTTTCGAAGTGTCGTTCTGAGATACCTACCATGTGCCTTAGGGCCATGGCCTCAGGCACCTGCAACATAAATTATGTCAAAGATAAATTCGGAATGATCGAACGTACCTAGATCGGAACATACGTCAGTATGGTTGAATATAGGCGTGTTGTCTTATCTGGTATGTGTTGACTAGCACGTCAAGTTTAGTCTATCAAATCTCTCGCCTACAGAGTAAAAGGGGTATCTCTAATCTATGCGTACTAGGTACGTACCTAGTAATAGCCCCCACCAATTAGCTCACATGTATAGGTTAGGTGGTTCTTCGTATAACAATGAAGTCGTATTTACGCCTTCTTATTTGATACTGTGACACTCTTGTAACACGGCCAATGGCTGTTACTAGCTCGTGATCTTTGGAGGATATCGTAATCAGCCTTGCAGCGGAGAATAGATAGTGCTTGCAGTTTGACCTGGAGTAACGTATCACGTGAACAGGTAAAAGGGGGGATGTCATGGACAGGACTACAATCTAGAAGAAAGCAGGACAACTTTTCAGCTTATTTGTTCATTAATAATGGAGTGGTAAAACGGAGATTTGGCTAGATAAATCTTGATGTAGAGTTCAAGCTTGAAAAGGTTGCTGGTAGCTAGTAGCTGGGAGCCTCGTGCCGGTTAGAAGAAATGATATAAGTTTCTGTGTAGGAGACGTACTGCAAGCAAAGTATCGAAGACGGCAGCTTATTGGGAACGCTACCTACCGTAGATTACTCCATACAACCTCCAAAGCTATATATTAGCCAATTCGATCTTATCCGACCATAATTGGTATGACGGTGGTATTGGGGAAGGTCTTTGCGAGAGACTTCTGGGTTAGTGTAGTACTACCATAAGCCTTACTCAACAAGCACACTAAAATACATTTGGGTAGGTATGCCTATCCATTGATCCGATTGAGATGGAATTCTGAAAATTTCATACTGTTCAGAGTAGTGATCAAGCTTGATTTTACCTAAAGTAAGAGTATTGTATAATAGCTGTAACGAAAGAAGGTGCGCGTAACTCCCCTCTGCGCACATTTTCGGTGTGAAGTTCCCTCCAAGCCCAATTGGATATGACCACATTACGGGAAATGGAACCCCTCATCTAATTATGCATTGTCATGCAACAATATATGTGTGTCTGAAACGCTGGGAAGGCGTCCTCAGAGGTTTAAAGTATAGTGGCTTGCATCACGGCGCTACTAGGCAAGAGTTACAAGTCATTGTAGTTCCTTGCCCCTAATTCATAGAGGCCCGAAATGCCTCGCGTGTAATGAAAATGTGGTTCCTTGATGAAGTAGATACCTATCTAGGTAGATATTGGATATTGATCCTCAAGTTCTTGTACAAACCTGTCTCTACCTAGGTCTGCTCTTATTTACCGAGTACCAGTGGTGAGCATATTCGCCCTAGGCACTACATTTCTACCCTGACATGACTCCAATCTTAGCTGAAAATTGTCACTTAGGTAGGAACCTATGGTGAATTTATGTTATGGACCCCAATTGCTATTGCTAGAGTAATAGCCAAAATTAGATTTTGAGGTTCTTTTTCAGTCCTTTTCGCCCCAAATGATCTCCGCCTAATAATAGCTAACTTGTGAATAGTAAGCTTTACATCATTATATAACTTCCAACTCTTCTCGATTCTAGAATATTAACTTCTTTGCCCTCGACCTACCTCTTGTGATACGAATTCTCCAAACACCGTATTCGCGTATCCCCCTTTTTTTCCCTTTGCCTCTCTATCCGTATCTTGGCGAATGGGACCCTTGTTGGCACATATCATCACATATCATCATTCCTCTCCTTACGTACGAACTGAAAGGCAGAACGTCCGCCAGACAGGCAAAGGGACTTGCACCGAATACTCACTGGAGCGGCTACTTGATTGGCTTCATGCATTGAAGCTGTCGGTGAGATAAACAAAATCCCCCACACTGGGGTAATCTCCCTTCGAGGGAGACGTATGCGGGTGCCCCAGGTAACGACAGACACCAAGGCAAGCAGGCAACAACATCTCTAACCTAGTTCATTTCTAGTACTTTCTAGTTGCCTTACCACACTTTGCATAATCGCGTTTGCGATATTGAAGATATCCACCGCTTCTCTCGTTCGTTGTCATACGTTCACGTTATGCGCAACCTACAGCATCAATCTATGACGTCTTTCCAAGTCCCTTCTGAGCCTTGGTCCTATACAACAGGGCGATCCAAGTCCATACGATGAAGGGACTACGTGTGCATTCCCTGCTTGAGAAGGAGGCTCAACGGGCCGTGTTGGTTCGCGGGCCTTTCGGCATTAGGATCCACAATGTCGTGTATACATGACATACCGGAGCTCCCTTCGGAAGAGGTTATATAGGGCCATAGGTGGCATGGAAGTTTGGCAGAAACCACTCTTTTGATCTCTCGGAAGCCACGAAAGCCGTACTTCATTTATTCATTGGCTGTTTTAATTTTGAATAAGCCTCGATAGACAATATCTTCAACTAGCTGGACATCTTCAATAATGGGGTCGTCAAGGATGGGGTCGCCTTCTATCCGATCATACCATTCCCCCAGGTCTGGTAGCCCTAGCCACTCAGATATTAGCATTGACTGCCATATGATCGATACTAGCGCAGACGGATTCCACGAGACTGGACTTTGTGCGGCTCTTCGGTTACTAGTTGAGAAAGAAACCACAAATTTGGAATTCAGCCGTTGTCTCATGGAGAAATGCCCAGTAGCCAATTTCAAGACCGCCAAGGAGATGCTGGCCCATTTCGCAGTTTGCAAATATATTCCCGAGGGAATGTCTAGGTGCCCAGGATGTGTGGTCATCTGGAAATCTCAGACTGTCCATAGGAAAGGAATACTCAAACAACTTTTCGGGGCCCTGGGCCGTACTTACTCGAGCTTCAAACCATCATCCTCCAAGGCGCCACCCAAAAAGGTCTATCACTCTAGCCTAGGTATGTATAGAGCCCGACGTCGAATTACTAGACCCGCCACAATCTTTTGGCAGCTAAGTATCTTACGAGACAATAGAAGGGATCTACAAGCAGTCTTCATCTTTCGAATTTCCGCCTAGTTCACAAGCAAAACTCTCAGATAATGGAATTACTGAATTATCAGCCACGTCCTCTCGCAGCGAGCTATACGATGAGTCTTGTGAACTCACAAACAAGCGAGTTCCGCGAAACGGGTCCTGGGAGCCTTCAATACGTGATGGGCATCGGTTCTTATATACCGAAATCTCATCTACACCACTCACAGAACTTTCAAATGCCACATCACCTACAGAGCTTTCCAGTACCACATCACCTACAGAACTTTCCAGTACCACATCACCTACAGAGCTTTCAAGTGCCACACCACCTGTAGAGCTTTCAAGTGCCACACCACCTGTAGAGCTTTCAAGTGCCACACCACCTGTAAAGATCCTAGACGCCACTACCACAACTAATATTCAGTACGATTACCTGCCTACCATCTATAATCAGGGAATGAAGCATATTTTCCTTGGCGATATCAGCAACGGAGTAGAAAGTTGTCTCAATGAACCTTATCACGTAACACAATCTCAGAGCGGCTTCACTTCACTCACATCCCCGCCTCCACAGCCGGTATTCTATGACGGATCCGAACTTCCGTTGACTAGCAATACAAATGACCTCGAACCCAACATGAACCCCTCGCCATGGATATGCGAGATGGGATATTCTGACCTTGATGAAAGGTTGGGTGTGTTAGGGTTAGAAGGATCTTGGTTCCACACGTCAGTCGATAGCACCTCTTCTATTGATTACTCGTGGCCCTTTTCTCGGCTAGATACTCCATCACCACCACCGCCATCACCATTACCGCCATCACCACTACCGAGCCCCGAGGTTTATATTGATCTCCCAACTATATTTGAAGAAGATATCAACTTCAATGTAGACGTATTCCCTTTTGAGAACCATTTATATTCAGACTTGAGTTTTGCGTCTCCAACTTCTGAACAGTCACCGAACTCAACATTGTCATCCCATATTTGGAAATGCCCGCACAATAACTGTACATTCCAGGCTAGCGGCAAAAGGGGAAAAGCCTATCCAGCCTATCTTCGAAAACATCTAAAAACTCATGAAGATTGCCGATACCCCTGCCCTCAATGTGGCAAATTATTCACACGGCCAGACAATCAAAAGAGTCACGCAAAGAAAGCTCATAAAGGCTCCGGTGAGCCCAACAATTATCGGGGTAGGTCTAAGCTTCCCGGAAATAGAACCCGAGAGAGAGTACAGAGAGCTAAGGTTAAGAAATAAAGTAAATTGGACTATGCGTGTTTCGTCCTCTTGTTATTCGAGCTTTCCTTTAATCCCTTTCATATTATTGTAAATGGTCTAAGGATTTCCTTGATATTCTTTCCTAAAGTTCGCTTAACACAGTAGTTCATGCAAGTAATTTCCTGAGTAGTTTTAGCACATCTACCTTAAAGCAATACTTGTCCCGATTTTCAATACAAACAAAATGTCACAACTTTCCACACAATTTTCTTTTAGTTTCCTGTGACTTGCTTAATCTCGATCAACAGAACCCGAAAGGCCTGAAAGGGTAAATCCGTTGCTTTGAGATGACATGAATAATTCACGTGCAAGGAGTGACTGTCGTTGTTCAAACTAAGCCACTGATTCCGGCTAACTGATTCTCCAGCTGGTCTGGATATAGGAGACGAGGTCGATAGGAGAGGACATCAAATATAACACGATTTTCACCCTTTTTCGTTATCAACAGATATAAAATCCAATGTTGAAACTATTTTCACCCGAGACTTTTGTTGTTTATCTCATCTATGTTTGACTGGTTCGGGTATCATGACTCCCACTAGTAACAACACACCTACTCTCAAATATTCTGTAGCGAGGCCAAGATCACACAGGGAGAAGGAAATGGTAGAAAAACTTGGCTTTCCCATCAAGGCATCCAAAGACCTCGCAATGTGCCCAATAAGCTCTGCCAGAATTTCGCCACGGAGCTTGGTGTCGTGGACAATATATTCATCCTTATCAGTCCCCTTAGAAATTATGTCCTGTCTTGTCCATCTTCCAAGTTTGAGAGGGTCCCTACAGATAGATAATGGCATATGACCATAGTGTAGCACACCCTAACGTACTGTGTGCGGCTCATTTGAAACATAACACATACAAACGACCCCTAACTTATACGTAGGGAAGGGACCAACAATCCTCTAGACGGCAAAGCCGCGAGTGCATTACGAATGAAGGGACTGACAGGTGTGTATTAGGTTCCCTAAAATTTGAATACGAATAACCTCCATGATAAACATAAATTTCCTACGGTACTAGGTACGGAACATGCTAGTTGCCTAATTATCGATCATGAATAGTGTGTTATATAAAGAGTGACTTCTAACCTCAGGTGTCTACCCGAGATCCACGAACGAACAGTCCACGAGTATACCATATTTACAATCCGGCATCGGCTCCTAAGGTTTCTATACAACATCACTCCTCATACCTACGGAGAAACAAGCCTTCTATACCTACATAGGTACTTAGTTGGCATCATGGGTAGACGCAGGTAAGAAGATGAGCTCCTGGTCCTCCAATTCCATAGCATATATGCTCAAAATTGTCATCAGCATCGAATTTCCCCCTAAAACGTCCAAGAAAGCCAAGACGGCCCAACTTCCTATCCCTAATGAATCGACTCAGCCAGGGTCATCACCACTGGTACAATATGTGCTTAACCTCCAGACACACGAACAGGCCGCTATCGGCGAGCCGTATGAGAGACCGTCTACCACAGTCTACTTGCAGAACTGGGACCGGACCTGGGCGGCGGCAAGTGAGCGCAAGGGATGAAGGACTGACCTCAACGGAAATATAAGCGAGGAATCAACCAATCAGCTATTGGGGAGGGAGTAAAGTGAACGATTTTATGAGAGTTTATCATGATTGGAAATAATGGTCTCTATTGAGTATCCAATTCTTTATTTCGGCAGGGACGATAATACGTGGACCGCACCCCCTAATTGATAACTACACTGTTTATTTTTAATCAAATCAAGTACGCTAATCTAATCAATGAGACATGTGATAGAATGTGTCCATTGAGAACATAACCCTAGATAAACACATAGGGAGTCTACATTCTAAGGGAGCTACTGGATAACTTCTCAACTCATTGTGCAGGCTGGCTACCTAATATACCAGAACGAGCCCCAAATAGGGGTAATGAATAGGGGTAATATTCGGGGACCTGAAAATGATAAATGGCTAGGCTTAATTAGGAAAGGGTCATGGTTAATCATGATCCTCTAGCCGTATGAAGACGACACGTGATATGAAAGCAACGACCTCAAGGTGCTGTCACGTGCCATATCCTACGAGGTAGAGGGTGCGATTTAACCATACAACGATAATGCGATGAATTTTCAAGGTAGGTACTTTACGGTTATCTGTATAATCGTTTGGCATATGCCTAAATAGTTGTTACTACGTCTTTTGAGTTGGTTTCATAGATGTTCACGTATCCACTTTCTCACTCGCCCCCCCTGAACATATGCCAGGGAGGTTCACTACTTTATACTGGGACGCATTCGTTGTTATAATTCATTACCTCACATAGCCTACGTGTACTCTAAGTACCTAGCCATAAGGTGATATCGATTGGCTTTCATTCTACACATATAACCTCTAGTTAGGAGGGCCCCGACTCTAATAATAAGTAGACCCCTTTCGGGTTCACGTGGGTTTTCCGGGCGTGGTTCCTACCAAAATATCAAGATCGTGAGCCTTAATAGATCAACGTATATTGAACTACATATTGATATGAAGTACTACTTGGTACGTACTCATGTAAATAGTGACACGAGGTGGAACCTAGAAGATAGAACATCGTTGTTTTGAAAAATAGAGAGTCTTTGATACATGGGTTTGTTGTCTGGCGAAACGTGGGGTTTAGCTTTCGTGTTGAAATAGAGTAAATAGTATATAGTAATAGGAGCACATCGATAAACTTATATCTAATCTCTGTGGATATAAGTTGAATCCATGTTACTAATATGCTCTGCAGTATTTATAGCTGCCCAGGTGCCCGTAGCGTTTGAGTAGTTGAAGCCTTAGGCCCCGAAGATCGCTAGTGACCGGGAATCTACTTCGTTCTACACATACAGCTAAGCTTCAACCCTAGATGACTGTATTAAGAGAAGCCAATACTTGTGGCTATAATAGATTTCACGGGACTAAAGGCAAGGCTTGTTTTCTCATACTAAGTCATTGTTGTTCAAGGTCTTACGAAGTGTTGTTACACCTAAATCGGCTGTACCACATTACCAGTAATCAAGGCCATCGTAGCCTAGGTTACCGACTAACATTTAGCACGGAATGGCCCTAATAACTACTATTCCTTGGAGATTCATAGGTAGGTACCTCCTTATACCACCACAGTCTTATGTGAACTCAAGTACCTGGTATGCATGTGCAATTTGATATTCACAACTACTTTAGTATTGACACCTACGATATACGCGGACATGGATCTTATCCTCGGGCTACCGACCTAGTAGTTTTCTTAAACTATTGGTGTCTGATTTAACAGATCATGAAATGACTTCCAAGCTATTGAAAGGGCCTGCAGTACTAGATAGGTCAATATATTGGACCTTAGACTGCCTACCTACAGGTACACTCGCAAGGCACACCTGTCACTATTTTAAAAGGGGACTATTAGGGCTAGGAGTTCGTTTCAATGAATGCAAGATGCAGTCTACATAGATTTCATACAAGAGGCGCTCTACGGACTCATTTAACCTATGCATCATAGGGCGATGTTCCGTAGCCTCGGCTCCGTGCTCGATCTGTATCACAGGAAGTTTGATATTTGCACCATATTGCCAACATGTACCGACCTAGAGCAGCTCTTCGATAGCTCACGAGCTGCTTACCTTCTTAAGCTAATGAGAATCGTTGTTCGAGTACAGCTAAGAAGAACCACAGAAGAAAATAAATCATGCGATAAAGTCCTCGTAAAAGTTTCGAGTAAAAGTCATTTCGATTCACGAGGTCACGAAGATTACTTAGTTACCTACCTCGTGTGCCTTTTTATTAACCATCAGCTTTGCTGTTCGTATCCATCATACGATACTATTCTTATCTGATGGTACGTGACGAACATCTAGGCATGTCTAGCGAGCACGTTACGGTTATGTAGCTTTTTTGTCCCCCAGATCTCGCTGTCGTGACACGTATTCACGGACTGCATTGCCGAGGCACTATTAGGAAGCTGGGGTGGTACATATTGACAGCAATGGTTCCTGGAAGAAATATCACAACACTCTCTCGGAAGCAACGTCAGACCCTGATCACTAAGTGGGATTGGGGGAGGGAACACGGAGGGCTATATTATGTGCATTCTGGGTCTCAAAGGAGGGAAATTTGACAAGGACCGCCATGTAAGAGGCGTGCTCACACACATCTAGTTGGTAAGTGAAGGCTCAGGGGTAGGGGGGCAACACGTCAGCGCCACTCTATTGTGGACGAACACCGACAGTGTATGAGCACACAAGCACCACTACACACACACACACACACACACACACACACACACACACACACACACACACACACACACACACACACACACACAAAGAAAGAAAAAATCAAAAGAACCCATGGATTTCCCTGGACGACTGGATATAAATGTCCGTGTCGCACACACGCTGACTCGGACGAAGTCACTGCAGAAATATGCCGAGCTGCAGCCAGCCGTCTCCCCTCTCCCTGCTGCTGGCTCTCCCATCTTTTCATCTTCCACTCACTCACCCCACCCCCTCCCACTCTACACACAGAAATGCAGAACGACGCGTTGATAGCCTAACAGAGAAGTGATCAACTAACATGTAGGCATATTTCCAACAACAAAGTAGCCCCCCCCCCTCTCCCCCTTGTGGCATCGAGTCCTTGTGCTTCCCAGTCTTCTTCTGCCGTACCTAGAGTCGCACAGATAAGGCGCAATCACCGGCCGTTTCTTCTCTCTATTCTTTTCTTTTCTTTCTTTCTTCCAAATCCCTTGCATTTGATTGCTTCCTTTCGCTGAAGATACAAATACATATTTGTCTCTCGGTGATATTTCTGTAGACTAGACTAGGTGCTAGGTACTAGGTAGGTCAGGTCTGGCGACGCAACTGCAAGATCCCGCCCCCCCACCATCCACTACCCCTTCCCCCCACACCCCCCTAAGGAGAGAGAGAGAGAGAGAGAGACAACTGATTCTTCTGTGCACCCGACAAAAGTCCTGTGTGGCCCGTCGGCAACTCAGTCAGCCGCCCGCGGACGGGATGGTATAGGGGGTTCGTCTCAGTCTCTTTTTAAAAAGATCCTTACCCTTGAGTCTTTTTTTGAAGGCGGATACATGCATACGGACCAAAGGCATATCATCTGATGAACGTGTTCGATGTTCGATGCGCTGGCGGGCCCCTTTGTGTCCCGCGTACCGTTTGGTGCTACGCGTTGCTTACTTACTTACTTATTACATGCCTAGATCAGATAGATACGCTACTTGCGTACCTACCAAAGTAAACCTCAGGGAGGAAGGTAGGTACCTACGTTAGGATAGGATAGGATACCTAGTAGGTAGAGACAGGTAAGGTTAGTACGAATGACAGCAAGCTCTCAAGATGCCGTAATGCGCACCCGTATAATCATAGCGTACCCGAGAGAGCCGAGAACTGGGGGCGGTCGCCCGACAAAGAGAATGGGACACCCGAGTCTAATTTAACGACACTTGGTAAGAGGGCCCCCGTTTTGGTTGGAGGGTAACCGAGGACAAGAAATTGTATGTAAGGGGGATGAGTAAGATGAATTCTCTCGTCTCGTCTCGTCTCACTCAAAGAACATGTCCTGGCCAGTGAGAATTTTCTCCGCGTTCGAGCCGAGTGTCAAGCGTGTACTGTGTAATAGCACCCGGTATTATTTACATCCATCCTATCCTATCCCATCGCATCACATCACATCCCAATCGATGCCGATAGGTTAGTCGTAGCCTATGGATTTGATTCCCCAATCTCCAATTCCTAGGTCACGAGCAAGCGGTGGACATTTGAGATAGCCCCAGCGCCACAGTTACGATATCGATGGAATCCCGCTATTCGCCGCAGTCGCCGCCTTGGGATCCCCAAACGGGAAAAGCCGCAACTTGGTTGCATACCTATGTACCTACATAGGTAGGATATGTAGGTTTTGATAGCCCATTCATAGCACCTAGCATCGTTGGAAACACGGACAGGGTGTGTGTGTGTGTGTGTGTGTGCTATCGAAAAGAAGAAGCAAGCGGCAGTCTCCCGCAACTATGCCCTACGGGATTGGAAAACGAAAGAAAGAAATATGGAACTTCTGGCGTTTTCAGCCTCTCAGGACCCTGAAAAAAGCCTCCAATGTTTATGCAGCAATGTCTTCGAATCTTCAACCGCACAGGTGGACGGAACTTAGCGGTCCAAGTTTAGATCCCTGCAGCATGGCATGGCATCTAGTCGATAGTGTATGGATGGCACTAGAATATTGGGAATATTTGTTTATTGATCCCCAGGTACCTACTTAATACCAATACCTAACTGGTCTTATAAATGATTCGTATTATGAAACGATTATCAAAATCTCTCCCCTCCAGCCAATCTGATTAATCGTGTTTCCCGAAGCTCGGCCCTAACGGAGATAGGTGATTTGTGACCGGACGAAAACACATCGTAGGGGATAGACGTGGACAAGGGGGGTGAGAGAAGGAAAATAATGGGTATTACACGAGCCTCCTTAGTCGCCGATAATAAAAGCTACATACATGCCCAGAAGGTATGTAGTCGGGGAGATGGGGAATACGTAGACATGTAAGCAAGCAGGACACGAGACAGGTCTGTGTAGAAGCACACAAGACACAGGTATAACGTTGTTTCACAGACTGGATAACCATAGGCCTAGAGTAGATACCGGTAGGTATGCTTACTCAGTATTGGAGACAAGTTAGGTCTGCGTGTGGGTTGCGAGGTGTCTTACAAGAAGGAACATGCATGTAAGTAGTTTACGAGCATTTGTGAAGTTCTAAGAAAGAAGTATGTACTGTACTGTAATTCGTAGTTACCTACATAGTTACATACATCTAGGTAGCTAAGCCCCCCTTGACAGTGAAAGATCCTGTGTAACGAAACTACTCCTGAGAGCATTCTTATACATTCCTAATGGGGGTTGGCGTATGTAGCCGGAATAAGGTACCTTGAAAATGACAAGTTACAAGTTATAAAAAAGACGTAAATAATAAAAAATAAAAAAAGCTGCTTGGCCCTGCATCATTGGACGCGGGAGGAAATGAAGGCCAACTGCTAAGGTCATTTCTAAGGTACTCGCAACCTATCATTAAGACCCAGAACACGGAATTGCCCACCCAATCATGGTTGAAATCTCGAAGAAACCTCGTAGATCCATTTGGAGTTTACTTTTCCCTCAAGCGTCGGACTTGTCCATTGCGTGTTTCACAAATTCCAAGATGAAAGAAGAAAAAAAGGAAATAGATAACTGAGACATAATGAGGGTTAGCTTCATAGGCAGGTTGGTTAAACCCGTAAATAGCAATGGGGCCATAGAATCATACAACTGGAGTAGAGTAACTGTTGTGGATGAAGATAGATCAATACACTCTACGTTAGATAGCCCATAAATATGAGAAGTAAAGAAATAAAGGGTCCCTAGAGGGTTTGATTATGTACAGACCAAAATGCCATGATGCTGTCCCTGTCAGTGAAAATATTGTCATGGGAAAATGTAGTGGTGGCTACATAAGGCGACCAAGAAATACGTTAGAGAAACAGATACAGTAGTAGAAATGTAAGATAAAGTAAATAGGTAGACTACTGGATGCTCCTTGGCCATACACTTAGAGACAATAACTGTCAGCATCTTCAGCCTCACCATGTGGCCGCTGCATCCATCGAACTGTGGGGGTGCGAACTCGGTGCCGATAACTACAACGACGACGACTACGACGACTACGACTACATAAATCTTACTACCCAGCTATTCCAAGCTTCCAAGGCTGCCAAGAATATTTGCCTTACGTGCGTATATTAGGTAGGTACATACCTACCTACCTAGGCATGTATGTATGTAGGTATGTATGGTTATGTGGGTGATCTCAAAAAGCTGGAAGCCGGCTGGGCTGCATATGGTTGTCTTGACTAGTGAAGCAAGTCTGCTGCCTCGAACCTCTCAGAGTCGTTGGATCGGCGGCGCTTCCAGCGTATGTCGATCACGGTGCGAGGGGGCGGAAACTCCGCTGACTGGTTGGCTGGTTGGTTGTCAACTAACCCAGTACATCGTACATACTATGAGCACCTGTAGTGAGCGACCTGGTAGATACATACATTCATACAAAACATGCATATAGGTACGTAGGCAGGTTAGTTGGGTTGGTTAGACGGTGGGCCAACCCGTAGGTAAAGCCCAACATCGAGAAGCAATGCCTGCTAGTCCCGTATATATCGGTAGGTGCATACGCTACAGCGGAGTGTGTAGCGTGGTTGCCACCAGCTGAGATGTAGCGCATTCCTTGGCTTGAGAGGGATCGAGATTCGAGGGGTATTGAAGTCTTTGGGCGAATAGTTCCTGCCTCACCCCAGGTGGCCGCGTAGCTTGGCTATGGATGTTGTATTCACTCGCCTGCTGCTCTCTACAGGCTCGGGATTTGTTCATTGGTTTAGGGTGGATGGTGTGGACATGTCAAAGTTGAGCACATCACTTACACCAATCTTCATCAGTGAAGCAGTAGGATCCATGGGTATACCCTTTCCTACCATCATCCAAGATATCCCCCCTACACTCATATAGGCACTTATGTAGGTAGACAGGTACCCAAGACAGGGTTATTAGGTGCAATGCGTAGAAGGTAAATATCTACCTCATCTAATGGCTACGATGTAGTATACCAGGGGCTATGTACCCAGGAGACAATTAAGTAGCTGCGTACTATAATCGACGAGGGCTATCCTCGCGGCGTTTGACTAGGCATGTACTTAAGCTTAGAAAAGTACCTCATGTTCATCAAGGCTGATCAGGCCAGGAGGAAGTGGCGCGATGGTTGGGTACCTATTTAGTTAGTGTTGCTTTTAATACCCCCCAATATCATATTATAGCGTACCCAGGACCTGAAAATGGGCGTCCCCTTTCCAGAAGACCAAGGGTATGATGTATATACACACCTAAAACTACTAGGCAGATACTTTACATACCTGGTAGATAGGTAGAATAAAACCAATTGTACTTGTACACAGTAGATACACATCTATTACATGTGGCAATCAAGTATCCCGTAGTCGTTCTTGTAGAATCGGGATGCTTCAAGGCCAATATAGCCCTATCAAACTCTGCCACCGCAATTATTATTATTACTTGGAAAGTAGTGATCATAATCTTATCGAGAAAACTGACTTCGAGTCCTATAATTTGGCTAGCTTCGTCCGAGATATTCGAGCTACCTAAGTTATTGCGTTCGTGGGGGTTTTTGTTGTCTATATACAGTTGGGAAGAATGAAAGTGGCCAGAATATCCTGACTAACGCCGAACCCAATACTAAAGGTAGCACGAAGGGCAATAAACCCGATAACCTATTCGAACGAGCCATAATCTATCTTTGTACGGTATCATACAATCCTCCCGCTCTCAAGTGTACATATCCGTGGTCTCGTGAACTCCTAACGCCTACCATGTTCGTGCGTTGTGTGGAGCCAGCTTAGAAAAAGACTTATTCCACAATACATGGCAACAATTCACCATCAAGATGGGGGTATAGTGCCGTGTGCTTGGTGCTTGAATAGGAATCCAATCCTATAGCGAAAACCATTCCCTACCCAAGTAATTTCACCTGCTTCATAAACAATATTTTCAACATCTATCGTGCCCTTCCCCACGTATACACATCCGGAGCACCAAGGAAGGGAGACCCGTTCTAGAAAACCGGTCTAGTGTGGTGCCCCTGTTTGGCCCTCTCAAATCAAAACGCCGTGAATATCCATATTAAATCGTGAGTGTTTGCCGTAGGTTTTTGTATCTCGTAGAGCATTATTCGTGCCCTTGCGCAAAAGCCGAAGCCGTAGACTCCAATCCCTTTTTCCCGGTGTCCTGCCGTTCTCGGTTCGCTATAATACGTAGGGTATTCCTCCGTATGAACACAACATGAAATATAACAGCTTCCTAAGCTATACTCCTATCGATTCTTGTTGTGGCCTGTCTTCAAATTGTTTCTTAGGGCTCTTGCTTAATTTCACGTGAGGAACCTGAGGGTCCGTCCATATCGCGGATCGAATCATCCCGTGGCGATCTGCTATTGTGATCGCTCGGCGAATCTTTTCCATTTCCACAGCCCTTCACCAGTCTATGTCGCTGTTATTGTTGTTCCTTGGTTAGCATTTTTCTTCGAAAGATTCGAGTCATTCGGAGGAAGGGGGACACAGGGGTAGAAGTGGCATACTTTCAAGGCATCTTTTCTGGAAAAACTCTTATCGCAAAATTTACATGGAAATGGTTTGATTGCGAGATGAATTCTCTTGTGTCTCTTCAGGTCGTGGTTCCTGTTAAATGATGTGGGACATAAATCACACCGAAATGGACGATCCGGCAGTGAATTCTGTTGGCCATGCGAGTACATTGTTTGCGGACTGACGAGATGCGGCGATGGATATCCCTGCTGGATCGGGTTCATACCACCCACAATGGTCATCTGGCCACCCGGGTTTGACATATTCGATAGAACGGCACCTGGTCCCAAGGACATCTGGTTGTAGCTTGGGTATGGCCTAGATTGGTAATGCGGGGCTTGCATAGGAGAGTTATGTTGGTGTGGGCTTAGTGTCGTGATACCCCTAGAGTACGATCCTGTTGTCACTGGGGACGTCTGGGGTGGGGAATGATGCATGGGGGGGTACGCTGGGTAAGAAGACTGGTGGGTCGAAGAGCTTTGTGTCGTATAATAGTTGGGACCCGACTGAGCACGCGAGTAACCATCTTGGGATGATGTCGTCGAAGGGGTGGGAGGTTGCGACCCTGGCGTGTGGGAGTTCATAATCGTGCTTTGAAGGGATTGCTGACTAGAAGACTGTGAAAGCAAAGTAGATTGATTTGCACCACCTCCTTGTATAGACTGCGGAAAGGGAGATGATGCACTTTCGTAGGCTGGAGTTGCGAGACCGTCTGCTGTCGCTGGTGATTGCGAGTTTCGATTATAGGCTGGAGGCCCAGTGGGAGTGTAGATCGAGCGGTTGTAGTTGGGCTGCATGAGCCCAGCTTGTGCTCCGTGATTCATCGGACTGTGTGTATAAGTCGAGTTTCCCGGCAGAGACCAGCTAGTCTGGGGATGATAAAGGTGAAGTCCTGCCTGGGAAGTCTGGGAGCTATTGCTGTCGAGCCCCGATGAAAGTGGACTTATGTTGTCGCTGCCACTTACTCCTGTGGTAGAAGTCAGAGATCTGCTGCCTGAAAGTCGTCGATTCATCGAATCATATTGGGAATCAGGCGATGGCATGTCTTGATTGGGTTTGAGCGAGGAAGTATAATCATAAGAACGGGATGAATCCATTTTGGGGGATTGAAAGGTAAAATATGGCATACTAGGGACTTGAATGTCCAATGGTGGTGGGCTTGGATATGGGAGATGAAAGTGAGGAAGTGCGAGAGCTGCTGGTCTGCGTGATGTAAAGCTACTTGCAATCCCTTCCATATCTCTATTCCCAAATCCGAAGCCAACTAGGTCGGAGCTAGGAATACGACTAATCGTCTCTCCTATGAGGTTTAATATCCAGCTGAGCTAACAATACCTATTACAATAATCGTGAAGTAATACGCCCCTACCTAGGGTAGCATACGGGTTGGGTCGGTCCAGTTGAAGAAAAAGTTTATTATAAAGATCTAAGAATCCACTTTCTTAGCATTCGATAGCTGTAGTGATAATACACTAGGTAGTCGTGATCTATATTGATGTAATACGGTTAAGGTAGTCGTCAACTCACTATCACTGCTCCTCTTTCGTTGTGACCAATGGATCTCTATTTGAAAGAAGATATGACTGATGATGGGGTATGGCTCGGGGGAAGCCCCAAACCAAATTGGGTTCGTTAATGTCGTCGAGAGCGTTGGGGGGTGGAAGCGATATCGTAGGGTTGATAGACGGATTGGCTATTTCGGGAAAGAAGAAATATGCTAGGAAGTTCCCTTGATAGGCAAGCTCATACTACCTTGGTAGCTTTAAAGGTTGTTCCAAAGGTGGAGACGTCGATCATAAGAATGGCGGCGGGAGGCGCCTGTCGAATTTATATACTCTGTTGGGCGATTGGTTGGATCCTTGCTAGGGCAGGTAGTCCTGGTTACTTGATAGCTTGGTATCTTGGTGCTATCTTGATAGGTAGCCTCAGGCTGTTAGGTCCATAAGGCGGTAACTGTTGTATCAACTTGTTTTTTTTTTCTCGACAAGCCCAATGAACTCAATCTTGTCTCTTTACCGGTTTATGAAGATCACTCCGATTAGATTTCTCTTATACAAGTTATTACATATACTAAAGATTGGTATGTAGTTATAGGTAGGTGGGTAGGTATGTAGGTGGTAAGATGATCTTGGTAAGATGATCTAGGGGATATGATCAGGGCTAGACCATGTCAACTAACCTCCAGACCACACTAGTTTCCATGGGCTGAAGTGTTGCCGGACGTGCATGTACTAAATGGCAGGTACGTAAGTTAGGTATGTATGTAGTATGCAGGTCAGGAGTGTAAAGTTGTAAAGGGGTGGGAAAGGCCTTGGTGCTGATACATAGTACATAGGTACTCTAAATTCTTAAGCTCTCGGGAAATGGATCTACTAAGAAACTCTGTTTCGATCTTAGATGCTGATAACTATAAATCGTGTTTTGATATATTGACAGTACCTTGAACCTTGATTCCAACATTTGAGCTGTTACAGCTTTGCCGTTTAAATATTGCATCTATCTAATACGTCATGTACATATGTAAATAAGATGTATTCCGGCCGCTGAAGATTCCGCTATTGTTGATGTACATACAAATACTGATCTACGTATAGTAGGTACTATATGTAGGTACCTAGCATGTACGGCTCTGCCTTTGTAGGGTTTCGTCTGTGATGGATGGTGGCTTGCTGGATCTTGGCCTGTACCAACGTAGTGAGAGTGTAGGTACCAGCACACGTGGGTAGAAAGAGCAGTAAGCCTACTGTGGTAAGAACTAGCCGGTGAGCATCGTACATACAATAAGCGCGGAGAGAACGAGCTACATATGCATAGCTCAGTACCGAAATCTCTGGGGGGCCTCCAGCGTCGACCAGGACCTCTTCAAACAAAAGAACATGCCTCCCTAGAAGGACACCCAGGCCTTAGGCGAAGATAATTGGAGGGAAACCGGGTCATTAATTAAGGAGGGAGAGGATATTGGAACAGCCGCAATATTGAGAGGGCAGACAGGGACACACACCCACCCACACGCACTTTTTGCACTTACACTCATACATACACGTGCACCCAAGGGGGGGAAGAGCTATACAGTGTTTAGAAAGCAATGAATAGGAGATATGAAGTCCACATAGAAAATGGTTATGCTGGACTGTGTAAGTATATGGTTGGTGAGGATGTAAGCAGTAGGTATCTACCATGTAGTAGTTATGCCACTAGAACATTGAAGCTACTATGTAAAACCCTGCTTGACTTTGATTTTAGTACCCGCCTCGGCCCCCCAAAAAGCTCCATGCACCCAAGATCCCGGGTTGCTTTTTAGTGCCTAGGCTCATCATTACCACCTATATTACGATTCATTTATTGACCTAACCAGGTACCTAGCCTACTAGGTATGGAAGCAGTAGGTAATTTAGGCCTACAAGGTTGATAGTTATACTAGGTAGTATATACCGAGGCAAACTCGTTGTTAACATCTCATTCATCGAGTCGCTCACCTTCTTGAAGCGCGGTCGAGCTTCGGATGCGGAAGATTTTGTAATTCTTTGTAAATATTTTTTTTTCAATCGTAAGAGTATCATCTATTCGTTTAAACTAAGATTTCATATTAACTACTTATCTCACTGGACAGGATCCGTACGCTTACGAGAAAATGTACTTACTTAGGTAGCTGAATATAATTCGTACGGACCTGAAAAAGCTCAGCTCCCCCTAAGTCAGCCGGTGGTGGGAATGAAAGAATGGAGGATGAATGGATGGATTGGATGGATGGTATGGCATGGGATTTGGGGTCTACCAGGTAGGATGATGAACAGGGGTTCGGCTAGGCCATGCATTTTATCCCCTGTTCGTTCTTCCACTAATGCATCTGACAAGGGTCTGATCGTTCGGCCGTGTGTCTCCGACTGGGGACCTATCAAGATGCGTGGCAGCTTCTTCGCGTGCTTTCCTTCTTTTGTAGTGTACTGGTGTACCTAGCAGAGCCTTGAATATTGTTACCCCCTATGGAGTAAATACTGGGGCCGAGAACAGCTTAACCTACCTAGGATATTGGAAGGGGAACTTATCATCATCATTAGCATCATCAGCTTCATTATTGCTCATCATGATTTGCATCGTAATTTCGCCGATGAAGTGGCAATCTGTATACCTAACAGGTACCTACCTATCTAGGTAAGCCTACTTACGGTAACTTACCATGTTGAAGATGTATTGTACGAACATTGAAGGTAAATTCTGTAGCATTCAGCTTCAAGTTGTTCAGGGTATATAGATCTCTCTAAGTACAATACAATACACATACATGTAGGTGTGTGGCGGTGTGACCTACCTACTAAAGTAGGCAGAAAAGAATTCAAGGTAACTATAACTTAAAGCAATTGTCTGTCATCTTCTATTCGCTTTGCTTTGCATTCATGCGGGAGTATAACAGCAAGTCAATTCTATACAACAATGCAGAAATATTAATGTATAGTATGTAATAGTCATCCCACCATTCCGGGAGCGAATGCGAAGTATCCTTGACCATACCAGAACATCGTCGTGATAAATTGCTCTTCTCTCCTCAGTACCGTAATTCCGTTACGGGTTTATCTCTACTTCGTATCACGAATTCCCTAGCGTCTGTCGCGTGTCGAAGTGGGTGCCTTGAAAACGATGTCTTGATCGGCGTATGAATAAATCCCCATTTACTTCGTACTGTATCAGTAGATTGTTGCGGAAAAGCACAATTCCATAGCTGATGATCCCTTGGCGCAGATGTTAGCTATGGACTTCTTCCGATGTTGGATGTTGTTTTTCTTTTCGCGCAGAGTGCGATTGATGCCTCGGCATCCCTAGCCTAGATTCGTTAGGCCAAGACATAAAAACGGGAGCGCCGAGCTTTTTTTCTATCTTCTGTTCTCTTTACAGTACCGTTACCTATTTTCGTCTTGTTACTGGCATGATCACGAACAAAACCGAATTGTCGAATGATGGAAGGCAGATGACAGGTGACAAGCAATGCATGGAAGATCTACTTTCCCATGCTTTTCTCTCTTTTTTCGCAGCATCGATCGGACAGCTGCAAGTCTACCTGGCAATGCATCGTACTTCGCTGGCGTCACTGCAGAGGTGGACGTGGGTCAAATCATGTCAATGCAAGCCACAGCCTTTACATAGTATGTACCTACTTGTTGATGGTCTCATGAAACCATGAAAGTATACCTTGATAAGCATGTATAAATGCTACCTAGTTTAGGTTTATATGCCTATGCATGCATGTATAGCAAAAATAGTATAGGCATACCCGAAAGAGCCTCATGGGCAACACGTCAACTGCAGCATACGCCTACTAGGTAGGTAGATACTCAGGTAGTGCCTAGCCTAAGTAGGTATGTATTTATATCATCCGTCGACTAAAGAGGTGGCTAGCCGTTCAAGATCGTGGAAACGTGGGATCGTGGGATCGTTGGAAGAAGGCTACCCTCCAGTTATAATGTATTTTGTAGTTATCAAGATACATATGTATGTACCATAGTACATTGAATGTTGCGCCATCCATCGAAGTGATCTGCTGGGTTCGATCGCTTAGTCCCATTGAATACCTACATTGTACATCGTAGATGCTTGCGTATGCCGCTTCTGCAGGGGATCCCTGAGCCCTAAGCTGCCAGGTTATACCCCGTTCATTGTTGGAGTCTACACTAATGCTGGGGACATCATTGATAATTTGATACAGCCCTGGAGCGGGAGCCAGCAACGTCAGCCATTGTCCTGGTTCTGCTTCTCCTTCATCTCAATGTTGAGAGAACTTAACTTCAGACCCCGCATTGAGACCCTTATGTATTATCATTGATGTAAATATATATATAGGTACATCATTGATATGTAGACACTATGTACGTATGTATGTCCACTTCGGATTCCCGTTATTGTGTGGTAAAACAAAAATGACTTCATTGGTTGCACATGCACGGTACTAGGTAGAAGAACAATTTTCAACGACAGCAAGAACTTTGTAAGTTTTGCTTTTTCCTTCTTTTTTTTTTCTCTCCCCCCCTTTCCCCGTCTCTTCCCCATTGTCCTGAGGCCTAACCATTCTTACATTCTACGTCCTAAGTTTATTGCAAGAGGTTTTTGAAAGTAGTAAGCGGAAAAGGACATAACAGATCATCGATGAGATTAGATAGACTCGTCCAATTATAGGTGTTTAGACGAGCTGTGTGCGTCCTCCTTATTTTCTTTATTTTTTAGTCCCTTTTTTTGTTGAAGATGATCTCCGAAAGGAATGTCAATATGGAAAAGTCCAACCCGACAAAGCTCCACTTACTGCACTCAAGATACCCACCCAACATTGATCTTGTTATACGCATGTTCTTTGATACAAAACTTTAGAGATCCCAAGAGTAATATATGTAAGTACCTACCAAATAGTTAGTAACATTGAAAAGTAGATAGCATGCATGATCTGGCCCTGTATTACCTGTCATGTCTTCCATTTTTAGCAACCTTTGCACTGTCTTAAAGAGGAGCGAAATTAATGTGTTGCCTCGTGTATTAACACCTACTAGATAGGTAGACAATGCCTTTAGGCACCTACTCATCAACGTTCTCGTTTCGCCCAGGTTTTCCGCGTTGAGATTATACAGCTGAAGTGGTGTGGGAGGTAGTCACGCTGCTTGTGGCAACATACAAATCGGGACCGATGAGGACGACGAGGAGTTTTCGCCCAAACAGGTCCCAAGCTTCATCAGGCCCCCCAAAAAGTGACTTCTTCAATTGTATCCATCGTTCAAAGTTGCCTACTTAGGTAGACATATTTCGAAATCGTATCACGTCAACGTGACCGGCAGGAATAAGGTCGGGAAAGCAGAGACGCAAAGTCATCTCATCCCATCCCATCTTACTTCATCCCACGTAGTTGAAGGTCTTGTGTTATGAGTATCTCACCCGGGACCGGATAATAATCCGCACAACAGCATCACCTACCTATGACTAGGTACCCTGCTGCTTACCTACCTATTGAAATAGTTCGTTTTAGGTGGGCTGCGCGTATCGGGATTTGTCCACCCGCGCAGAGCCAAGACCTGGTTAGATTCCAATCAAGAATTGAAAGGTTCAGAGGCTTCACGTTTGTGTAACCTAACTCGTCACTTGACAACTCACTGTAATTCAATCTGAGGTAGGCCAGATGGAAAATGTAACTTCAGGTCGGGTAGAAAATGCAGAACACGACAAAGACCAAGGACGGGACGGGAGACGCTATAACTGGAACTCTCCGAGGGACAGGACGAGTAACATGTCGTGGAACTAAAAACGTCCAGTCCAGCAACATTCATACTATATGTACTATATGTATGGTAGTAGTTGAGATGCTACTCATCGAGGCATCGTAAATGACCAGACCTGGTTCGAAGCGTGTTTGTTCATTCTTGTCATGTGTAAGGAAAAAGAAGAAAACATTACAGTGGTGACCCATCTTGGGAAATACAGATTAATCACCTACCCTAGGTACCCCTAGTACCTAGGTATTAGGTACTCTACCTAGGTAGGTAGGTAAAAATAAAACGAAATGAAAGGAAAATTAATTAAAATTGAACATTGAGCCTTGAAGCTGTTAAAGTTTCTTCTCAAACAAGTTTAGGTACAAGTGCCTACCTATCTGCCACAGGTACATGTATTAACCTAAGAAGATGACCTGAATGATTGAATTTAACAATAGCACTTGAGTTAGTTATCGGAATTATGAAAAACTATCCATTCACAATTCCGCCCCGATGCATCATGTACCTAATATTAGGTACCTACATCAATGATACCATCAATGTATGCAGTACATCTCATCATTCTCATGCACCTTCTACAATATTCAGACACATTTTTCTTACAATCATTGA